TGTGTTATTGTGGTTACTAGGATTAAAGGTGTGTGTCATTTGGCTACTGGGATTAAAGGTGTGTGTTACCATAATCTGGTCTGTAAGGCTGACCAGTGGGACAGCTTTACTCTCAGATCTTCAGTCTTTTAAAATACAATTAAAACGCCAGTGTGTGTGTGTGTGTGTGTGTGTGTGTGTGCGCGCGCGCGCGCGCGCACATGCGCGTACGTGTACACATGGAGCTCAAAAGTCAGCTGGGGTACAGAACCAAAAACAGGAAGGCAAATAGTCCAGAACTGGTCCAGAATGTACCAAATGTGATGAAAACAGTGACAGCTCCAAGAAAATCCAATAAATATTAAGAAGAAAAACATTTCTAAAAACCACTAAAGCGAAACACAACCAAATTGTCTGAAACAAAATGCAGGCAATCAGGAAGGGGCGAGTCCTTAATGCAGAGAGAGGAAGCCAGAACTCCCAACAGCCAGGCAGCCTGAAGCCAGCCATCAGTGCTAACAAGTCAAAGACAGAAAAGCATTAATAGCCACACATGCTAAAAAATAGCTTTCAAAAATTAACACAAAATAAATTTCTTTTCACTAATCAGAGCTGAGGGCTCATCACAAGCTGATCATATAACTACGAAAAGAATTTCTTCAGGCAAACAAAAACAGTAACAGATGGAACCTGGACCTACCAAAGTAACAATGAGTGCCTGAAATGGTAACACAACGCTGATATAAGAATATTTCTTCAGAGTCGCTTTTCAGAAAGAACTTTAAAGAAGCAATTGATTAGACTCCGAAGTGAAATGCATGACAGAGAGAACAAAGATGTGGTGGGTTAGCAGTTAAAGCCAATCATCAGATGTCTACGTTGTGTATGGAAACATTCTGTGCGAAGCCTGTGCTGAGCTAAAGCTACAAACCCTACAGTGGCCACTAGGAAGCAAAACAGAATCAACACTAATAATGAACAGTGGGATACAGGCTGGTGTCATCCTCTCATGGCAAAGACGGAGGCTAAGGCTCACCCTCACAGTGAAGGGTGACAATAGTATGGCAAACAGGACACAAATGCTGGCTCCTCCCTTCAGTTCAGACCTGCTGCTTGACTTACTAAGTCTAAAAATACCACAGCTATCCTAACTGCTCTCCAAAACAATAGCCAGTTATATAAAGAATGAGCATTCCTAACAATGACTAAGATACTTGCTTTCTGATAGTTTCTGGCTTTTTACACTCTACTCCTGAGTCAACCCATTCTTCCATGTACAAGACACAGAGTGTTCTTGCTTCCCAGCGCTACTAGCCAGTCTTTGTGTGCGGTGGATCTGCCGTCCACTGGATGCCAGCAGCACCTACCCAGCTGTGAAAATCAACTCTCCAAAGGTCATCACACTTACCTGGTGGAGCAAAGCTAACTTTAGCACTTGAGACTGCGGTGCTTTGCATTACAATTAAAAGCACACAAGTTTATGGCCTGGGTTAACTCTAAGTACTAGCAACATTCAACTGCCACTCCCGAAGTGTCTAAGTAACAGTAGTTAAGACCCCTGTGCCCAAGTGTCTTGATCTTGCACTCACTCAAGAGTTCACGCACAATCCAAGGCCAGGCCTCAGTTATCTCTCAACATTCCTCAAAGGCCGTATCAAAACCAAAACCTTTATTTACTGAGCTGAACAAACTGTAAGGTGAAGGGAAATTTCAAGAACATGAAATTGAGGAGCATGTGCTAACAAGTGACATCATCCAATGAAGAGCAGGGTCACCTAAGCAGGAGCTGTTTGAAGTTAACCCGTATCTGTTTTCTTGAACAGCCATAAAAAAATGTCACTGGTCTTTCTAACATATTCCAGGTTTGGTCTCTCTTCTGAAGTATGTCTGAATCCAGCCAGCTACTGGTATTTCAAGTATCAGCATGGACTCCAATGACAGACATTAAATATGAACTCTTTGTTACTGTCTTCAAACTCCCCCTACAGCAACTGCAAATACAACTTCAAAAAGAAAATACACAAACTAAAATCATACTGTCAGGACCATAAAGTCAGGTTCTTAATATAACGCATAACCCTCTACAAGACAGTTTCTAAATAAAAGCGCATTAGAATTTTAGCCCGGAGAACAAACTTCTCTTTATTACAGGCACCTGCAACTCCTGGACGCTAGCAGTACATTACTGAAAAGCAATGACGTAGGAAGACTCTGCCCTGGGCTGCCTAGAGCAAAAGTACATGAATGGATCTGTTCTGTAAAAGGTGTGGTGCTTGGCTCACACGAGAAACCCCATCAGCTTACACAGAGGCTATTCAATGACAAGATATAATTAAAGGAATTATTAAAAATAACAAATGCGAAATACAAAGATTTCCAATTTAGAAAATCAGAAAAAAGGTGGAGCCTTCACCAATTATGCAATAACTGGAAGATAGTGCTGTACATCAGTATGGTACTATCCAAAAAACAACTAATAAGACAGGTTTAGTTAATATCAAACCTGGAAATGTTACACTCAGTCATCCATATATTTGGAGTTTAAAGCTGACCTAGAGAGTAAGAGAGAATCTAAGATTAACCAAGAACCTAAAGGAATAATCACCACTAATGGTTTGGGACAAATAAAAAGAAAAAAAAAAGTAGGGAACCACAACTACATGGAATCTAAAACACAGACAGTAGACATTTTTAAGAAACAACTCTACGTATGCTCTAAGACTGAGGAGAAAAATGCAAGAAAGAATTAAATTGCTTCACACATGTAAATTCACAATTCTCACTACACCTGTCAGACAAAGTATTTAAAGTAACCTGTCCAACCTTACAAACTTGGAGAACCTGTCCTGAAAAGGGACCACTGAATCCAGTTACATCCCTACCTAGCTGAGACAGGTGCAATGCAGTGCTTAGGGGAAGAACTCAAAACCCTGAGATAATACAGTACACCAAAAGGTACCAGCGTCCACTTTCTCCTGGCCTACAGGCCTTCCCTGTCTGAAAAGCTGAAGTCCTAATAGCTACCAGACATGCCTATATCCCCACCATCCATCTCCTCTTCCAATCTTACTACCCCACCCACAAACAACGAGGAAAGCTGACGACGACATTCTCTCTACACAAAGATGTTTAGAACTGAGACTTGAAGAGATCTGCTCGGAACCATGATGCAAAGTCGAGGTGGGTCAGATGGGGACTCTGGCAAACCAGAAACACAAAAGCCAAGCAGTTTCAAGAGAAGGACAGTGTTTAACAATCTGAATAGGGCAGGAAGAGAAGGACAGTGTTTAACAATCTGAATAGGGCAGGCAACCAGTGGTAGAGAACGAAGAGAAAATCTGATGAGTGTTAACCTGAAGACTTTCTGGTCCCCAGGCCACTGTGCTGGAATCACAGCTGGGCCTTAGAGGCAATGCTCCAACGGTATGACCAATGCCTTTTTCAAGTAAGCTAATTCAAATGGCTTTTTGATTCTTGCAGCCAAATAATCCTCAAGCCATTAAGGAAGGTCAAAGAAAAAAACACCAAGTAAGCAGTGGCTAATACTAAATTGCTAAATTTCTCCTTTTGGCAGTCCTGTCAATAATCCATATATTCCAAATGCTGAGCTTCAGGGAGTTCATTTCTTTCTGGAAGGATGAGCAAAAAAAAGGGGGGGAGGGGGAATATATGGATCTGCCCCACTTGCTTTTAAAATTGTAAAGCACTTTTCCCTTGTGCTAACAGTGCCAGTCTGGATACCCTCAACTAACACTCAAGCTAGGCCCCTAAGAGTTTCCTACCCTGCCTCAAACAGAGTGGCTGCATTTTTTTTAACCACGTGGTCCACTTCACAAAAAGAAAAACAAACAAAAAAACAGTCTCCATAAGTAATGAATAAGTTAAATTAAATAAGTAATAAATAATCAATTAAATAAGTTACTCCAATTGCTTTTCAAGCATGAGACAGAGCAACCATTGCCCTCCAAGTTGGAAAGCCTGGCCGCATAGACTAGCGACAAAATAGCCTTTCTCTGTGCCAAGACGAATGGGAGGCAACTTCTGTTATCTTCCTTTACCCCTTCACCTAAGTTTTTCACATCTTCCTGTGTGGCTAAGACGTCCCTACTTAGGACTGGAAATTCCCCTTTAAACAACCTGCTACATTACGATTTGCATTGGTAGAGTTCCTTCCCCAGATACTCAATCTTTGGAATTAAAGTAAAAAGTACCATCCTTCCTCCCAGAGGATTTCTTCTGCTGCTAGACTTAGCCCCGGAATGCAGAGGCTAGAAAAGGTTAGAAAAATCTCTCACTGTAGTTCTGGGGCCTTGACTGCAGTACGTATAGTCAACAACTGAGAAAAACCACTGGCTACAGGGTATACTGCAAATTCCTTTTCCGATCCATTGAGCAGAGCAGTTGAGCATCAGTCGCAGGAACCCACTTCTTCCCCAATTCCCTAGGATCCCTTTATGTCTCATAAGTCAGTTACTGACAGCAGAACTAATTGTTCAATTCACTGTCAACCCGTGGCTCACAGTTCTTCCTGAAGAACATATCAAGTATGAATAACCAGAATATTCCTTGGAAAGTGCTCATGTATTCTGAAAGATTAAGTGGCACTATCTGAAATGACATCAGTCATAGCAGGCACTAGGCTGCCATTTACAAAATAATAAAAAAAGCTTAGACATTAAAACAAAATCATCTTTGCATAAAAAAATACTCCATCTTCCCTGAATACTCTATGTTCGAAGTATTTTCATACATAAAAAATTTGAGTCTCAACATAAATAACACCGTTAACAAGGTGGGAAGAAGCAAAGGAAACAGGCGTTTTAGAAGCAACTGAAAAATTACAAAGCTAAAAAGAACTGCGAATATTAATCCCAGGATGCGTCAAGGCCATTAGCGACGTGTCTCAGCCGTATTGCTCACCACCCAATAAAATGCCTTAATGCCTGAAGCTAAGCCACCACCAACTGATAGGGTTTTTTTAAGAGGGTAAGCAAAGTGAACGGACTGTCACCAAGCCATACCAGGGCTTTAGATTGTACTGTCACTGTGGTTTTAGCCAGACCATTTTCTATCTGATAGCGCAGTCCGGTTGCTTGGCCAGCCTGGGGGCGACGTGACAGCGATGCAAACAGCCGCACCTGAAGTTCGGGCAGCGCCGGGACCCGGGTTCGGGCGCTGACAGGAAAGGATGCTGCTGCGGACAAAGTGCACCGTCCTCCTCCCGCCCGCGCCCCCAACGCAGGGAGGCCACAGAGCCCGGCCGCAGTCTGGACCCGGCCCGCTGTCTCCCCGCTCCCCCGCCCCGCTCACCCGGAGGCGCAGCCTCTCAGCTCCCGGGCATGTCACCCGCCCGTCACGGCCCGCAACGCCCGGTGGCGCGAGCCGCAGCGCAGCGGCGCCTCCCTCGCCCGCCCCGGCCTGAGACGCCACCGCCGCCGCCTCCCCACGCCGCCCACTCACTCTCGCGAGAGCACTCGCACCTCTCGCGAGAACGACCCCGTGGCCGAGCCCGCGCAAAAGGAACAAGGGGGGGTTAAAAAAAAAAAAACCTTCCCACGTGCTCTGGAGGGAAAAGCTGCGGGCTGCCTGTCACGTGACGCCGAGACGCCCTTTCTATTGGCCAGGTGCCCCGTGGCCCGTGGGAGCTTTTAACGCGAAGCTGACCTACGAACTCTCCGCTGACGTCTTGCGCGCTTCCTGGTCCGTTGCCTTGGGAACGGCTTAACCCTTTCCACCTGCAAAACACCCTAGCCTAGCTCCCTTGCCTTAGTCTGTCTGCCTTGGGCCGCCCCGCCTCCCAGGGGTTGGTTCCCCATATCGACTGCCCACTAGATGGGGGTCCAAGGCACCATCCATCCTTCAGAATGGCTCTGCTCGGTTCCCTGCACCTTCAGGGAAAACCACGCGTCACGCGCCAGGCCTCGGGCCCTATCTGAACCTCCAGTCGGTCCAAGGGGAGCGCTCCCCCCATGTGGCATCGAAATTGGGAAATAAGACCCCGATCACCAAGAAGCCAAGCCTCAGGTGACAAGCTGTGTGACTCCCGTTTAAATCAGAAGGACCCATGCAGTCAAGTTGCATGGTCCCCTCAAGGACATCCGTTCCTCAGATTGGCTGATTGATGAGAAAGACATATTGGACTGTACCCTTTCTCCTTTTGATTCGTCGTCTTCAGGAGATAGGGATTAGTCAGAAAGAATGCATTGTTTTCCTACACGTGTTAGGCATTATTCCCAGTTGTCTACTGAACTATGATGAAGACAAATAGTCTAAGTTGTTGAGATCTGTAGGGAGAGGGGGGAATATCTGTAGGTGTTAAACAATTGAGCCACACCTTGGGAGTGGTGCTCTTGGTGGGGAAGGGAGGTTCAGGCAGTGCTTTGGGTAACAGCCCTACAAGAAATGGAAAAGAAGAGCATTTCTAGCAAAAATAAGGCTACTTCACAGACGGAAGACTGGGATCAAATCTAGCGTATTTGAATGACAGGAAATAAACCTGCAAAGATACTAGAGGCTAGATTCCCTACAGCCTTTTTAACCAAGAAAGGAATTGGAAAGCTAGTCTACAGTGGAAAGCGTTGAAGACTTAAAAAAAAGGGAAAATACCCATAATTAACTTAAAAAAAAATAGTAAAGGCTTCCCTGTAGCTAACAAATTTTACAGAAGTCAAAGAAGAAGCAAGGGATCTTATGCTGAGAAACTCAGTTTCCAGTGACCTTGACATTCTCCAAAATCTACTAAGTAAGCACCTGTGCTGCCTCCTAACTTCTGTTAAAGTATTTCTCCTACTAATAGGAATAAATGGAAGGTTTTGCTTTTGTTTTGTTGTTTTGTATTTTTCTGTTTTAACTACTTGAGAAAACAAATGGCCAGAAAGGGTTCTCACCTTTGGTTTTCTTCCCTACATTTTCACTACACAGGTACCTGCATCTCTAAGTTAGTTCCAAGCAAAATGGAATATAAAATAATGTTTCTTGTAGATATTTATTAGAGTGAGATTTGAAAAGATAGAAGTTGGAGGCTGGAAAATAAAAGAGTTTAATAAAGCAAAATCAGGAAGTCTTCCATTGTGAAACCCTCCCACTAACTATGGACTAAATCAAGGCTCTTTATGGTCCTGAGTTTCAACTTCCTGGTACATAAAACGGTGTGATTGGCTCTCCACACAGGTGGTGAGGACAGAATTCCAGTCTGTCCTGCGGGCACTGGCAGAGGAGCTCGGAAGGGAAACGAACTTTCATGAAAGACCTAAGAGTCAACAAGCAGCACCAGCCAACTTGAGAACCTGTAACTGATGGAGGCAGATACCAGGAATGCTTTCCTAAGAAGTGCTGGCCCCGGGGTGTGAAAACGGAAGCACTACCACCTGCTCGGCCTCATAGTCCTTTTCTCTGGAGCCACTGTGAGTCTGTGTAGCATCCAAAACATCAAGTGTGCCTGGTCAGAGTAAGAACGAAACTGCAAGTGGTCCTTTAAAGGTCAGAGGCTACGTCTGAAAGTTAACACCTTGGTTTTAATACAAAGAGTTAAGTTACTTTTTAAGAAGAGGAAAATGTGTCAGAAATATTATTTTAACCAGACAGTTAGTTAAAATGCCCAATAAGGCCGGTTTAAAGGCTGGTTTGGAGTGTGTTTTGAAATGTCTGCAGCTCTCAGGATGATTAATTGAAGCAGCTGCTTGGTGTTGCTAATTTAGATGAGCAGAGGGCTCAACTCTACCATCCTAACATATTAACGGGATCATAAATCATCCCGACTTACTCTAGTAGGGAAGTGGTTGTGGTCCCTTTTGCTTGCTGTTTGGAGTAAAATGTAAGACCTCCTACAATGGTCCTAGTTCTTAGATTCTTTTAAACCCCCCACACACACACAGAGAGAGAGAGAGAGAGAGAGAGAGAGAGAGAGAGAGAGAGAGAGAGTTTTACTCTACTATAATTTACATGCCATGCAGGTGCATGTTTTCTGTATAGTCACAGAGCTGTGCAGCTATCACTGTAATCTAATTCTCAAAATAACTTAGTTCTCCTATTTAAAAAAACTGCCTATTAGCAACCAATAATCCTCTATTTCACCCTCAGCCCTAAGCAACTGATAATCATCTTTGTTTCTATAAACTTACCTAACCTGGGTACTTAATATTAATGAAATTAAATTGTAATATGGTCTTTTATGTCTCAATTTATCCACTTAGTGCATTATTTTTCAAGGGTCACCCATAGCATGACATCAGTTTTTCAGTTATTTTTATTGACAGATGATGATTCTATTCTGTGCGTGTAGAACATTTTATTGATCACTGTATTAGTCGATAGACATGTGGATTACTTCTACTATTGTGGACAATGTGTATTAAACATCTCACCACATATTATGTGATATTGTTTCCCATTTTGGTGGCCCACGCCTTTAATCCCAGCACATGGGAGGCAGAAGCAGGCGGATCTCTGTGAGTTCAGGGCCAGCCAGGTCTACAAGAGCTAGTTCCAGGACAGGCTCCAAAACTACAGAGAAACCCTGTCTCAAAAATACAAGACAAAACAAAAACTATGTAACACATTATAGGGCTGAAGAGATGGCTCAGCAGTTGGAGCCCCTGGCTGCTCTTCCAAGGGACCTAGATTAAGTTCCCAGGACCCACATGACAGCTAACACTGCCCACCACTCCAGTTCCAGCAGTCCCCGTGCCCACTTCTGACCTCTGTGGGCACCGCATGCACCTGGTGCCTTATGTGGATGCAGCAAAGACACATGCATAACAAATAAATCTTTCTAGAATTAAAAACACAAAAATTTCTCTAGCATACAAAGTTGTTACTTGAGTCCAAGCATGCTTTCTCTGTTCCTACGGCTTTTCATTTTTAGCCTTTTCTGCTAAGCATGTATAGTACATTCACAGGAATATCTGTGCTCAGACCATTTACATGTGACCCTGTCATTCACCTGCTTAAAATGCTCTGGCTCTCCCCATGGCCTGCCTTGATTTCTTGGCTCTCATGTCATTCTCCCTTTCAGCTTCTCAGAGCAGGAGCAGGCTCTGCCTCAGCCCCTCCCCTCAGACAGTGCCTTCAGTAGCTTTGCCTGTATACCCCCTTCATCTAGGACCGCCCAGAACCCGGGGACTTTCAGCTCTGCTGTCACTTCTTCAGGAACCCCTGTCCTAAGTCCCTGCATGAAGTGCATTCCCCTTTATGGAGGACTCTGCCTTCTGTCTGAAGCATCTGTCAACACAGAACGGTTTTCATTTGTGTGGTTATATTTAACCAGGGCCTGTCTCTTCCACCAGACCAAAGGATCAGAGCAGGAATCACATCTATATTTCTTAGCAGTGACTGGCACATAATAGGTACTCTGTAACTACTCATAGGATGGAGGAGGAAAGAAGGTGGAGAGAAAAAAACAGAGGTCTCCTCCATGACTGTTATGTTTTTCTTGACTTAAAAGGAACCATCATTAAGATCTGGGTAAAATTACAATCTAAACTTGTGCTGGGCTAAGGGCAACTGATGCCAAGGGCTGCTGTAGGCTTGTTTCAAATCAAAGAAGAAGCTGAGTGTCCCAACCCCCAGAAAAGGAGTGAGAAGGAGGTCAGTGTACAAAAGACCGAAAACAGCCTGCTGCCAAGTTAGAGAACACAGTCTGAGTGTAAGGACACCTATGAAAGCATCAGAGAAGCCCTCTCCTTGCCCTGGCAAATGTTTGGGTTTTGCTTTTGTTTATTATAAGCCAGAGAATTGAACTGAGGGCCTCAGGAACTCTGGGCTATGGCCATCCCCAGCCCTGTTTTTACTTTCTCTTCTGAGACAGAGTCCCACTAAATTAACCCAAGCTGGCCTGGAACCCACTCTTGAATTCTCAGGCAAGCCCTGAGCTTGGGCTCCTCGGGCCTTATCCTCCTGACAGCTGGAATTACAGGCCAGGCCTGGCTCCACAGGGATATCGTAGTGGACTAAGTTTTTAATGGTCAAATCAGTAGTGTCCTCGCTGTTGTCTTGTAATTAGTGGAAATGATGCTTTCACTTGTAGACGTGGTCCAGTGGAGCCAAGATACTTGGGTGATAGGCACATAAAAGAATTATGGCCCAGCAACATTGAATGATCACATCCGGCACTAAATGTCATAGTTTATGCTACAATCAAGTAATGAAGTCTGGCCCTGCCTTCCAGTGAAACTGAGCATACTACACAAAACTGACTCCTGACTTAATCCCCTGATGCCATCCTGACTACAAAGGAAGGCATCATCTTTCCTCAGAAGCTTTGGAGCTTTACACCAGCAACCTTGGATAGCCAAAGCAGATTCCAGGTCGCTTCCTGTTTGAAACCTTGACTCTCCCCTTGGCTGAGTGGCTGGATTCCTCCCCGAGCCATGCTGCATGAGTGATGGACCCAGCTGTCAGTTCACTTGTAAGAGCCATGTCAAGTCCTTGTACACATCCTTCAGTTCTTATATTTGCTTTTTGTTTTGCTTTGTTTAATGGGCGTAAGTTAATACATACTCATTGTGGTGAAAATTCAAGAAAGGAAAGTGAAACCCTCTTGTATTGTGGCTGCTTTGCATGCATTATTACTTGATAATAAGCCGATGTAAGGATTCAGTAAGTAGAAAGATAAAAATTATATAGACCATTTCAATACATTAAGGGCTTTCTAAATTGAAGTGATGAAGTTTTACAGTATTTTTGTTTGTTCGTTTCTACTTTGTTTGAAGTTGTGGGGATCCAACCCTGTCTTGTATTCTACCACTGAGATATCCCCTTAGTCTCTATGGCTTTGTTCTAAGACTGTACTATAAGTGTTAATGTTCCATTGTTGTAATAAAATATCATTCATGACCAAAAACAATTTAAAAACAAAACATTATTTTAGTTTACAGTTCCAGAGGGATAGAGCCAATTAATGGCCTGGTGGCAAGAGCAGGAAGTAGATCACATTTTGTTCGCACACAGGAAACAGAGCAAAAGACAGCAAGAAGTGGTGGAGTGAGGTATAAACCATCAAAACTTGTGTGTGTGTACATTTTGTGTGTGTGCATACTTGTGTACATACATACATGTATCCATACAAATAACATACTTCTCCCAGCAGGACTCCACTTCCTTAACTTCTCCCAAACAAGAGTCACCGACTGAGCCCATGGCGGGAGGGACGTTTCTCACTCAGACCACTTGCAAAGGGCCTATATATCTATTCCAACCTATTAGAACATTTATAACTTATACAGCGAATTATTTTGTAGTAAGTCTCAGGACCTCAGAAACACGACTGCACCAGTATTAGAATATAACACTTATTAATGTTTTAATATATAGACGGTGGTCATTAAATACTCAAATGATTCTAAAACCATGCCTCTTCTTTCCATTTGTGTGTGTGTGTATACTGCATATATGTATTCGTACATGCATGTGAAGTCTACAGAGGCTAGTAAAACGTACCAGATTGCTGTGAGCCCCAATACATGAGTTGAGAACCAAACTCTGGTTCTCTTCAAGAAAAGCAAGTACTCTTAAGTGCTGAGCCATCTTTCCCACCCATCATGGTTGTATTAATAAATAGCACAGGGGCTAATACAGAACCACTGCTCCAAGTTAAAGCCTTCTTGACTAGAAAAAAATGAAGTGTTATTACATATCACACGCAAATATAATTCTCCTGATTAAATCATCAGAGTGTTAGCTAATCAGTAACTTCTGATGTATAAAAGTCAGGTGTATCTTCTTTGTAATGTGTAATTACCTAAAATCCAAAAGTAAGCATACTTGAAAGTCAATGCATTCGCCTTTAACTTTCATTGCCCTGCTTACTTTAAATGGCCAGTATATACTGTAGCTAATTGTAGAACAGAAGCACAAAGCCATGTAAAGAGATACTTTGAGACATCACAAGTTCAAAAAGTTACCAAGAATTCCAAGAATACTTGGGGATATCTAAATGGAAAAATAATGGCCAATTTTTCATTCAGTTTTTCAAGTATAGCTTTCTCAACAGGTGAAATAAACATCTTCATCATGTGACTGCATGAGTTGTTTATTCTAAAAGATTCTAGATAACTCCCCTTAGACTATAGGTTCATATGTCAAGGGCAGTTGGTTTTTTGTTTGTTTGTTTGTTTGTTTGTTTTGGCATGCCCTCGTAACCACCCTGTGAGACAGACAGAAGAACAGATCTTAGAGCAGGATGTTCCTGTGACCACCATTCCCAGTCTTTGGTTGTTTCTTCTTTTCATGCCAGGAAGACTGTCTTCATTCATTGGTTAACATGAAATGCCCACATGAGATGAGAGCTTTCCTGAGGGCCCATGCATGTGGAAGAGGAATGTTGTATGTGCACTTCAGTCACTGGATGCTGTAAGTAAGTCTAGGGCAGAAGTAGCAGAGCTACTCTGACTTTAGGAATTCTCTTAAGCCATTAATTTATGCTAGATAGGTTTAGTCCTGCTCGCCACCGTGTTTTGGCCCCTGTTCGTTTTAGATTCTTTGGGGACATCTTAAATAAACCTGGCTGCTTCCCACAATGGAGCTTATGAAAGCCAGTTCTATAGTCTGTCTCTTTGAACATGAAAGTAACCACCATCACTGGCCTGCATCCTTCCCAGGTGAGTCTAGGCTCCTTGTCTGACGGATGTGTCTATGGGAGAAAGAGTCGCATGAGTGTTAGTATAGTGTGTAGAATAAAAGAGGCACAGACTCTGCTAGTCTGAGCTAGTCATTCCTCACATTAACCAAGTGAGCTAATATCAGAGGGGAGGTGACTGGGAAACACATTAGATACAATTTCAACCTGATTTTGTTCGACCTATACAATGGAAGACCTGAACGGATCATATAAACTGAGGTTGAAGGGCCAGCATACAAGAAATGCCCCAAGCCTCTTTTCCTCTTCCAGGGGAACAAAAGACATTTTTGACGCAAATATAAGGTGAAAAATAATAATTAGAACTGTCTTAAAATGAGTAAAAAAAAAAAAAACAAACTGGCCCTGAACTCAAAGAGATCTGCCTCTACTTCCCACGGATGGGATCAAAGGTATGCACCACCAAGCCTGGGGAATGGGTTATTTTTTTTTTTTATGAAAAATAGCTATCAAATTTTTTTTTTCGGAGGCAGGGTTTCTCTGTGTAGCCCTAACTGTCCTAGAACTCACTCTATAGACCAGGCTGACCTCAAACTCACAGAGATCTACCTGCTTCTGCCTCCTGAGTGCTGGGATCGAAGGCATGAACCACCACCACCACTCAGCCAAAATACTTCCTAGTATCTATAGTTTTTTAAAAATTATTCTTTGTAGAGCCCAAATGTATAAGCTCTTATCCTGTTATTTTATTGTATTCTGTTCATATTTCCACACTGATTTAAAGTTCTTCCTCTGTGTGTTTTTATACCACGTTGATGGTACAGGCTGCTGCCCTGCTCCGTTAGCGTAATGAGATCCCAGAGACCTTCTTATCTATGAACCTGTGGCCCAGTATAATGGATGCAACACGATTCCCCCAGACCTCTTGTTCAACAGTCAAAACCCTTGTAATTTTCTCTTTGTTGATGGCCAGCAGCTGACCCGAAGTCACCATGTAAGCTCCAGAGGGACCTGAGAGCTGTAGTAAACAAGGCCTCACTTGCATGTCTGGCAGGAAGACGCGACATTTTCAAACGGGAAAGGAAAGTCCCTGTTTCCAAGGTGTCGCTTGGGCTCCAGTGTTAAACTCTTCAAACTTTACTACGAGTTGACATATTCTGTAGATTAAAAAACAAAACAAAAAAAACCCCAAAATCCCACATTTCGTATTCATTTCACTCTGTGTGATTCTGAGACTTCCCCAGCAATTAAGTTCCCAGAATCCACTGATCTGCCGAGTTTCCTGGTAGCCTATTAAGTTTTTTCTTATTTTTCTTTCCATCCCGGCATCCTTGGAATTTTTGGAAGTACCTACAAGGCTAGCTTATCTCTCGCTGTTTGGTCACTGTTGTTTTTGATACAAAATCCTCCCATTTAGGTGCTACTAATGCCATTTTATAAGCAGGTTCCCCTCTCTGCAGAAACGAGTCCTATCCTTGAACACCAGACAACACAGTCCAGACCCAGTCATTTCTGCGCATGTGTTCTCCTCCTATCCATGAGGATCCACATCCTCCCTTAGGCACAATGTTCTATGTCACTCCAGTTTCATGCTATGATGGAGCTGGTACTGGTCCTCTTGGGGTTTTGCCCAGTTTTGTTTTGAGACAGGGTCTCACTAGGTAGTTCTGAACGTCCTGGAACTCACTGTGTAGACCAGGCTGGTCTCTGATTGAGAGATCCATCTGCCTCTGCCTCCCGAGTGCTGGGACTAATGGAGTGCACCACCACACCCAGCTGGTCCTCCAGTTTTCCACTCAAGAATGACAACAATCTATAGAGATAAAGCTAATTCTTTGCTTGCCCTGGGAAAGAAGTGCCTCCCAAATACTTGCTAGTCACAGGAGAGGGTTCTGAACCGAGCCCCTCTCGTCATTTGTCCACTTTGGCTAATTAATCTTTTATTTTCCCCCAATATTTGATAATTCCGGTTCTTAAAGGAATGAGATGTAAACATATACAAGACGCACAAAAGACGGAAGTTGCCGCTGAAAGTGGCAGGTTCTCCATGCTCTGTGCTATGCTTTGTGTCGCTGAGCTGCCTTTGTCATGGATCTGTCACTAAGCTCATTCCTAGAACTCTTACCGCACCTCTGGAGCTGTTCCAGCAACACGAGCTCACTTCTCTTTGAACCAGAGAAGCACAAAAGAATCTCCCGTGTAGTCAGGTGTCCTTCTTTAATGCCACAAAATGCGGCTGCTATTATCCATTGCAGTTCTCGGAGGACAACCCTTGGATTCATGTTCAAGGAGACTCTGTATTCTCTTTGGCTACTACAGTCACAGACATTGCCTGTTAGCCCTTCTTTTCAAGTCATTATGGGAAAGAGGTTATACAGATACTCTTAAAAGGAACCTGTTTTGGTGCTGTCTGTCTGTCAAAATGTCTCCGGATACCACAGCCAAGATGCTAGGCCACAGAAAAACAGCCAAACCCTAATATGTATCGTTGGTGCCGCCTTTCCCTCCACCAAGACAACCTTCCTCCATCCAACTTGCTTGTTCAAATGTCACTCCCACTTATCTCAGGGCACACAATACCCATCAGCAACATTTCTAAATTAGTGGGCTTAATTATCCTTTCCAAACTTTGTAGCTATGGGATATACTTTGGGAAATTCTAAGGTAACAGGCATATTTTCTCAAAGAAGTGAAGAAGTTAAAATGCCGCGATACCCAACTACAACCCTAAAGAATCCTTTGGATAACAACTTGGCAACGTCTTTCCCTGCAGTCCTTCACAAAGCTCTATGTGTGGCCCATCTTCTTGTCTTTATGAGAGTCTCACTGGGGATAGGTTTCTATAGCTCCTGATGTCCTCCGATTCCACAGTGGACTTCATCGGTTGTCTCTGCTTGATCCTTCCTGATTCAACTCTTCATACTCAGAAGGTATAGTTCATGTCATTCCAGAATCTCGACTCCATTAGAATCAGACATGCATCAGCAGGTATAATCCACATGTGGGTGCTAAGAGGGTGACACTTTGTCTCTGCCTGCCATCTGGTGTCTTTGGGCACTGATAGAAAAGACTCAGTGTGGTGGTTTCCATAACAAACATCCCCCTTGGGCTCAGGCATTTGAACACGTGGTCCCCAGCTAGAGGAACTATGTCACTGGGGGCAGGCTTTAAGACTACACAGCCTCATTCTTCTTCTAGTTCAGTCTTTCTGCTTTGTGTGCACTGATAAAGATGTGTGTTCGGTTGGTACCTCGCCCCAGCATGATCTGGAAAGCCCCATTCCTGTCTCTCTTTCCAAACCCTGCCCACTCTGTCTCTAAACAAAGGCAATGAAAAGCCCAGTTCTGCATGCTTGGTGGCTATTGCAGCAGCTTCCTTCCCTGAAGCTGCCAGTCACGCAAGTACCCATCTAAAGCACTTCAGCTTTTGACCATACATGGGCACAAAGCCAGCTCGTGTGGACACATCATCATCCCTTGTCTACAACCTATATAATCTCCCTGCTTTAGTTCTGGGTGGGTGACTTCTCTGGCCTCCATCTTTGGGACTGGAGGATCTACCTGGGAGTTGCTTTGCTCAAAGAACCCTGTTGTTACACTTTTTTAATTCGGATTGACCCAGCTTACTTCATTGGTGGAGAAACCTATTATGGGGTCAAGGACAGAAACCTTAGCAATGTGGTTCCTCAGCTTCCTGCTCCTGCTGCCTGCTGCCATGACTCCTGCATTGATGGGATCACTGTCTGGAAGAGTAAACCCAAATAAACTCTTCCTCCTAGGAGTTGCTTTGGTCCTGCTATTTCCTAACAGTAGCAGAAAGCAAAGCTGCAATTTCCAGAGCCCTTTGTCCACTGAGAGCTCTTTACTCATCAGCTTCGACGAATTTCTAAGAAATCATTTGTTAGGAGGTCTACATGAGCTAAATTCAGCCCGGGACACTGGTTCACCTATTTTACTCGCTTCTACACAACCAATTTGATCCTGTGCCACTTATGCAGTCAGAAACTGAGCCTTGTTGATACCAGGTCTAACACAGAACTGGGAGATAGGCATTAACCGGAGTCCAAGCATATCTCTGCTGACCCATAATATCTTCCAGCTCACTCTTTTCGCAGGGGCCATGCTAATCTTCTCTGTAGCGTTCCAATTTTAGTATACGTGCTGGCAAAGCGAGCACCTAATTCACTCCTTTCGTATGCTTTCTGGAGTCCTGGCCTGTGAAATGGTGACCAAGCCAGGAGCAGACAAATACAATACTGGCAGCCTGGAGAAAAAAGGGCTTCCAGGTATGATGTAGTCCAGTGGCTAAAGAAGCAAAGTTAGGTAGATATGAGCTGTGTGTGGTGGAATAAGTAGCGGTGGCTTAAAAAAGCAGAAGTCAATTTAGTGAACAACCAAAGAGAACTCTTCAGACAGCAGAAGGGCAAAGTTTGTCAAAGGCAGAACTGCAGGCAGCAAGGTACCATGTCTCACAAGGCAAACAGCTTCCAGGTATGCCTTTTTGGGTACAACTTAAAGACCACATGTGCCTCTATCATTCAAAGCAAAGGGCTCCACTTCCGAAAAGACTTTAGATCTATGGCATTTAAGAGGCACAGAGGGACAGCTGTGTCCTAATAAATTTTCTATTTTGAGAGTCTGGCTCTCAAGAGGGCTTCATATGATCAGTCTGACACAGGCTAGGACGGAAGTTGGAAAGCTCAGCAAGTGTTGAGAGCTCCACATTTTCATCACTCTTATCTGGGACTCTCTGGCACTCTGCACCAAGCTGGGACAGGTTTCAGGTAACAGAGTGAAGTGAAAATCCAGGCTGGACTAGCTCAGCGTTCTGTATCCCAAAGATAGCACACAAATGCGGCAGGTGTCAAACAGTTCAACACCAAGTATGAGAGAACACCCCACATGCAGACCAGATGGAGCATCGGGGAATCCAGGCTCAAGACACTCAAAAATACAGGACAATATGACTTTTGACAAAGGTGCCAAAATTGCACATTAAGAAATGGATGCCAGGTGAGACTCTCTGTGAATTTGAGGCCAGCCTGGTCTAGAAAGCACAAAAAGTGTGTGTGTGTGTGTGTGTGTGTGTGAGAGAGAGAGAGAGAGAGAGAGAGAGAGAGAGAGAGAGATATCATTAACAAACAGCACCAGAAAGCTAAGAATGAAACAAGACCTCAATCTCTCACCTTGTACAAAAATGGATTAGAAGCAGCATTGGTGTAAGACTTGAAACTCTTAGAGTACTACAGGAAAATTACGAGTCCTGGAACTGGAGTTCCAGGCAATTATGACTTCTCACATGGGTGCCGGGAATGGACCTCGGGTACTCTAGAAGAGCAGTAAGTGCATGTAACCACTGACTCCTTTCTCCCCCAGCCTCACATGGCATTCTCTAGAACAGCATAGTGGCATTTTACAGTCAAAGCCCCACATATTTCTATGGTGGAGAGCACTGACCAGACTGAGTGAAATAATGGAATTCATTGTTTCATCAACCTCCTGGAAGTTCATATGCTGGGCTTTAGGACATTCTAGAAAATATCTAGACCCATCCAAGAATTTTTAAAAATTCTTATTCATCGAAAAATGAAATAAAATTTGCCAGTGATGATGTATGTCCCCAATGTGAAGGTAGCTCAGCGGTAGATCGCTCATAGTCGTGAGTGTGAATTCTTGTGTTCTGCAAAAGTAAATTCCCATTTATGCTCACAAAATATGACCAAGCTGCTAAGTATTCTGTCGTGGATATTGAGTAGATTATATACAAAGGACAAATCTAATATCGTGCTTATAGATGACAGCTGTTTTTCTCCTAAATCAAGGCTTCTAAAACCCTTTCTACTCTGATCTTTTTTGCCAGAGGAAATTTTACAAGATCATATATATATATATATATATATATATATATATATATATATATCAGATATTCTAATAAAACATTCACCAATAATGAGTCACAAAGAAATGTATTTATTTACATTATTTACTTTATTTACATAAAGCAGATAATTTGAGGCAAGGTCTGTTGTATTCCGGGCTGGATTCTCACACTTACTATGTAGCCTGTCTGGATTTGAACTCCTGATCTGTCCTCCTGATGGATCTCCCAAGTGCAAGAATTATAGCCATTCTCCATCACACATACCTTTAAAATTTTTATTTTAAAACAAGTCAGGAACCCAAACAAATTTTCCCATTTTATATGTATGGGGGTGTTTGCCTGCATGTATGTCTATACACCACAGGCAAGAAGTGCCTGCAGGGGCCAGAACAGGGCACTGAACCCCCTGGAACTGAAGGGGCAGACAGTTGTGAGATGCCATGTAGGTGCCGAGACTCAAACTTGGGTCCTCTGAAAAGTGCTCTTCACTGCTGGGTCTCTCCAACACTTTTAAAACTCAAACATCCTAACACAGTATACTCCAAATACAAACTAAATACAAACTTCCATGCCAAGGAAAGTAGGGAAACATTTCAAGCCTTTGCTGTTATCAACTTGACATGGTTTTAGAAGACTTTGTAGGTACAGTAAAAAAAAAAAAACACTATACTTCAGAACACACAGTAGCCTAGAACTTGAGCTGGGATGTTTCAGGAAGCTTCCAAGCACTATACACTGTGGTGGCATGCACACACAGGGTGGTTGCTGCGTGCGCAGAACCAAGCCTGCAGTGAAGGGGGCTGCAACACAGGCAAGCCCTTGCCTGAAGGGACATCACAGGTTCGATCCTGCGTTCATCGGGGAAACTGCACATTTAGACATCTCTGACTGCTGCCACATTGCTCTTGACTTGCACGTTCAGTTGTGTTTAAGACACTGGGTAAAGATGACCACACATTGGGTTGTTCTAACCATGTGGCACAATGCAAGCCATGAGAGATGGAGTAGGGATACAACTCACAGTCCTCTGTGTGTGCACCTGTGTGTTGTGGAGAGTGAAGAACAAGAAACAGATCAGAAGGAAGTCTTACATGTTTCCTTTTTTTTTAATCTGGTGCAGTCTACAAAGGGAAACAATAAAATTAGTTAATATATAAAACATTGTAACTAAAGCTATCAGAGATTGACGAATAAACATGAGTAGGGATAAGAGGAATTCGCAAACAATCTTCAGCTTTGTTTTTTGTCTCTCTTTGACCCCATTTTCACCTACTGTATCTCAATATACTGGATTCTATATAAAGTCTGTCTCAAGATAATTTGTATCGCCGTGATAACAGAACCAAAGTGTACTTTTAAAACCAAGAATGCTTCAGGCAGAAACGTTAGACGCATTTGTCAGCTGCTGTAATCACTTCCAACCCAGCAGATAGTCTTCAACAATCTGATTTCCAGTTGGAACTGCACAGCTCATCAAGTCATAATTAAGCTAATGAGAGTGTTACATATTCGTGGGTTTTGTCAGCTGAAGATTTGTCATTCTGGAGTAATGAGCTTTCATACACTTCATCCTTGAGATCCTTAATATTCTGATCATTGGTGAAGGGGCATTGGCTTCTGTCCTTTAATCAATTATAGAGACATTCTGAGATGAGCTATGTTAAAGTTCAGATTCCTCATTAATATTGTTAATGGGACCGCTCTTTGCTCAGACTCTCCAGTTTGTCCATCCCAGGTTGTTAATATTCTTTTCTTTTCATGCTACTGAGGAATATGCCTTCAAGTCTGTGCATACCAGGCAAGCACCCTACTATTTCCTCATATACCCATCCCTCTTTTCACATCTTTTTTGAGAAAGGTACTAAGTTACTCAGGCTGGTTTTGAACTCCCTCTGCAGCCAAATAAAGCCTCAAACTTGTGATCTTCCAGCATCAACATCCCAAATAATTTTATATACACACATATAGGCAATATGTACTTTTAGGCTTAATGTTGATGTTCAACAAAACAGCACTTATTTTCAGGCACGGTGCCTTCATTTCTACCCTATTTTTTTTTTTTTTTTTGTGTGTGTGTGTGTATGGTGATACAGGATTCCCCTTTGTATGTGGTGAATATGCTTTATTAACATTGGTTGTTAAAGAAGCTATTTTGACTCATGGCTTAGTAAAGCCAGGCAGGAAATCTGAACAGAGATATAGAAAGTAAGTGGAGTCAAAGAGACGCCATGTAGCTACCAAAGGAGAAAGATGCCCGCAGGACCATTACGTGTAAGCCACAGCTGGGAATGAACAAGCAGCCTCCACCTACATGTATGGTGTATGTGCATGTGAACACAGATACACATATCATGTGTGCATGTACATGTGCCCATGGAGGCCAAAAGTCAACATTGGGTTTTGTTCCCAGCTGCCCACCTGGATTTTTGAGGTAGGACCTCTCATTTGAACTAGGCTTACAATTAAGTTAGACTGGCTGGCCAGTAACAGCCCCCCCACCCCCAGGGACTTTCTGTCTCTTCCTCTCAAGTGCTGGATTAGAAACACGTACCCCTACATCTGATGTCTTTAGTGTGAGGTTCTGAGGATTAAACACAGGTCTTCATGTACCATACTATCTTACTTAGGGTTTATATTGCTGTGAAGAGACACCATGGCCACAGCAACTGTCATAAAGGAAAACATTTAATTGTGGTGGCTCTCTTATAGTTCAGTGGTTTAGTCCATTATCACCATGGCAGGAAGCAAGGCAACATGCAGGCAGACATGGGCTAGAGAGGAGCTGAGAGTTCTTACTTTTTGACTCACAGGCAACAGAAAATGGTCTGAGACACAGGGAGTGGCTTGAGCATACAGGAGATCTCAAAACCCACCTCCACAGTGACACACTTCCTCTGGTGAGACTGTACCTACTCCAACAAGGCCACACCTCCTGATGGCCCCCAGTCCCTTTGGGGGCCATTTTCTTTCAAACCACCACACTGCCTGAGCCATCTCTCCAGTCCAGAATTTTAATTTTTGCCCTGAGTAATAATCAAAATAACACAAAGTTCAAAAAAAAATTACATGAAGAGGTGAGTGATCTCTCTCTTCATGGCCTTGCTCAGTGACACTGTTTTGTGGCGGCGGGATTTGAGTAGGACGGGGAACCGTGTCAGGAATGGAGCCATGCAGAGAGCATGGTCTACTTGACTGTGGTTCTTAGAGCTGTTTCTACCTATTAGTGTCACTCTCCCAAAGGACAGTGCCCCAGTGCCCACTTGTATTCAAAATGTCATTGCTAAAGCAGCACTAACGCCACGGAGAGAGGACGCTCAAACAGAGCTAAACATCTCTGGTGCCATGACTCACTGTAAACAAAGGTCATAACTGAAACACGTCCCTCTGCTAAGATGACACTGGTCTCTTGTTTTGTTTTGTTGCCGCTGTCGTAGCCTCTCATTCTTGCATGCCGCCACCATCAGATTTTGTGAACATAGCAGCAGTGGCACCAGGCGAAACAAACACCAGGACCAGACAGAGCACGGAGAGCAGAGATCCTAGAGCGTCTGAATGGCTCTTGATTTTCTCAACAGGAATATCAGCTCTACTTAGATTTCCTGGTGAAAAATCCCAATTTGCTGACCATGGAAGCCATTAGCTTCTGAAAGCAGGAACTAGATGTGATGATTACCCAAGACCCAGAGCCACACAAACAGATCGGATTAGTCTGTAAGACAATATAATTTGCATTTGGAAGTGATCTGATGTAATGATTTAGAAAGTCTATCAGAATCAGACGACGCCATGGGATCTTCATGTAGATGCACAGAAGCCCAGGCTGATCATGATTTATCTTTAAAGGGATGACTAGACCACTCTTTTGGAGTTTAAGTTCTGGTTCAACTATTTCCAAATGCAGTTAGGATACATATTTTGTATTTATATGTGATCAACTGTAGAAATGAAAGGGACCTATGATTAGAAACCAGTCCTCTGATTTCACACAAGCATTTCCAATTTATTCAGCTAATAAACATGTGCTTCATGTGTCGAGCACTGTTCCACACATCTGGATGTAGAGACAAAACAGTTCTCTTTCTCATATTCCCACGGGCAGGGTAATGGCTAATCTTGGTTATAACTTTGGCACTCCTGGTAAGAGAAAATCTTAATAGGAGAATCATCCCATCCTGTTGGCCTGTGGGCATGTCTGTGATACATTTCCTTGATTGCTAGTTGATGTAGGAGGGCCCAGTCCACCGTGGACAGAACCAGTCCTAGGCAGGCGGGCCTGGGGAGTATAAGGAAGGAACTGAAAAGCCAGCCAGCCCTTTCTTCGTGGTTCCTGCCCTGACTTCCTCCAGTGATGGATTGTAACCTGGAAGTGGATGAGATGATCTCTTTCTTCCCCATCTTGTTTTTGGTCAGTGTTTTATGACAGCATCATAAAGCAAACTAGAACAGACAAGTAGTTGCCAGCCAGTTTTTGAATCCCTGCCTCATAGGAAATATTGTTTTTTACAACATCTAACACCTTTAGACATCACAATGTTCAGTTTCAAGCATCTCATTTGCCAGCCGACTTACCATGGCAATTCCATATTTGAACCAGCTCCTCCATCCAACTTTACCTCCTCTGGTTTGACCCCACTCTCAACCACCCTATAGCCTGTGTTCTAAGCTCTGAAACCCCCATTCCCTCAACTATTCCTCCTGGGCGGGATCTCTCCTCCACCCTCTGAATGGGTGAAGATTGGATTATTCTAAGGGAAGGTGTGTTACTAGGCTTACTGGCAAACATGGAACTCTTCCGGTCTCTCAGCTATAAACATGCCTTGTAAGCCACTGCTGAGGTCCTGGGCATGAGGCTCTGCAAACAGCATCTCTGTCCTACCACCTGCCTTCCCTTTCTACCCGTAGGAGCCTGGGAGAGGCTGGGTAGCAGCAGGAAGGGCTATTGTCCGCCATGCTACTGTTGCCAGTATGCAAACAGTGCGGCTTCTCATTCAGGCCGAGGCAGATGGCTCTGTTTTCTAACTTCTTCCTCTAGTACTGTCAGAAAGATCAGGACAGCGCCCTCTCCTCTGGGTCTAACGCTGTGGGACTGCTGTGTTCACAAAGGTCTTTTAGGACAACTTCACTCTCTCTTATGGCTTTAGCTCACAAGAGGTTGGCCTTCAGGTCTGTATTTCTGTCGGTAACTCTCTCCGATTTCAGGGCTGCTGTCAACACCCTAGAGCGACACTGACCCAGACTCCTCGAGTTCATCCTCCTCATTCATCTATTGGCCATATGTCATATGATTGGCATATGACCTGCATATGTGTCTATGTGACTTTGTCAGATCCCCTAGAACTGGAGTTACAGTTGTGAGCTGCCATGTGGGTACTGGAGATTGAACCTGGGTCCTTTGGAAGAGAAGTCAGTGCTCTTAACCACTAAGCCATCTCTCCAGGCCCCACACTGTGAACTCAACAAGGATTTTGTGGTGAACTCCAGGGCTTATTTCTATAGGGGTAAACCAAATTGTGCTTTTGACATTAGTAACTCTACCACATGGACTAGTCAAATCAATAATTAAAAATTAAAATTAAAAAATTAAACAACCCCCAAAATCCACACTGATATGAGTATTGATTTGGATATATCCTGGGGATAAAAATCATATAAAGTCATGAAGTATATAATTCTACTAATATAACCTTCTTGAAACAATAAAAGGTTTTAAATGGAGATAGATTAGTAGTTGCCTAGAGTTGAGACGTGGGTGAAGAAGGCAGAAGGGAAATAGCTGTGTTTATAAATGAGCAACAAGAAAGAAGCCTTGTAGTGGGTCCTTGGGGTGACTCAACTGTTGAGCAACTTGACCATATCAGTACCAGAATCTTGGTTTTGATACTGTCTAGACTATTCCTGTTTTTCAAGATGGATGTGTGTACTTGGGGATGGAGGTTAAAGGAATGAAGGACCCCTTTGTACTTTTCTTCCAATCCTCTCAACGCCTCCCCTCCAGAATGATGCAGTCCTCACACCTTCGAACGCAGTCTTTTTTTATTTGAGAAGGTCACTCTGAAGGCAGTGCCCTTTGGGAAAGACATCTCTCATCATGTACATCAACCATTACTCTCAGCAAAGTACAAAAATACACACATCAGTGGCTTCCTTACAATAAATACACAGCCATGCATCCCAAGACAGAAGGCACCGAAACTGGTCACTTAGTAGTCATAAAAATTATTAGCTACATTAACAAAGCCACCCGAATTATCTGTACAAGGAAATGTAACAATATATTCCAAAGGTGAAAACACATGAAAACATCTTTAAAATAGTATGCAATAAATATCTCAATTCTCATATAGATTTTTAAAAATTATGCCATTGTAAACAGCATGTAAACAAACAAAAGTCACGTCTTATCATTATTAAAAGTAATTAGAGCCAAAGTTATAACCTCTGCTCTGTCAGGTATCTCAATGGCAAGTGTGCTAAGCAGGTAAAAGTTTCACTCTTTTCTGGAGCAAACAGAGCCCACTGTGTAAGAAATAGGCAGACTTTATCTGCGTCTTTCAGAGACAAGTATTTAGTTTCAAAACAGACTACCAAAATGTAGTAAATCCTTAGCTATAAATATGGCAAGGCCAAACTAAAACTACTTTTGCAATAGGGGGAGGAGAAGGAGCTATGCTGTTCGGCTCTCACCGTGGTAACATGTTGTGATTATCTGGGTACAAGGCCACAGTGCCCAGCCTTCCTTGCCCCCTCCTTTTGTGGACTGTTTACAAAGCTGAACTAAGCCAAAAAAAAGTTATCGAGTTGAGACTTTTCTTTTGCTAAGGGACATAGAAATGGTTGCTATTTTATATGACAGAAAATAAGGACTTCAATATATACTTACTGAAATATGAAAATACAAACCAGCAGAGACCCCCCCCCCCCAATCTCACTGACAGGAAAGATAAAGACAATTTTTTCTTCCTTCTACTAAAGGAAACCTATAGCCTACCCATCAGTAAATATTTAGGAGACACTGCCGTAACTCAAACGCTTGCTGTGTTTCATCTACATGTCGGAACCTTGCGGCATTCAAATACCAGGATATCACTATATGCTGAAGTACATATGCTACCCGTTAAATACCACTGCTTCCTGCTCTCCATACCTAAGGTGCTGACACCAACCTGTAGCTTCAAACAAAGCTTTCCCATCTCCTAGAAGCACGACTGTGAGGCCTCCATCCTTGCCTGTGGGTTTACAATGTATTTTGCTATAAATGTCATGGATTTCTGCCTTCCCAGAAGAAAGCCTAGATTTACCCTGGTTCCATAGAGCAGACGCTGGGGCTCAGCACAGCCCCTGTAGTGGCAGAAGCAGCAAAGTATGGGGTTAGTGAAGCACACACTTGATCAGTGATGGCAGGAACTACGGCCAACATGAAAATCTAGCGATCGTGGAAATAAAAATGGGATTGCTTCTTGATGATGTACATTTGGTTGATTTTGGAGGACGGCGGGGTGACACTGAAACAGGCTGAGAAAATTTTTAAAAATTCCTACTCGTTTCTTTAAACAGACTTCAGGAAGAGCACCTTGAGAACAAACTTAAACTCTACCAGACACAAGTCACGTCTTAGTTTTCCATCGTTAGGATCTAAGTCAGTGCCCAAGTTAGAGCAGTAGGGAAAGCTTACCAGTGCCTGGAAGAGAGTGCGCCACTTTTATTATGTGCACTGACCGGAGTCCATTCAAGAAACTTAACTGAAAGAGCACTGTGCTCACTTGTCATTACCTAGGGACGTGGTAGGGATGGCTTTAGTCAATCATAAGAACAGGCCCATGGGTAACAGCAAATGTTTTAGTCTCCACGCTTTCTAAGGGCAATGACAACCATAGAGCTTCCTACATTTGTCATACAATCATGATTAATAGTAAACGGCCTGAAATCACACGAATTTCACCTATGCCTTCTTGAGTGGATGCTGTTTTAAAAATTTCACTTTTACTATTGTTTTTATTCTTTTCCAAATCTCACAATCAATATGTATTTGTCTATGAAGATTCTAAGTACTGAGTGTACAGAATAGAAAGACAATCTGTAGGACAAGCAAGATTTTGGCAATGATGTTGAAATTTATGTTTCACTTTCAGAAACAAGAATTTAGATCTGGCAAACACTTCTGACATAAAGGAACGTAATTAACAAATGATGATGTTTGACAAAACAATTACTTATGCCTGTTGATGTTCTGTTTGTCTGCTCAGAGGGCATATGTCCTCACAAACACAAGACTTTCAAGGAGTTCTGAGTTTTTATTTGTGACTGTATAAAAATATAATTCAAAAACATTAGTTAAAAAAGTCTCAATAAAAGAGCCATTTAACATGAACATGGAAAACCTGAGACCGCCTTAACGGAAGAGTTCAGGGTGAGTTTCCAGCTGAAATGAATAATATATAGATTAAAAGACCCATGACCTACTCTGGTTACTCATTCAACCTCACCTGCATCTTGTTCTTTCTGCTCTTGCCATGTGGGGACTGAACCCGTTGAGGCTTCAACCGTGCAGACCAAGTACTCTCCTGCTGGGCCCCAGGCTCTTTACCTCCACTTCTAGACGGAATGGCAAGGGTCACTAGCTTTCTTTCTCTGTTAGAACTAAAATGACACTGGGAAAGAAATCGTAAATCAAGGTAGGACTCAGGCTGACATCTGTCCTTTCTCAGAGTGGAAAAATGATTAATTACTTGTAACTGGCTGTGTTGGGCAACCCTTCAAACAGGGAACCCCAGACATCAAAATATATTGGGTGTAAAAAATATGACAGGGTGGAACTGAACGAACCTCTTCAGGTTCCAAGAGGTGAGTTCTCTATAAATACTATAAATAAAAAACAACAAATCTTAAGGAAAAAGTATCAGAGCTAACACATTTCAAGGCTCAGCTAATTCATGAAAATTTCTTTGTCTTCAAGTTACGGATTGAATCACCTTCACCATGTCCTTCACAGGAGTCATCTAAGCCCCTGTGACTAGTTGCCCGCTGCCTACTGCTGAGTTGAGAAAGCACAGACATCTCTACCACGTGAAATAAACAATTGCAGGGGCTGTTCTAAATGTCATAGGGATTAGGTCAACCAAACCGCCTCCTTAATTGACCTGTAAGGTTTTGCGGTAAACGGGCTTCCTGGAGAGTTAACTAATTCTAGGAAGGACCTCAGCCCTGACCGATGGAGCTGGAGCTTTCTGAGGTGCACTGCCCACCAGGTCATGTATTTCGTGTGTGCTCTGTCCTTCCACAATACAACATGAAAGATATATTCAAACTCTTTGTTCCTAGGCCATGCCAAACTGCCCCAAGTTCCTGGATCAGCTATGCATCTAACATAGTCTCATTTATTCTATCCTCAATAAACGCATCTACAACAGTATAATATAAACCTTTGTCACTAAAAGCAAGCTAATTCTTAATTTCCTAAGAGGCTTAAATAACCCACAACTCACCTGCTGTTCACATCAGAGAAATCAGGTGGATTAAAGTGTTTTCTTAGCTTTACAATGTTCAGTTGGAGTTTTGTTCCTTCCCTGACAACAATACCGGGCAACTGCCTTTTAAATGTTTGGGTTTTTAAATAGTTGAGTCAAGAATGTCTCCAAATGAAAATCAGGAAAAACTGGGTTTAACTTGCTGATTACTTGGCAGAAGTAAGCAAACAGCGCCCACCGTGGGTACCATTTGCAGCAGGGCCCCCAATCACACAGAAACAGATGTCAAGCATAGCCTTTAGAACCGAGATTTAGACATCAGAGGTCTGAGATCTTTGAGAGGATTCAAGATTCAGTGCTTGTCAGAATTGGCCAGTGCAATCAAGCAATCAAAGACAATGTCCCCGCCACAAAGCTAAAAATCCACAGAAGGAAAGAGTTACAGACTGAAGTTCTAACATACACGGGGCAAAATACAAGCAAGGCAGATCTCTGGACGACACTATTCATCCTCGTGCTTTCTGGCTACTTTGTGACTTTTAAGATATAAAAATCATTTTATAGAAAAAAGTTGCTATGACTATTCAGTTATCTAAGACAGGAAAGAAAACAGAATTTTGTATTTTGGGTTTTTTTTTTCTGTTTTGTTTTTAGGAAGGAAAACACTGGGCATCTGTTTGACAGAAAAGAGCATTTCAAGTATATAAGTCAACCGTCAACAGAGCTATTACACTCCAGGCAACAGCAGTAAAACAAAAGGAGTTCAAATACGCATCTGTATAAAGAGTATATTTCACAACAGAATAAATAAGGGCACTGATTTATACAACTGGTTCTAAGTAATACTGCCTTCAAGGGACGGTGCTGACATCAGCACTGTCTCACAGAGAAAAATTCAAAGGTACAGTTCTTGCCCCTAAAGCCACAAAATATACAAAGCTTTTATATCTGTTATTAAATATTTTATCTGCTAAAAGGCTTGCAAACTCAAATACATCTTGGCAAGTTTGAATAACCAGCATGATAATCCTTTTGGTATAAAAAGGTAAGAAAAATTGTAATATGAAAATTAATAATACCAGTAAAGGAGACAGCTGTTGTACAAATAGGTTTAAACATACGAGTGACTTTTATCTTGTTGATAGAGAAAAGCCAATGCAATTTCCTTGAAGGCTTGAAAATAATTTCCATATTTACCAGCTCTAGATAATAAATATATTACTCCAATGTATTAGTCATTTTCAGTATACAATATATAACTCACAAAACTGGGTGTGCTATTCTACCCAAGTCTTCCGCATCCCCAGGTAGCACTTACCAGCACTGTAAGCAGCCCTCGGCTGCACATGTGTTGAATACTCAGAATGTAGCCGTGGAAAGGGCTAAGCTGTGCGGAACCACAGTGCAATCCAATAGTAAGGGTCATAAACCACATTCGCTTTCCTTGTTGGCTTACATATTCAATTGCATTATCCTACCTTCCTACCTTGAGAGCATCAGATGAGTATGAAATGTCTTTATTTTAATGCATTTTATAAGTAACCCTGTGTTCGGCTGGCTAATCTACTCTTGAAATCTAGACAGTATGAAATACCCAGACTAGTCACAAAGTCTTACACAATGTGTAACTTGTAGCTGAAAGGAAATATTTTTACATGGATGTTTTTTTTTAAAAAAAAAAAGTTTAAAGCTGTGGCTCGCTTTTTGTTTTCCAACTAAAACTTGGAAGTGCAAAAAAATTGAGTATATTAAATAATGTAAATACAATATCTTAAATTACATAAAAGGAAGTAATCTGTTCACCTATAATATATAATGTGGAGTCTATCTTAAGCATGGTTATTGAGTTAATACAGTCTTAGCTACACTGTTTAATTTCTTTTCCTGAAAATAACAGAGACAAGTATAGAAAAAGGCAGGTACAGTCCAGCTGTTTTTAGCTCTCTGTCTTCTCTATCAACAAACCTTTATACATTTTCTTCTAACATAAACATCTCTAAACCAAACCAGGGAAAATAATAATAATAAAGAAAAGCAAGGCTTTGCTTATTACAAAACAACAATAATAATCACTCTCCAAGAGTCCTAGTTACATCTTTGTGAAGGGATCCTGTTGCTAAGGTACCAATAAGACAGAGATTGTGATACAAAAGTCAACTGAGGATACCACAGCAACAACAAACTAGGGGAGGGGTCACGACTCTTGGGGAGGCCCAGCAGCCAAGTTGTGGAAGCCACTGAGGATGCTTCATTCCCAATTCCTCCCCTGCTCAACACCTGTACTGGGGAGAGGTGGGTGTTTGAAAACCTAACGCTACAGAGAATGTGTCCACTGAGAGACACTAGAAGTCAGAGGTGAAAAGGGAATTGATTTTACAGCTTAATCAAAACTGATAGATCCAAAGAATTGGCCCTTGGAAAATGGAAGTTCACCCTGTCAGTTGGAGTGGTCAAAGATTTACTCTGCAAGGTCTATGCAGAGGGACCACCTATACATTTCAATTCGTAGCTTGTCAATTCATGTCAAAATAACCATGGAGTCAAAAAGAGTAAGATCTTATATATCAAAGTAGTTAGGAAGCTATGTTTGGGTAATTTATATCAAAATATAAAAATAATTAACGGACAGATTCCTGACAATAGATCACTGGGAAAAAGAAATCTCATTATAGAGTTAACAATTTGAATTTGGAGGCCAAGAACATATTGTTTTTCAGGACTTATTTTTAAGGGATCAAGAACCATGTAAAAATCCAGAGGAGTCGGCATATGACAAAGGGACCCAAATCTAGCAAAATAGGCCTGCTTTCAGAGTCTAAATGGCATTCACTTTCCTTGTGATCATTTTGATTCTTTCTCTCTTTTTCTTCTTTTGCATACCCAGTGATTCATCTAATATGTGTGGGCTGCTTCGTGTCTCCGAGCATGAACTATGTCAACAGAATAATCTACTGATACAAAAAAACGAAAATGTACAAGTTGAAGGAGACTGCCTAATCTTTATCTCAGTACATATTCTTCTGGAACGTTCAGTGTGAATTAAGTCATGAGCCACTGAGCATATCACATGCATAACAAACTGAACAACTGTGGATGGATGGGTGGCAGCTGAGAGTCTCTAGGGGCTGGAGAAATAGGACTAAAAGGAAGATCTGGGTTCAGCAGAGATCTGGACTGGACCTGAGGTTCTGCATTCAAAAATTCATTCATTTATTATTGTGTGTGTATGGATGGTATATGTTGGTGAGCATGCTATGGTGGGCATACTGAGGCCAGAGGATGAGTCTCTAAGTGGTTTTCTTCTCCCACTTTTATGTGGCATCTGGTATCAAACTTGATGCTAGACCAGCTGAATCATCTTGTTCGCTTCAAGCTTCTGCAGTTTTTGTAAGCTCCCAAATAACATTAACGCTGATGACCCAGGGACCACATTTTGAGTAGAGCGACCTAGTCCACTGCTGTCAAATGGAGTATTTTTGCCATGGTGGAAATGTTTTGCATCTATGTTTACAGGGCCCTCAAAATGTGGGTGGTACAATTAATAGATGAAGTTTCTAGTAAGAATAAACACATTTAATAGCCACAGGTGTCCAGCGGCTGAAATACCAGACAGCACAGATCTGAACACCCACAGCTTGTCTCTCCTCAACCACAGCAGTATGTTTCTAAATGCCCTAACCCATCAATTCAGTTTGATTATCTAGCAAACTGAAAACTTATTTAATTGGCCCCAACATTTTACTAAATGATTCATGACATTGAAAAAAGGAATCAGGGAGGTGAAAGGTTTCACTGAAGAAAGGGGAGCAGGAGGCAATGAGAATTTGGGTGGACGCAGCTGAGTCACTCCAGTCACCCGGAGTTTTACTTAAACCTGACTCTGTTCCTTTACTTTGGGGTGGGAGTGGGGGGCAACAAATGAACCTTAAATAATTTGGAGACAAGAGCAAGCTACAGACAGGTGCACAGGTGAGCATCTAGTCTCTCTCCACTTCAGCAAGGATCAAAGACACAGTCCTCTACATTCCCAGATGTAACTGGATCTTAGCGAGAGGCAATTCCCACATTCCTGTTTTGGAAACCCTACTTAGGATGAGATGGTTTCCTCATGACACTAGCAGAGACGGATGGAATCTCTGAGAGCATACTGCTGGTAAGCAGGCCTCAGCACTTACTGGAGTCCAGCCCTGACACCTGCGGACATGGATTACAGAGAAAAACGTTCACATGGGAACAAACCGCTGGTCCAAGTTGTCATCTTAAAGGATTTCCATCATCCCAAAGCCATTCTACTTAAAGTTTCCATGAGTTGGGATTCTACAGAATACATAAAAGGTGTTGGCAGGAACTGCAAAGATTATCAAACAAAAGCAAAGCCCATCACTGCCCACCCCTAGGGAAGTAGTCAATAGAACATTGTTTTTTTTCTGTTGACAAAGATGTATTTGGGGGAAGGTGAAAACTCAATAGTAATTTTTATAGTAATACACTCCTTATGCTGGAGCCCCAGCCTCAACCCTAGCCCTTTCTCCTGAGCAATGATCTGGGGAAAGTTCTGTGAATCTGACCTCCGATAATCTGGTTTCATAGAAAGTGTTGGCAGGGTTCTCACCAAGGGGTATACAAAAGGGATTGCAAAGGGCATGTTCAACTTCCCAGGCGTGCATAACATTAAAATTACTAAGTGGTTGGCCTATTATCAGCTTAAAAGCCTTGATATGAATTATCTTTGGAAAATTTCCATTGTGCACAATTTAGGTAAAAAATACATAGTCAGACATATTTATATGGTCAGGAACCCATCGAGATTGTCTGTTGATTTTTTTTGGTTTTGCTTTGTTTAAGGTATCTAAATTTTGTGATTTTTTTTTACTAGTAAATAGCCAAGCTAGAAATAAAAATGAAATGTCAAACATTGAGCAAATATTTGTCTAGAAAATACCAGGGACACTGTATCTCAAGACACTATGTAAAGTGTATATATGCAGGTAAGGGTATATGGGCAGGTATGTGAACACATGTGTGAGCATGTTTATCTACTAAGCACCTAGCAAATTACTTTATCAAAAGAGTCTCTGCTGGACCAGCAACCTGCTTGCTGCTCTTATATACAGAACTTGCAAATATTCCAATTAATTTTTGGCATATAATGACCAGAAAACACTTAAAGAGATTTTTTTTTTACTTTTTTTTTTTGACATATATACCTTTGGCTTTCAAATACTTGGTAATTCTACTGAGCAACACTGACATATAATGGTTTCTTTAAAAGGGAAATGATATCTACAAGATAGACTATCAAAATTTGTGTGAGATAGTAATACAAAAGCCCTTAAGAAACAAAATTAAAACCTTCCATTAAATTTCCTCATGTCAGTAATTGCTTCAGCTAGTCCAGACAACGCAGGGTGCAAATCTCAGCTGAGACCATGGACAACTCCTCTATGCCAACAGTTTTACCAATTCAAACAGAAACTCAAAATGGTTATAAAATTGAAATGAAAAAGAAATGGGAACAAAATGTGAGGCTTGGAAAGTTGCAATTTAAGTTTTGTGAGGCAACAGAAGGTGTAAAGCTTATGAAAATGCCCAACAATTCTCTGAATGCGCACACCTATGGTTTGGGAGAGGCAAATCAATTTGGTCTGCAGAAGATGTACATCATTTGTTGATCATGGCACAGATGAACGTTCACAGAGTGGGATATTCTCTCCAAAGTCCACAATGGACAAAAGTGCCCTTAACCAACCAAAAAGTGCTTGAGTAGTCAGGTGGTAATAAATTAAATTCCATTATAGCAGACATTACAGCTACTGAAGTACTACAGTAATATACATGACATGCAAGAAAAAGAAAGACGACTCAGGCAGGAGCATCGTGCATTAGATTCGCGTCATTCATAGTATGTGATGGGTTGGTCCCACCATACTCTTTGACCAGTGGATACTGGGAACTTAGGGTGAAAACACTCAAAATACAATTCCCATCTTCATCTCCTAACCAGTGATGTCTAAGGGGGAGCCAACGCCCTCACTGAGGAAGCCTGAGACGGTTCGGCTGCATACTGTTGACACAGCTACGCATGCGCGGAAGAGCCTCCTGCCAGTCCTGCTCTAGGGAGAGTGGAGGATCAGCGAGTGAGAATTCCACCTTTCAGACAAGGCAACTGCCTCCAGCCATTCCCCCGCTTCTCCCTACTGCAAGCATTTTCTAGCATGTCAGGTTTGCACAGTAAGAAAATGGCTTCGTGGAATGGGTTGGGTTGTTTGCTTGCTTGTTTTTGGCACAAAAAACGATTTTCTAATACCTCAAATCCAAACTTTCACCCACAGCAAAACTCCAATCCAGAGAGGTGCTTCAGTGGTGCGTTTCTACCAGGAAATCACTAGAACAGCAGTGGCTTCCAAGAACTCTGTATTGAGTCCCCAGGACTTCTCTTCCAGGAAATAGCACCGGTGCAACCACACCTCAGAGCAAGTTGGGAGGGTTTCTCTCAAGCTCTTTAATTCCCTGGAGAATTCGCTTCATGTGACCCACTTTCGGGATCCCCAGGTCCTAAAAAAGAAAAGAAAAGGAAGAAAGAAAAAAAAAAAAACAAGAAAAACAGAAAGATAAAAAGAAGGAAGGGAGGGAGAAAGAAGACAGGTTTACCAATAAGGAAGACTGGAAATTAAAATTTCAACTAGTAATTAGCAGAATTAGCATTTACCTCATCCATTTTTTTTTTAACAGTTTTTAGTCAATGGTTCTGGAAGTGTCAGCTGAAAAGCTAAGCTACTAAAGCAAAAATAGCCTGATACTGAGAAAGGGACCAATCAATAAAAAGATACCATGTCCTATACAAAACCCTCTTAAATGTGGTACCGTCATGCATTATGTACAGCTAGGGACACTATTCAAGAGCCAAAGCTAATATGGTTTCTTCCCCCTTTCTTTTTCTAAGGACAAGCTCTTCTGCACCTGAGGCAAACGGTGGAGGAAGGCAGGTCTCTCCAGGCATATGCTTTTACGTGTCCATGCACACACACATTCTTTTTCCTTCTGGAGAAGAGCCCTGCTTCCTTGCCCAGCCTACTCTTGAATTCAGCGATTCTCCTGCCTCAGCTTCCACCAGGCCCAGCTTTTGTGCACTATTTCTGTCTTGTGCTCTGTGACACTGAACAACTGCGGCCTGCCCGGCACAGCGGCACAGGCCTGAAGGCCTGCGACTTAGGAGACAGAAGTCAGTGGAATAGGATCTCAAGGTCATCTTTGGCTATAGAGCAACGTGGGCTACTTGAGACCCAGGCTTTGGGGAGAAAACACCGTGAGACTTAATCCTGGAGGAAGACGCCAGTGCCCCTACCTAAAACTTAAACCATAAATTTATCTGTAGTGGCATCAAGAGTCCTGATTTGACTGAAGGGTCTGATTACATATTCTTTATTTGTGTGTGGGGGCCGGTGCGGGTGTGCACATGCATGCATGTGCATGTCCGTGTCTGACTCTAGGCATGCACATGCTACAGTGACCATGTAGAGGCCAACTTTGGGTCGGTTCTCTCCTTCCACTATTCTGAGGCAAGGTCAGTACTTTTCAGTGCATGACAGGCTAGCTGGTCCTGGCGCCTCTAAGTGATTCTCCTGTTTTCTCTCCCCTATCTTTCCTGGATGTCCTCCGCCCCAACAACCACAACAACAAAAAGTTAACTGCGAGATGACTTGTTCACAAAACGGAAATGTTTTAAGAAAGTCCACTTAGCTCTATCTCTAATGTAAGGGCTGAATTTACTTTTAAACTTGTAAATGAGGCAGATCAAACAGATTTCGATGAACCCCATGCACACTGCATACATGATCTCTCTTACGCTTCTAGAGTAATAATAACTATCAGTCTAAATCCTTCCGGAAAACAGCTTTTCCATATCCAGTGCTGGTCAAGCGTGAGATCATTTCAGGGTAACATTTTTATCAAACTTAACTGACCCGGAAAAACAGATGCTCTCCTGTGCTACCAGGGTAAGCAAAATCAGTCCTAATGCTCTACACATTTCATGGGTATATGATAAGCATCACACTTGACGGCAAGGCTAAATCCATGCCAGTGGCACACATCTGCAGTGTAAAGGGCGATAGCTCAGTGACTAAGAGAGCTTGGTCCTTTTCCAGAAGACACAAGTTCAGTTCCTACCAACCATGCCAAGTGGTTTACGACTCCCTGTAACTCCAGGGATCCTGTGCCTTCTGCTGACCTTGTGGGCACTGAACACATGGTTGACACTCACATATGCACATACATAAAATATCAATTTTTTTTTTTGCAAAAAGAAACACCCTTCAGAGTTACCATTCAAACAGAGGCTTGTTCTTTAGACTTTGTAGTAATATAGTTCTCAGCTTATAGAATACATTTTAACATTAAATACCTTATTTTTAGGCCATATAAACACACCTTTGGTATTCTACGCAGAATGACAGGTTTGGTACAATGGGAGGAACGTTTACTAGAAGGTAACACAGTTACATTGGCTTCTTTGCTACAGATTCTTACTTTGAGCAAATTCAGTATCTTTATGTCTTCTAGCTGTTAGGTTATGATAAAAGATTCACCTTGACATTTGATACAGCTGTCATTTTAGCGGGTGCCATATGCTTCTATCACCGAGTATGTAGTTTTTATGTGGAATGTGTTTGTGTGTGGACATATGTGTGCAGACAAGTGTGTGGCTTGTACGTCCATATAGTAACCAGAGATCAGTGTCTCCTTCTTCTTTTATCTTTTTCTGGTTTTAGGACTCTGGTTCCTGGCCGTCCAGGCAGTGTCGGGGTAGGCTCCCTCCTGTGGTGTGGGTCTCAGGTTGGCCCAGTCATGGTTGGCCACTCCCACTCGTTGTGAGCCACCTTTACCCCAGCACATCTTGCAGGCAGGACAGATTATAGGTCGAAGGTTTTGTGGCTGGGTTGGTGTCCCAATCCCTCCACTGGAAGCCTTGCTGGTTTTAAGATTGGATCTCTCTGAACCTGGGACTCACTGATTTGGCTAGATTACTGCCCAGTCTCTCCAGACCTTTATACTTATTTTATTGTAATCATACTTTATTTCTGACTTTTTGTTTCTTTGGATGAATAGACAAAATTTTGCCAAAGACTCTTTTGAAGATACTGAGCTAACCTTGCAGCCAGCCATATACAACTTTCCCTCTAGTAACCCTCCCTACTGTGTTCCACTGCCGGCTTTCCCCTCCACTAGAGGATGTTAGAAATGTATCTCTTTGCCAAGTGTCTGGGTATTATCTTCAGTTGTTTATTGACCTCCAATGATAAGGGAGGGACGCTTGTTCCAAGCCCTGGGAAGGAGCTGACTGGGTGAGGGGTAGTGAGAAAAGCAGGCAATAAGGACACATCCTTATGGTCAGAAACAGTATTTTTAAGCAACTGAAAGGAGGCCAAAGTGGATGGGTCATGGGCCAGTAACAAGAGGGTGAGTAAACAGGCAGTGTTTGTGCCTCCACAGAGATGGACACCATTATTCTCCCAAGAATGAGAAGCTGCTGGAAGATCTGAAGCAGAAAAAAAAAAAAAAGCTTGGTTGAAGATGGGAACGTATCACAGTGATTCAACATGGATTATGGGCTGGAGAGACAGAGGAACAGTGAGAAGACCAAGATGAAAGATGGTCCTCCATGAGAAGGTGGATGTGGGATGCAGTGAAGGATGGTCCCGGTCCTGGGAAGATATGGGATTCAGTGAAGGATGGTCTTGAGAAGATGTGGGATGCAGTGAAGGACAGTCCTGGGAACTTGGGAGCAAAGGGGGAGCAGAATCTACAGTGTTAAGAGTTTGGCTAGGATGGTGAGGTGGGTCAGGAAGAGGGAGGTGCTAAATCTGACTCTGGGTTTCTCTGCTTCCAACACCCAAAGGGCTAGGGGCATAGTTCATAACAAAGCAGAGTTGGGGATAACACAGAGAGGGACAGAAGATGAAAGTCCCTCTTGGGACATGGGGATCTATTCCCTCTGTGACACTCAAGTATCAGCATCCAGCTGGCAACAGAATTCTAAAGTTCACTTGTGAGGTCAAGGGCTAGAGGACACTAAGAGTCACTGACATATTCAGGGGTAGGCGCTGAAGCAATGGGAGTGGGGGAAATGGCTCTGCAGTAGGCGATTCTCTCCCAGCATTCTTTGAACTAGTCTACTGTGGTCTGCTGCTTCCGACAGCTCAGACACAGAGGGCAGGGATGCAGCTCTCCAGTTTCAGGGTTTTGTGCTCCAGGAGGCTCTCTCTGTAAAAACGTCCCCTTCCCGTCGTCGCCCATACCCTAGTTGAGAACCAAAAGGGTTAGGTGGCAATACAAATTTCTAAAGGAACGTGTCAGAAGAGAGAATATAATTGACATGAAAATCACAAAAAGAAACAAAAGCAAAATAAGAAAAGCCAATGAGAAAGATTAGTAAATTAATTCCTAACCATCTCCTTTCTTCCCTTACTTTTGTACTTCTGCGTATGCATGAGTTTGACTATTTGGCAAATATTTGCTACATTCAATACATGTGTATGTATGAGTACACATCGTGCCTTGAGCAATGTATCTGTATATGGATTCACATAATGCGAACATGTATGTATCTGGGTGGACTTTAACATATACAAGTTCAGCATACATATGATGTGAGCCTCTAGAAGGCAAATGGCACTGAGGGACCCTGGCACAACCCTTAACCAGCAACTGACTAGCCAATAAATATTGCAGCCTGACAGTGCCACCGAAAGGTCCATGCACACTAGCCACAGAAAGACCCTACAGCTCTGTGCACACGTCGTGTGCACGCATTCAAGCTTTGAGATCGATCTTTGCTTTACAAACGTTAACCCAGGGTATTCTGAACTGCATCAGTTAGGGCACACAGGATAATTAATCTATTATTTTATCATTATTATAGTTAACAGTGTTTAGGTAGGAATAGTATTCTCCTTTCGATCTGATAAAGCACTGTACGACTCCATAATAAAGACATGAACTTCACCCTAGCCACTACCCGGACCAAGATTTCTGCTAAATTATGCGGATGAAAGCACACGAGTCATGAGTGAGCGAGAAGAGCCATCATTGTGCATTCCAGAGCATCATCTATTAGGAAGGGATTCTTGCAGCAGTGATATCTGTTGCAGTTTAAAATGGAAACATGTAGCAAGAAAATATAACACAGTAAACTCCTACTATGCACGCTTTCCTGCAGGTGCATGCCTGTGGAGGCCAGAAGTTGATGTGTGTGCCTTGCTCTATCACTCGTGACCACATTTTTTTTGAGGCAGGGTCTCTCACTGAGTTTAGAGATAGATCATCAGCTAAACTGGCTGGCCAGAGAACCCTCCTGTCTCTACTCACCCCCAGTTCTGAGGTTTAAGACACACGTTACCACGCTACTGTCGTTTGCATGGGTGCCACGGCTTGACCTTAGGTCCCTGTGCTTGTTGTAGGGGAGCAGCTTTACTGACTGTGCCATCTCGCCGGCGCCTATCATTCCAGTCTTAAATCTTGGACAGAATAATCCAGCCTCGGCTGGTCTACTGTTGAGTATGTACCCAGAGAAAACCAGGGAATTCCTTCGCATCATCAAAGAAAGGTTTCCCTGCTTTGGCATACATGACTGGGAAAGCAGTATGCAGATTTTTAGCTCCATTTACAAAAAAAAAAAAAAAAAAAAAAAAGGTCATTTCTTTTTGAAACTTAAGATATCAACAATGCGTCATGGAAAGGAAGTTTTGATTTACTGGTTGGGTTATTCATGTGACTCTAAAGTCCAGTTTAGAAACAACAAAATCATAAGACTATCTAAAATAGCCGGGCGGTGGTGGCGTACGCCTTTAATCCCAGCACTCGGGAGGCAGAGGTAGGCGGATCTCTGTGAGTTCGAGACCAGCCTGGTCTACAGAGCTAGTTCCAGGAGAGGCTCCAAAGCCACAGAGAAACCCTGTCTCGAAAAAAAAAAAAAAAAAAGACTATCTAAAATACCACTGTTGTCTCACAGAAACTTTCATATAATAGAAAGACGTTCTGATTGGTATTTTACATTAATTTTTAGTCAACCTTGTATTCAATTCATTTTTAGCCTTTCCCAACAACAGCCATCCACCATCCATGCAGCTGCAACACAATGAGATGACAGAAACGCGAGCAACTTGGAAACATTAGGACGGGAGGAGCCACACCAATGGACACAGATGGGTGATCGGGTGCATGCTGAGCTGCAGCGACGAGCGAGCGTCAGAGATTGGCTCTGACCGGAAAACACTGCTGACATTCTCACTGGAAAAGCAGACACCCAAGTCAGACCAGGAACCGTTTGCAGAACACAAGCCAAGCTGGGAGCGTGTGACAGACGACACACAGGGAGAAAGGTTCTGTGTTGCAAGCAATGTTCCAAAACCAAAGAGAAGCTCAAAAGGAGTGAGGGGAAAAAAAAGAAAATACCTTAAGATCTCGTCTTTCCAGATGCAAAAGTTCAGGCCCTCTGATGTCATGACGGATGAAGATTTCTTTGTACTCTCCCAAATTGAGCAGATCCAGCCAAGCAGCAACTTCCTCTGTGCCCCAATTCTGAACTACCAAAGTTAAGAGCAAAACCCCCTTAATTTCTACATGCGCGATGCAGTCACAAAGCAGAGGTCGGCCACAGAAGACGCGAGACAGGCAGCAGCAGCAGCGCTAGCAGAAGGGCAGGCGGAAGGCGGTGCTTCGCGAAGCGGCCCTCCCCTCCCCATGCAGGTTATGGGCCGCCAGCGGATGGACGCGAGGAGGATGTGAAGGTACACAGATGTGCGCCACCTGCACTCACGCCTTCAGCTGCAGGCCAGCTTCTCAGCTGAACCATACAATGTGCGCTAGGGCCCTAATTTTGCACCATTAGGATCAAGAATGAAAAAAATCATAATGAGCTCTGATGCCTTGCCTTCCTAAGACCACGGGTGAAAATGTTTAGTTAGAAATGAGCTCCAAGTGTTAATTAAAATTAGAATATGATCTGGGCTACTTGGTTCTATACATTCTTCCACTTGAGGTCTTGCTGACTTCAAGTGTTGCCTTCACTGACTCTACTGTTCTTGACAATTCAAACAATAAATGGCTACAGGAAATGGCTAGAGATCACTTTAACATCATTTAAAACTGTTCAGACTGCTGCTACCCAAGGCTAGTTGAATTATACTACTTTTTATTATAGATAATCGTTTTTTTAAACCATTTATTCAATGTGAGTTAGCATAATAAAACCCTATTTTTTTTTTGGCTGTGTTTGGTTTTTAAGCACAATAGCTATTCCTGTAGATGTAAGGTTTTATATCACTTTTTAAATAAAGACCACAGAAGAATTAATGAAATTCTTCTAAGAATTTATAAAGTGGTTTCATTTTGAAAGGCAGATCTAGACATAGAACTCCCAAGGTGCTGGCACAGAGGGCATCCAGTTAAACTCTGAGGGAAGGGGACCAGGAAGGTAGCAGGGTACAGAAGGAACGGGCACCGGTATTTTCAAAGGGTGGAGCGCTGCCCTGAAAACCGGGAAAAGAGGATCTGTAACTTCAGTGAAAAAAATATATTAGCAGGCTGATTAAAAGAACATGTCTATGTCCCCCTCATCAACGCGATCTAGATTTTTAACTCTGAGAAGGAAATGAAGTGACACACTGACGTCTGAAGCAGCTGCTGAGGAGAATGGACACACTGGCTCCGCTGGACACAACAGAAAGAACTAGTGACCACCTTGTCTTCTCCTTCCATTTGGAACCACACACATTCTCATCAGTTACTGGACATGCTGGGCATGATATGACTTGCATGGTCCAATGTAGCATTTTAACCAACGTGTACACTTCAGTGGTGTTTAGGATATTTACAGTGCTGGGAAATGCTCACCGCTACCTAGTCCTAGAGCATCCTCTCATCCCTCACTCCTCCACTGTGGGGCCACCTACCAGGCTGTGAATTTGTTTTCTGTTTCTGAGCCTTTTCCTTTTTAAACTTTGGCACGATGCGGAAGACTGTGCTTTTGCTGTTTCTTTTGGTGCAATCCATTGGAGGTTCCTGTTCAAACCACGGGGAGAAAAAAAAAATCACAGCTTTAGGAAGAAAAGAAAACCCCACTTTATTAATAGGGAGGCAAGAGCTGATGCAGAGGCCATGGGGGGGCTGCTTACTGGCTTGCTTATCATGGCTTGCTTAGCCTGCTTTCTGATAGAACCTGGGACCACCAGCACAGGGGTGGCACCACCCACGATAGACTGGGCCCTCTCTCATCAATCACTAACTAGGAAATGCCCTATAGGCTTCCCCACAACCCAACCTGGTAGGGTTTTCCAGCTGAGGTTCCCTCTTCCCAAACAACTCTTGCTTCTTGACATAAAACTAGCCAGCACAAATGGGTTTGGAAGACTCACCATGTACTACTCTACTAACTGCCCATGCTCACAAAAGAGCCATTCCTCCCTCCCTTAACAACAAAACATTTCAAAGTAGTATTCAAAATTCATTTCCGTGAAATGTCTCTTCTTCAAAAGTCAGTTCAAACTCTAAAGTCTCGAGTTCCTTGTTCGTGCTCTCTCTCCATCTGCTCCTGATTTGGACCTTGGGATTTCAGTCCGGTGCTCCAATGTGGGTCTCTGTCTCAGTCTCCTTTCATCGCCTGATGAAGGTTAATATTCAGGAGGATGCCTATGTTTTTCTTTGGGTTCACCTTCTTATTTAGCTTCTCTAGGATCATGAATTATAGGCTCAATGTCCTTTATTTATGGCTAGGCTTTGTGGGAGCCTAGGCAGTTTGGATGCTCACCTTACTAGACCTGGATGGAGGTGGGTGGTCCTTGGACTTCCCACAGGTCAGGGAACCCTGGTTGCTCTTTGGGCTGATGAGGGAGGGGGACTTGATTGGGGGAGGGGGAGGGAAATGGGAGGCAGTGGCGGGGAGGAGGCAGAAATCTTTAATAAATAATTAATAAAGAAAGTAAGAAAAAATAAAATAATAAAATAAAAATAAACAAACTCTAAAGTCCCACTGCACACATTCATCAGCAGGCCGAGTTTTCCATACCTCATCCTCATTGGGGCGGAGGATGTAATAAAGCCAGGGGATCTCTGTTAACTTCTGCAGCTCCACCTCCACAGAGTGTAAGGCACTGGATACCAGCTCTTCGTGGGGAGATTCCAACTGCTAGTCACGGGCCGAGGGAGAAATCAAAACAAAGCAAGACTCAGCAACCAACTTCATGGAACAGCAAGGCCACTTAGAGCATCCTTCCTTCCGATAATAAGCTGGTGGATTCCTTCTACCTCCCGCTCCTGACATGTACAACCGGAGCTGAATAAGTTCCCCTCCAAAAGTGCTGCTTTCGGTATTCCTTGGACACGATACCCTTTCCTTCCCCACTGCAATTTTCTCCTTCATTGCTTCCAAGCACATTATCTGTGAACTGTCACATATGGGTCAAAATTTTATGACTCACAGACTTTGTTCCATGAAAAAAAAATGACAGTTTTAAAAACTCAAATACCCGTCATCTAAAAAAAAAACATATCACAAAAAAAAAATCTGAAAAGCCAAAAGAGCAGTTTAAGGGAAAAATGAATCTCAGAAAAAATAGTGATGAAGAACTATTACAAAATTAGTATAAAGCTGAAAGCCAAGGAGCTGGCAACCTGGAGCCGGATGTAGATACTTCAGAGAGAATATGACTGCCATGTGTTATTCATAATAACCAAGCAAAGGCAGTCATTACAATACACAGAATTAGAAAGCAGCAGGTGAGACTCTAGTCCTGGGTGGTTACTAACTATGCAAAGTTAGGCACTTAGTGTCCTCTGCGTTAGAAACAGCACAGCATGACTAGAACATTTCTGAGGGCTTTTTCTGCTAACCAGTACCTTTATAGACCATTTTAAAACTCCACAGTACCTACACCGTTGTTCGCGGAATAACAGAAAGGAAAGTTCTGAGATTATCTTTATGGTTTTTTTATAAGCATCTTTCTGTTGTTGACTCTCCGTGATACTGAAAGTATCTCCCAGTAGTTAATAAAATAATGAGATTTTCCACTCTACTGTATGACATTTACCATTTTCCTTTTAGTATAAGGAAACTGATTAGATGGTTTTTCACATTTGTTCTGGAAGTAAAATGAAAAATAAACTTTAGTTGTTCTCAAATACAATAAACTATTGTAATATCACTATTGCTAAAAGTTTGGGTAAGTTTTACTGGGAATTATTTCAAACCAAGCACCCATATTTGAGGATCATGGAAAATTAGAAATGGAGGGGGGGATGTTCTTATATTTTAACATAATATAACTATTAATTATAATACATTAATATAACTATTAATTATAATACATTAGAGCAGAGGAATTATTTTTTGATGTAAAGGACAAATGCTTCTATTTCTTATCATGAATGACCTTAAGGGACACAAAGAAGCACTTCCCCACTTAAAAATTGGGATCTTATTCACAGTCCACAGGACTTCTGATGGGTTTATTGTGGAAAAGGCAATAGAAGACTCTGGTCAACAAAAGTAGTGTCAACGATAGCCAAGAAGGGAGTAACCAATGCTTCTTCCTCCCAGTTCTGGCTAGCAGGAGTGGTAGCAGCCACCCTGTGGCCTGGGAAGCTGTTTCAGCTCCCCGGGAGGTGGGGAAGAGCATTGGAGGCTCCAGTGGCAGGATCTTGTTGGACCACAGCCACAGCCCGTCAGGGAGTCCAATTCCCCAACCCACCGCTTCAAGTAGGATGACGTTAATGACTTCCATCATTTTCTTTTTTATTTATTTATTTATTTATTTATTTATTATGTATACAATATTCTGTCTGTGTGTATGTCTGCAGGCCAGAAGAGGGCACCAGACCTCACTACAGATGGTTGTGAGCCACCATGTGGTTGCTGGGAATTGAACTCAGGACCTTTGGAAGAGCAGGCAGTGCTCTTAACCACTGAGCCATCTCTCCAGCCCTTCCATCATTTTCTTGAGGTTTATATTTGCCCAAAGGGATGAAACTACTATGAGAAGAAATGCCCTAAGATCACTGAAAGGGATACAAGGAAGGGAGAGATGGCTAATGCATTCAGTCTTCCACACACCTAATGCCACAATCCAGCCATAGGTGGGGACAGGATCCAATGTTACAACATTCAGAAACTGTTCGGGTATTTTTACAGAAAGGGCTGTGGGCTTTAGCCAGATTCACACTTTCATATGCTTGATTTCCAGGGTCGAACTGAGTTAAAACAAAAACAGTGCTTGAAACACAATGTTTATAGAGCAAGTCTGAATGACCATGCCGACCATATTTCTAATATTCGCTGGGAGAATGAAACCTACTTCTCCTAAATGTGTGCACGCACAAAGAGTGGAAGGGATGTCTATTATCCTTTATACAGCTCACATCTCTCAAAGTTGACCAGGGAGAGAGAACATGGTGGCCCGAATCACAGCTCTAAAGTTTAGCATGGTTTTCCAGAAGGCAGAAGTTTGGCCAAAAGGGAGGTCAAGAACGGAGGTCAGGGGTCTGCTCAATTCACACACTCACTAACAAAGCCAGGCTCAGATTTTTATCCCATCATCTGCATTACTGTCACAGTTACTATCAGGGGATAACTTGACACAAGCCTAGAGCCGCAGCGGGAAAAGGGACCTCGAATGAGGAATTTCCTTCATCAGACTGGTCTGTGGCATGTCTGTAGGGCATTTTCTAAATCACCACTAAAAGAGGGCACAGCCCTGAGTGGGTAGCACCATCCCCAGACAGCTGGCTCTGGGCTGCTAAAGACATGAGCATAGAAGCAAACCACTTTCTTCTATGGTCTCTGTTTCATTTCCTGTCTCCAGAATCCTGCCCTGACTTCCCTCAGTGATGGATGAGGACCTGGGAGTTGTAAAATGGAACAATCGCTCTCCTCTTTAATCTGCTTTGGGTCACAGTGTATCACAGGCAAAGAAGCAAGCTAGAACAGCTAGCAATCGTTTCTTTTCCTTACCAAAGGAACCCGGCCAACGAGCAAAGACTCTGTTTCATTATATAGGGCCTTGACATTGATGGCTATTTCAGTGGCGGTATCTCTCGTAAGGCTCTAGAAAAGAATAACAAAGACATGTATTTCCACAGCAAATGAGGATTCCACCACCAATAAATCCAGTAAAATTTATTTTCATTATAATTGACTGTTAAAAAAATACCAAAATTCTACAACAAATTCAAATTTTCATACACAGGTTTGTTAGTATGGTTATTCCTGTTAATTAGTAAATCAAAGAATCAAAAGGATGACCTAAAATGTATATATTCTCAGGCTCACAACTCCCACTACAAGTTCATATATGATGGAACCCAAATATACACGAATGTTCCCATAAAAGTTAAATCAAAGAATCTTTTTTTTTTTTGTGGCTTGGGTGTCTCTGTCTAGCTTTGGAGTCCTATCCTGGAACTAGCTCTTGTAGACCAGGCTGGCCTTGAACTCACAGAGAACAGCTCAGTCAAAAATGACACTCAGTATCAGAACACAACCAAGGAATGACTGCACCTCTCCAACCAAGCGCGTTGTGGTCATTTCTAGCTTTTTCCTTAAAGATCCAGGGGAGAGGGTGAAGGAAGAAGGAAAGACGACAACAGACAGACGGCGTCAGCCCATGAGATCACTCAGAAAGTCAAGGTGCTTGCCACCCAGCCTGCCAACTCAGAACCCACATGGTGGAAAGAGAGAACGAGCTTTTGCAAGCTGTGTTCTGACCTCCATCCCCTGGCAGGAGGTGGTCCTCTGAGGTACGAGGCAGCCAAAGGTGAGCCTGAGAAGCCAGCCAGGAGGCAGTATCCCTCCATGGCTTCTGCTTTGGTTCCTGCCCGAGTCACTAAGCTAACTTCATCACGGAGACATGTACGTCAAATAGACTCTTTCCTCCTCAAGGTGCTTTTGGTTAGCATTGTAATCGTAGCAACAGAAAGACACTACTGTCTTTCACAGGGAGGGTTTCTACAGGATGGTAAGTAGTTGAAATACCAAAAGAATCTGTGGAAAGAGAATTTACCATTAAATCCTCACCTCCGGGAAGCGTGGGTTGGCTTTGTTCAGGGCATGCGAGCATGCATTTACTGCATGAGCCAGTTCCTGCTCCAGCAGACAGTGAATCGTGGCTGCATCACAAATCCTAAAAGTAAAGAAGAGACCAAATAAAAAACATGGGGCACTGCTGAAGACTCGCCTTGAGAAGCGTCTCCACTTGCCTGGAGACGGCAGTGCTGAAAAGCGAGAAAAGCCAGAAACACAGGGTGGCTTTCAAGTCTCCAGGACATCCGCTTGCTTGCTGGTTTACTGCGGTGCTGGGTTGAGCCCAGGGCCTTGCCCATACTAAGCTGGTGTTCAATCAATTTCACCCCAGTGAGGAAACTGCAGACACGACACACCAAGGGACAACTCACCATATTTACTACCTACTTGCTGTTTTATACATATTATAGAATTTATAAATTTTCTATACATATTATAGAAATGATAAATTTTCCCAAGTCTGTAGATGAAGACATGGAGGCTCACAGAGATCAAATATATATATACAGAGCCAATAAACGGCAGGCTGAGAATTCACCCTCCCCCTCGGGAGCTAAGTGAGGTGAAGAGGGGGTCAAGGATCTTGTCACCGCCTTTCCTCCACTCTCAATAGTGCTGTTGTAGTGATTTTTATATCTTTGTTTGCTTTTTTTTTTTTTTTGAGACAGGGTTTCTCTCTATGTAGCCCTGACTATCCTGGAACTCACTCTGTAGACTAGGCTGGCCTCGAACTCGCAGAGATCCTCCTGCCTCTGCCTCCTGAGTGCTAGGATTAAAGGCATGTGCCACCACCGCCTGGTCAATTTTTAGATCTTTTACATTCATCAAACTCTTTTTTAAAGATTTCTTTCTTTTCTGTCTAGAAAGATAACTTATGTGTGGTCCTAAACCTTTGTCTGTGTTCCCAGACTTCTTCCAACATCCCATCCCCAGTGAGCACTTACAGGACAACATGTAAGTGGGTAGAACAGAAACACTAAGGAAAAGTGCACTGTGTGGCAGGGCAAACCCAGCATCGCTTTCCCAACTCTGTAAGATACAGATTACAGAGGCCAGCCAAAACTCCTGCAGAAGAACTTTACCTAGTAATGAGCTCCTCTGCGGCCTGGGAGCAGAGCCGCATCTGCGACACTTCTTCCGTTGCCAGGTCGGCGGTGGGATGGATGTACAGGTTGGTTCGGAGAACGGACTTGCCGGCGTCACACTTCTGCTTGTCTTCCCAAGACTTCAGAGTGCTTTCAAAGGCCTGTTTAGACCAGGATTGCAAGGAAGGGTTAAGTTAGCGCTCAGAGACTGACAGAACTTCAGTAAGTTCAGAGATGCACATGGGCTAAATGGCATATTTAAGCAACAATCTAAATTCCTCTCGATGTTTCCTGTGGTTTTTTTTTGTAACTTTCAACTTTTAAGGAGTTTACAAAATTCTGGAAGAATATGAAGGACAGAAAGATGGCTCCATGGTGAAGGGCACGCACAACTCTTGCGGAGGACACGGCACTGACGTCAGATGGCTCGCAATCTCTCCAGCTCCAGCGAGGTGCAACGCCTGACATGTGTGGGCACTGCACTCATGTGTGCACATGATGAAAGGTTACCGTGAGAAGACTGTTACGTACTCTGTCTCTCGTTAGCATCTGGGCTCTGTTTTTGTGCACGATCTTGATGATCCCCGGAGGCTGCACCCACGCTTCGCCATCCACCTGCACAGGGACTCCCTCATCACCAAATATGGTGATTTTCACTGTACGGCACTGAAATAAAAGCCAACGTGTTACTGGAGAACACGGATCAGCCTGAGCGCCTCTGTGGAATGGAACGCTGTGCTTTACCACCTCAACGACACTGACAGACAGACAGACAGTACTTTACGGAAGCTTATCAGCACAGTAGCCATCGGAGACAGCCTCCTTCCATGCTCCATGCCCCAGGAAATACAGTGAGCTGTGATCTGGGACACCAACCTGTGCTATCCGGTGATGCTGCAGTTTGATGACTCTTGATACTGCCATCTGCACACTGTCAAACACGGCAACGACCTCCAGAATCTTGTCATCGAATGACGGTGCAGCAAATATCTAGGGGGGAAACCAGTGGTGCTCATTTCTACTCGTGGTTTAGATAGAGGGGGTGACGGGGGGTGTCATGTATCAATCTGTTGATCTCACTGGTTAAGCAATAAAGAAACTGCTTTGGCCCTGATAGGTTAAAACATAGGTGGGAGGAGTAAACAGAACAGAATGCTGGGAGAAAGAAGCTGAGTCAGTGATTCTCCCATTCCAGGCAGACGCAGATTAAGATCATTCCTGGTAAGCCAGCTCGTGAGCTACACGGATATTAGAAATGGGCTAGTCCAGGTGTGAGAGTTAGCCGAGAAAAGGCTAGATGTAATGGGCCAAGCGGTGTTTAAAAGAATACAGTTTCCGTGTAATTATTTCGGGGCATAAGCTAGAGCTAGCCATGTGGGCGGCCGGGTGCTCGGGACGCAGCCCCACCGCTCCTAATACTACAAGGGGAACCTCAAATCCTGCCACACAGACACCAAACCCTACAAACAGTGAGGAGGAGGTAAGTATCAGAAAGTAACAGTCCAGGGAAGTAATCACCGAAGACAGCTTAACACAAATGTCCGTCCAAGAAGGGTTTCGGCATCCACGGGGTAGTCAAACATCCCATTCAGCACTCTCTAGACCAACACATTTCTAATGACTTCATCTTGATATGAAATGTGGCAAATACTTCACAAATAATTGATAGACATTATGATTAGATGACATATAATTTTTGAAAATCTACAAGGGCCCAAAAGTTGATGCTGATGAACATGCAAACTGTGATCCTATGCACTCAGCGAGCTTTGAAGACAGTCTTTCAAGGTGTTCTAGGCAATACACATTGGTGCTGTTATCTTTTTTAACTATTTTTTTAATTATAGGCATGTGGGTGTACCTGTATGTCAATGTGTGCAAGTGAATACGGGTGCCCGAAGAGTCTCACTATATATTATAAATAATTATGACTGAAAAACACTCACTCTAAAAGAATATCCTAATTAAAACTTGCATTAGGACTATGAGCCCACAAACTTGCTGATGCTGATAATTTCTTCTAATTTCCGCTATCAGAGCACCTGGATTCAAGTTGTTCCTCTGTTAGCAACTGTGGAAATGCAGAGATCTCAGTTCTGATCCCTGCCGTGAGCACACATGCACACACGGAAGGAAGGAAGGAAGGAAGGAAGGAAGGAAGGAAGGAAGGAAGGAAGGAAGGAATGTGAATATCAAATAATGACTATAAAGCCCTTCTGAGTACCTAGGGGGTGTTTAGGAATGTCAACTTTATTTTACTCTCACTGACTTCACACCGTTAGAATATCTGAGTGGTGTTCTACTGGAGAAAAGAATGGGTGAGTTGGTTGCTATATTTCAGCAGAACCAGAATCTAGCCACAGCATGGGCATTATACTTTGTATGCTCATTTAAGCCTAAAACTGAAATCGGGGTAAAAGTCTTCCAGACCATGACAATACATCACTATCTGTGGTACGCCCAATTCAATACTTGTGCTTCTTCATTCTTTTGAGGGCAACTGTGTTTGTACCACACAAATGTTTTTCATAATACAAGGAAACACAAAAGAAACAGAAATAGCGCCATGCCTTGCCAGGTGTGGTGGTGCACACCTTTAATGCTGGAACTCAGGAGGAACTTTAGAGTGTATTCATGAGAGAGACTGTTTACATAAGAAGCTATGAATTCCACCTCTCACCTTCCAAACATTGTAAAATATTTGTCAGGTAAATATCGATATGAAAATAATATCATCAAGCACATTTTAAAAAATTACACATTCTAGTGATTTTTATGACCATTGAGGAAACAAACTCTAAGCCCACTATGCTACTTACATCATCCTCTTTGGTGCCGCCCCAGAAGTTGGTGCCTCCTGCGTAGCTAGGGATGTTCAGCACCGCTATGCCTTGTAAGCTGGGTAGAGGAATGTACTGCCCATCACACTGCAAGGTAAAATGCTTGGCGGTTAGAATACCTATAATCCCAGCACTTCAGAGTAGACATAGGAAGAGCAGAGGGGTTCATGGCCATCCTCATCTATGCAGCAAGTTCAAGGGCAGCCTGGGCTAAATGAGATCCTATCTCAAAAATAAAAAGTTTAGAGGTCAGACAATAAGAGTAAGACTGTTACTTCAGGGTACTGGGACAGGAAATGTGTCCACAGTGCTTGCCTTCTTGTTGTTTTTGTGTTTTGTTTCTGTTTTTGTTTTTTGAGACAGGGTTTCTCTGTGTATCTCTGGCTATCCTGGAATTCACTTTGTAGACCAGCCTGGCCTCGAACTCAGAGAGATCTGCCTGCCTCTGCCTCCTGAGTGCTGGGATAAAGGCGTGCACCACCACCTTTCTTGTAAACACACTCTTCCACATTACAAAGGGTGAGATACAGCGTAACACGTCTGTAGCTTTCTTGTAGATAAACTCTTAAATATTACAAAGATCTTTATCTTACTTTTTTCCTAATTAAAAGTTTTTTAAAGTATAAATAACTTTAAAAACAAAAGCTGGACAGTAGAGGCACACACTTTTAACTCCCAACACTAGAGAGGCAGAGGTAGGCACCTCACTGTGAATTCAAGGTCAGCCTGATCTACAGAGCTAGCTCCAGGACAGCCAGGGTGATTACATAGAGAAACTGTCTCAAAAATCCAAGGGAAAAGGTGTAAATTAAAAAATTTCTACAAAAACTGAATCAAAAATATGCTTTCCTCTCTTTCCTCATACATCAGGCAGAACTTTTCTTGAATCTCCTTCAGATCACTTCTAAAAATTCTAGCCCTGTGGTTCTCAGCCTTCCTAATCCTGCCACTCTTTAATACAGTTCCCCATGTTGTGGGGACCCCCATCCATAAAACTATTTCATTGCTACTTCATCACTGTAATTTTGTTACTGTTGTGAATTATAATGTAAACATCTTACATTATAATAAGTTGTAATGTAAATGGCTTTGGCAACCCCTGTGAACGGGTTGTTCCACCCGCGAAGAGTCACAACCCACAGGTTGAGAAATGCTGTTCTAGCCCCTATCACCGAGGTCTCTCTGTGCTTGGTGTAGGCACCCTGTTAAACACAAGCCCTATGGGAGCAGGCTCTGACCCCACCCACCTCACTCAGAACTCTCACAACTGGGTACTTGGCAGGGTTTGGTAACTAACCAGCAACCATCGAAACTGAAAGGTGGATGGGGGCTGATGAGATGGGTAGGTGGGTAAAGGTGCTTGCCAACAAGCCTGACAACCGGAGCTCAATACCTTGAACGTGCGCACATGCATAGGAAAAGAACAAATCCCCCAAGTTGTCCTCTGACCTCCCCATGTCTACTTGGAACACTGGCACAGATGCAAACACACACACACACACACACCAAAAATTTTAATCAAAGCTGTGTTGTTTATGTAGATAGATGCAAAGGCAAGGAAAAAACCATGCATACTGAATAGTTTTGTACACTCCCACCCTCTAATTCAACTAAATGAAAATTAAATTATCACTTAGATGGGAAATGCAGCTTTGACTATTACAGTAATTACTGAGTAGAGGCAAAACTAGCATTTTCATAAATGTTGCTCCTCAAATGTACTTTCATTTTTTTGTTTTATTATATTTATTCATTCTTAATTAAAAATACGGATACTGAGATGGACACAGGCAGTTAACGAATGAAATGTCTGAAGAGAAATTATGTTTGCGCACACACTATATATAATGCACCAAAACAACATTGGTGCCCCATAAAATGTATGTTTTATGTGTCAAGAATATTTCAAATTATTTGAAAACTTCTCTTATAAATATCATATTTAATTATTTAAACAAGGCCATATAAGGTTTTTCTACATGAACATTTGATGGGGCTAAGCCTTCATTTCAAAAGGAAAGTTCTTGTAGATACCATATGTAAAATAGATGCTGTGTCTGCAGTTTATTAATTCTTACATTAAGGCATGGTCATCAAGAACACATTTTAATGTCCAACCAAAATTATATATTGCTAACCTTTAAAACAAATGAAAACTCAGTGCAAACCAGCTTTTACAAAGTAAGCAACCGAGATTTCCTATTTCCCCATGTGCCTTTTCACCGCCACCTGTATTTCTTAGAATCGTTTTCTTTACCAAGAGGTCACAGGGAGCTTATTTCTCATTCAAGATCCACCCTGCTTCCTAGCGCTCAGGAGCACACCTGCACTCGGGGTGCACTCAGTGTACAGCTGGAACAAAGAACCCGCTAGAAAAACCAGCTACAGTTCCTTGAGAAAGAGCTATTTAAAGTCACATGACTAAATTAATGAAGGTATTTTAAAATGCTATTATTGCAAATAGAAAATAAGTTTCTTTGTCTCCGTTTGCATTTTTAAGACAGGGTCTCACTCTGTAGCCCAAACTAGCCTGGCATTTGCAGCAATCCTCCTGCCTCAGCCAGCCCCACAAATACAGGATTACAGGCATGTACTACCAAATGTAGTGTACAATTTTTTTGCTGTTTTTTGTTTTGTTTTGCTTTGTCTTAAATTAGAACAGGGTTGGGGCTGACAAGGTGGTTCAGCCTTTAAGAGTACTGGGTGCTTCCAGAGAATTCAGGTTCAACTCCCCACACCCACATAAGGTTAATAACAATCTTTAACTTCAGCTCCAGGGAATTCAACACCCTCTTCTGGTTCCCACGGGCCCTGCATGCATGTAATGCAGAGAGATACAGACACAACACCCATACACATAAAATATTGTAAGAATCTGAAGAGATGCTGAAAGGTTTCACAAATGAACACAGTTTGCTTGCATCCACTAATGGTGGGCATTCTCACACACACAGTGCATCTGACACGTGCATGAACACAAACCCTGATGCTATGTACACAATCTCTATTTAACTGAGTTCATCAGGAAACACAGGCAGTAGTATGGATTTGATAAACTAAGGCCACATGTCTGAAAAACGGCAAATGTCCTAGAAAACCTTCAGGAAATCTGTGAAAAATAAGAGGGTGGGACAGTCTTTAAAGAGTGGAAAAGCAGGCTGGAGAGAGGGTTCAGTGCTTAAGAGCACTGACTCTTCTTCCAGAGGACCCAGGTTCAATTCCCGGCATCCACATGGCAGCTGACAACCATCTATAACTCCAGTTCAAGGGGACCTGACACCCTCACATAGACATGCATGTAGGCAAAGCACCAATACGCATGAAATAAAATAAATTATTTTTTAAAAAAAAGAGTGGGCAAGCCCATGTCAGGGAACACATGCTTAGAGGATTTTAGCAGGCATTCAGAGATAGGTAAAGGGCAAGTTAGAGTTGTGAGTCAGAACCCAGGCAAGTGAGCAGACAGAAATATTTGGTTCTTGTTGCCTTTTAAAATGGGAGAGAAAAAGCTCTAGGTAAGATGTCTTCTTTAAAATTTCAGCCACAAAGACCATTTCCAGTGACGAAGACCATTCAGCCGCCGAGGCTGACAAGCAGTCATTCTCTTGTTCATTTCTCGTACAGCACTCTGTAAACTTACGTGGGACGGTCAATAAGAATTACAAAGCAGCCTTTGGATCACAACATCAGCTATGGGCCAAGTAAGCATTCTGAGCGTGTGCGGGGCTGGCAAGCCCTTGATAAGTTGTTTAAGAGGCTAGGCTTATTAAATGGTTTTGTATTTTTTTTGTTTTGTTTTGTAAAGGAAGGGTCACTCTGTGGGGCAGTGACTGGCTTGAAACGCCAGACCTGAATGTGGGCAATTGCCCTGCTCCATTAGAAGAGTTGAAGTTACAGGCATGTGTTTTTTTGAGTTCCCTCTCCCCCCACTAATTTATGATCTGGAGGAAGCAGAGGAAGCAGTAAGGAAGTGAATGTGTGTTGTCAAGGACCTGGTACCCTTGGGCTCAGAAGCATAGGAAAGGCTCAGAAGGCAAGGCCTTCCTTGGTAGACCAAAGTGCTAGCTAGTATAGACAGAATGTGCAGAAAACATCCACCATAGCTTTCTGCCCTCTGGATGTTTACGGCCTGAAGGTGGCCTTAGAACATGTTCCTACCAAGGTTAGCTGAACCTGTCTCCTGGATCGAGTGGTTTACTGTAAATCCCGCCTCCTTGGTTATCATCATGTGATAACCCTACCTCCCTGTTCAACCCTATACCCTGCTATGTTACTGGAATGTTGGCTTTCTCCTGCTGAGAGACCAGACCAACCAACTCTGGTTTTCTGTCCAAATGTCTGTCTGTCTGTCATTTCTTCATTCCTGCATGCCCCAGTCAGGTCTGGAGCCATGCTACAAATGTCACTCATCACAAATTGAGGAGCATCTCTCCTTATCAAATTATCTGATTCGCTATTCACTGCTGCCTCAAGGCAGTGCCAGCTACTGTTACACACTAAGGCTAACAACAATGATACAGCTCTCTACCTATTCTTAAGAAGTGAGGTCAACCGAGGACATGGATCACAAAGGAAGGAACACATATATGATACCATATGATACGATACGATACAATACCATACCTACGAGGGCACCAAAATTGACATGTGGCAGGACTGTGGAGGACAGCCTTTGCAAAAGGTGAACCTTCCTGATTTTGGAGCCACTCACCTGGAAGACTCTATTTTAATTTTAGAAACAACCACAAGTCAAAGCAGCTGAATGCCTGGTGATATTTTTTAGAGTGGAAAGGAAGGACATCTAGTTGGTAGTGACTGGATCTATTAGCCTACACCCCAGTGTTAAGACAAGGACAAGACAACAATACTCAGTTTAGTCTAGTTAACCAAAGCAGTCAAGACTTACGAGTTATAAATTTCTCTGTACTAGTGGTACACTCTAAATTAAAAAATGCTCTGATCACAACAGGAAATGAGGTGGAAAACAGATGCCCTGGTCCGAGCAAGAAAGAAAAGAGGCTTACAGTAATTGATAGATTCTAAGGAATCCCAAACATCTTTTCTCTGCTACTACAAGAAATTAAATAACTTTTGTTGTCTGTTTCTACTTAAATTAGAAAAGAAAACTGTTAGCCGGGCGGTGGTGGCACACGCCTTTGATTCCAGCACTCGGGAGGCAGAGGCAGGCAGATCTCTGTGAGTTCGAGGCCAGCCTGGTCTACAAGAGCTAGTTCCAGGACAGAAACCAAAAAAGCTACAGATAAACCCTGTCTCCAAACTCAAAAAAAAAAAAAAAAAGAAAAAAGAAAAAAAACTGTCAAAATTCTATTTTTGTTATGTTGTCCTTTCTTTTCTTTTTTTTTTTTTTCCAGAAGCTGAAACCCAGGGCCTTGCACTTGCTAGGCAAGCACTCTATCACTGAACTAAATCCCCAACCCCCAAAATCCTATTTTTAACTGACTTGTTAGAAATAAGTGGATCAAAATAGGTGTATATTGAAATTAAAATGTATGCACTACAAATACTACTTTCCAGGACTCTATAAAACATTAGGCATTATAGAATCGGAACATTTGAGTAAAGAAGTCCCTTATCGAAGACACTGTCCTACTAAAGTCCTTGCAAGACTCCATGTTGGTAACCCAGCTTCACAAACAAAGGAGGACGGTTTAAGGTTGAGCCTGTTGTTACACAGGGTCAACTCTATCTTTAGAATACACTGAATCATTAATTAAAAGGAAATTAGGTTAACTTCACTCTACAAATTGTCTATGCGAGATAAACTAAAATGTCTTCACTTCAAGAAGAACTCACCTCAAGCTGGACCCTCTGCTCCAGGTTTTTGTATGATCTCTGTAATAACTCCCGGGTCCCCAGGACTCCATACCACATCAAGTTTTTAGTTCGGCTTCTGAAAAATATTGTTGTGCAATCTCAGGAAATGTTATTTATTTACTCCTTAAAGCAAAAGAGACAATAAATGAAATTAAAGTAAAATTGCCTTCGCGTAACAAGATTATCGCCATTCCCGAAATTACCTGCATTTTTCAGGGTGCTCTTCTCTCTTATTATTAAATTCTAATGAAATTTTTGCATCTAATCCAATCCCAAAGTAATTGTTCATGACACATTTTTCTGAGTATCCGTCTCTATGATAAGGGAAAGTACATAAAAGTCAATTTCAGATGCGTTGCAACACGTCCAGTCTGTTTACACGGTTACACTCAAAATAACTTAAGCGTCCATTCTTCCTAGAGGATCAGAAAGCAGAAGTCATTCCCACAGACAGGCCAAGTGCACAAGTACAGTACACGTGCAGAATTTTTGGCCTGAGGTAAAACCAAAGCAGAGACAGACATTGTTCTGTTGTCTATTTAAGTTGGCAGCCATTAGCCTTCTGTCTGCCACATACGGCGGTGACTATACAGGCTGAAGACGGTATCTATGGGAGAGCTTTGAAGCAAGTGCCGATAGTCCTGTTTCTTTTTATTTTTTTTATTTAAATTTATTTATTTATTAAGGATTTCTGCCTCGTCCCCGCAACCGCTTCCCATTTCCCTCCCCCTCCCCCGATCAAGTCCCCCTCATCTGCTCGAAGAGCAATCAGGGTTCCCTGACCTGTGGGAAGCCCAAGGACTGCCCACCTCTATCCAGGTCTCCTCGTAAGGTGAGCATCCAAACTGCCTAGGCTCCCACAAAGCCAGTACGTGCAGTAGGATCAAAAACCCACTGCAATTGTTCTTGAATTCTCAGATAGTCCTGTTTCTTTTTTTTTTTTAAATATTTATTGATTTATTATGTATACAATATTCTGTCTGTGTGTATGCATGAAGGCCAGAAGAGGGCACCAGACCTCATCACAGATGGTTGAGCCACCATGTGGTTGCTGGGAATTGAACTCAGGACCTTTGGAAGAGCAGGCAATGCTCTTAACCTCTGAGCCATCTCTCCAGCCCCCAGATAGTCCTGTTTCTTAAACATGAGAAAGTCTCTTCCGCTCAACCCATAATAACAGACAAACAATAAAAACAAACTTCTGAATTCAATATATTATAAATACTGTTAATACTTGATTTTCTTTTATTTTCATAATTACTTTTTTATGGGGTGGATGGGTGTCTCACACATACCACAGTGTATGGAGATCGGGAGACAATTTGAAGGAGTTATTTCTCTCCTCCCACCACTGGTAAAGGTGCTTGTCACCACACCTGATGACCTGAGTTCATTCCCTGGGATCCCCATGGTAGAAGGAACGAATTTGACACCTGCAAGCTGTCCTCTGATCTCCAGATACATGCCATGATATTCACACATACATGTATGCATACATACACACACACACACTCCTAGACAAATAATAATAATGATAATAAAAGGCCTGGTGGTGGTACACACCTTTAATCCCAGCACTTGAAGGCAGGCAGATCACTGAGTTCAAGGCCAGCCTTGGTCACTCTGGTCTACAGAGTGAGCTCCAGGACAGTCAGGGCTATACAGAGAAACCCTGTCTCAAAAACCAAAACAAAAACAAAAACAAAAAAGGGAAAATTTTTCCAAAAATAACATATAATAAATGCTATCCTTGAGAAATGCCAATACAAAAAAAAAAAGTTTTGTTTTGTTTTTTAACAAGAACATTTTTGAGCTAGGGAGACAGGTCAGATAAATGCCCAGTGGTCAAGACAGTCAGCCTGCAGCCAGCACACGCAAGGAAGACACAGGGCCCAGAGCAAGTTGTCTACCTAGTTTAGACCAGCCAAACTAACAGAGGGTCCTGGGCGGGGCCCTGCCTCAACCAGCATACAGGAGGGAAAGTGGGGAAGAAAGCCTCTCGGCTTCAAACTCTGGCCTCCACACACCTACATGCACCCATACACGCATGGATGGACACACACACACACACATTCACAAAGCAAATTTTAAAATGAAAAAGAAAAATAAGTATATCTCCCGCTGCCAGAAGTGTTTTGGGGGAGTCTAGAAAGAGGCGAGACCAATGTGGGTGAGAAGCTGGGAACAAGGAAACTGCAGCGGGATGTGGAAAGATGGCAGGATTGGCAGGCTGAGAAGAGAAGGCAGGGGGCATGGCATAGACGCAGGCGCTAACTGGCACTAAGGCAAACCTTCAGGAAGAGGCAGCAGTGCTGCCCCAGAGAATCTCTGCTGAACAATGGGTGAGAAAGAGACAGACCACAGAGCTGGTCATTACCAACTTCTGAGCACGCTCACCACCCTTTCTGCAGATGGAACCATACACTCTGGGACACATGCAAAATGTCAGGATTAGGACAAAACAGACGGTAAAAAGTTGAGGTCGAATAACTGAAGTGTTTCTTACAGCGAATCGAGATCCGGGTCAATAAACGGTGTGGCACCAAAAGGGTCGATGTTGGCCAGCAGCACTTTGTTGATGATGGAACTCCCGGCAATCGAGGCAGCGAGTCCGGCTCTTAAACCTGACAGAAATTCATCAGGGGCACAGGGTAAGAGAAAGCAGAGGCAAACCTGGTCCACTCAGAGCCTTGGCCTTGTCCCAGACATCTTCTACCAAAGCCCATGACCACTCAGGAGCCAACACTCAAAAGAGGATGCTACTTAGAAACGTGCAGGTCTTAATATTTCCAAAGCTGTGTGTGCTATAATAAGTAACTGTGGAGAGAATAACCTAAAAAGGGGTATCTGTGATATTTTCTCACCATTCAGCAATTCTAAAATTTGTCATTTCTAGTGTTTCACTTCCTGGGTTAAATTCATTCCTAAGTGTTTTTGCCATTTTGGGTGCAATTTCAAGGAGAATTTTATTCTTAATTTCATGATCAGATTGTTCAGTTGCAGTGTATAGAAATATAATGATAGAGGTTTAATTTTTGCAGATTGATCATTTACTGTGTAATCTTACTATATTCGCTTATTAGTTTTAATGGTTTACCTTGCTTGTGTGCACGTACAAGCATGCACGCACATGTACGCAACCCTGGGGGTTTTCTACATCAAGATAAATCTGGGAAGGTCCACAGTTGTTCTTTCCTTGCCTTTTTCCTTCCCTCCGCTCTCTACCCCTCCCCTCTCTACCCGTTTCTCTTCCCTTTCCTGGCTTTCTGAGACAGGGTCTCTCTATGTAGCCCGGTCTGCTCTGGTGCTTACTAAGCAGAGTACTGTACTGGAACTCACACAGCTCTGCCTGCCTCTGTCTCCCAAGGTGTGTGCTACCACGCCTGGCTTTTCTTGCTAGTATTTTATTTCTATTTCTTCTTGAATGGGGTTTTTAGTTCATGTGCTTTTAGGCATTTGCCTGTTTCCTCTGGGTTTATGTTTCCATCAGCATCTTATCTCAAAGCTCCATAAAGATGCCTCAAGGCTTCTCCCATTCCTGATTTTAGTGATATGAATCTTGACTTTTTTTATTTCCCGAGTTTTTAATTCTCTTATTTACACTCTCGTATTATTATTTGTTGTGACCAGTCTGCTCCTGTCCTAGCTTCCCAGGGTGACTATCAGGAGACTGACGAGAGAGAGATGTCAACTTTCCAAGCAGCATTAACAGCTACACACTCAACTCTAAGCACATTCCAGCTGCATTAGCTAAGGTTCAGGATGCTGTGTTTCTTTCTGTTCTCTACTTTAATCAATTCTCTATTATTTTCTCTAGTTGACTCCCTTGCATGTTTCTACATCTGTGTACTACCCAAATCTCATTCTCTCTTCGGTTCTTTCACCCCACTGGGCTGAGATTAAGTACCCAAGCATGAGATCTTGATCCTTTTGATTTTACTGAGAACGGTTTGTGGCCAAATTGGCTACGGCCTGTCTCAGAGAATGTTCTACATACTCTTGAGAAGAATGTGTCTTTTCCTGTGGTTGAGTGGTCTTTATATGTGGACTCTGTTCCCTATCAATTTCCCTGATCATCTGTCTGGTGGTTCTATCACTACTGAAAGGGGGAAGCAAAGGTCTCCAACCTTATTTGAATTATAAAAACCATTATTTGAATTATAGGGCTCATCTTTAAAAAGAAATTCCATGAGAAGCCTCTTTTCAGGTCTAAACGGACTCCAGCGAACAAAGATCAAAGGATTTTTACAACCATCATAAATTTAGGAAGCTCCAAGACACACATACTTCCTGCAGCTCCTCAGGAAGCTCTGAGACACATATTTTTTTTTCTCCCTCCAGCTTCTATCTACAGTCCCTGGTGTGTACTAGCCTAATCCAAGGTAAACTCATTTCATCAAAGGTGGAACGGATGTGAGGCTAGAAATCTCTGCAGAGAAAGCGGTGGCTGACAACCACGAGGAGAGCAGGGGAGGTGCTTGCAGGCCACAGAATGGAAGGAAAGCTCTGTTTCAGAGACAGAAAGTAACCTGGGACTCCTGAGCTCCGACCTAGAACCAATGGACGAACATCTCTCGGAGCAGGGCCCAGAAGCTTGTGTTTGAAGATGCCCTATGCAGTGAGATGTGGATTACTCTCAACACCTGGATTACCATGACTGAGTTTGGCAAGAATATACTATGTCACACAGCTGTACTACCTGGGCAGATAATTCTGGTGTTGAGCACAGGGAGATTTTCTTTGGTGGTGGCCACAGCTGAACCGGCGGCAGAATCAGTTTGGAGGTGACCACGACTTGCCTGGGCATCAGGAGACTGAGATGAGGATTTGGCTGTTGACAAAATATCCAGGTTAAAAAGATGGCAAATGAAAGCAGTATGAAATTGAACAAGCCCCTATAAACTCAAGACACACAACAACCACCAAATGCCTATTTAAAAATCAATGAGTGGGAAGGAAGATGCTAATATTTACCTTCATTTATCATTTTATTTTCATTTCCTTGAGACATTTGGAGAGTATCTACCAAGGGAGATACATTGATATCCGGCTTTGAATAGTTGCTACCAGAACCCAGATATCTACTATCATTAAAAGTCAATAATATGCTTAATTTGAAAGTGATCAACCCACACTGGATAAGTAGAAAATTTAAAAGTCTGGTGAGCAATACAATGCACACTACCAACACTACCTGCTACTCATGAATACTGGGTAAACGATCCTATTTAAAGGACATGACTCCAGCAGAGCACACGAACACATGTGAAACAGGCGCTAATACAGTCTTCAGTTAGTGGAGACCCTTGGCTGGGGCTCAGATCAGTGCACCACTTAATCCTCATCAGAAAAGGTTCTTCTTGTAGAAACGGCGTTACCAGAGACCTACAACTAGACAGTGGACGGAGGGTCAAACACTTCTTCGGCGCATTCAGCCCTAAATGAGATACCTTTATCAAACTCCTCCCCTGAATGCTCAGGGAGCTAGACAGAAGAGGAGGCGGACAGAGTCTAAGAGTCAGAGGAGGGGAATGGCTCCAAAGGAAACGTGTGTTCCAGACACGGTACGGCTGATACACACATGAACTCAAAGAGGAGGAGGCATCATATACAGAGTCTGCATGAATTCAAATCAGGCAAAATACCAGGATGAAGAAGGGGAAGCAGACACAAAGTCCCACCTCTAATCAAGAAGCCATTTGTAACTGATATTTAGTGGGAGAGAAAATCAGTTTTCTTCAGTGGAGTGTCACTGGGTATATCAGCCACACCCAGGAGTAGGTCGTCAACACAGAACAGAACTCTGTGTGTGTGTGTGTGTGTGTTTGTGTGTGTGTGTGTGTGGTGTGTATGTGTGGGGTGTGGGTGTGTGGTGTGTATGTGTGGGGTGTGTGTGTGTGTGTGATGGGGGGTTGTGTGTTGTGGTGTGTATGTAGTGTGTGTGTGTGGGCGTATGTGAAGGATGTGTGTGTGTGTGTGTGGTGTGTGTGTGTGGGATTGTGTGTTGTGGTATGTGTGTGTGTAGTGTGTGTGTGTGTGTGTGTGTGTGTGGTATGTGTGGTGTGTGTATGCTTCTTGTATTTCATTCCTTCTATTGGTTTGTTTGTTTTGATCTTTGCTTTTATTAGTGGGGAGAGGGAGGGAAGGATGTTTTGTTGAGGGGAAGGGTGAATGAAGAGAGAGATATCATGAAACTGGGTTTGTCAGGAGTTGGGGAGGATCTGGGAGAAGCTGAGGGAGGGAAAATAATACAATCAAAATATTTTATTGTAAAAGTACTGTTTGTTTTTTCGATACAGGTTTTTTAGTGTAACAGCTCTGGCTGTTCTGAAACTCGCTTTGCAGACCAGGCTGGCCTTGAACTCACAGAGATCCATCTGCCTCTGCCTCCTGAGTGCTGGGATTAATAGCATGTGCTATCACCACCCAGTTGCAAAAAAGTACTTTTAAGAAAAAGAAAAAATAAATTAAATGGGAAGATACCATTTATCTTCCAATAAAACAAAGGACTTTCCTTGCCATCATTTATTCAAATGATGCAAAGCTCCAAACAGTTTCATTACTTTCCTGTAAAAGTTCAATACAGTTAAAAATATTCAAGAAAATAACAAAAAGGAAGATTTAATTCTATCTGAGGCAAATTAGTGAAGGAAAAACAGCACCTTGATCTAATCTAGAGGCCATCAATAGGTATTAGAAAAAAAAACAGTAGTCATTAAATTCAATTTAAAAGTACTCTAAAACTTAATCATCTTCACTCTCCCTCGGACTAATTACAAAGCTAACTGTGTTAATTTTGCATGCTATTTTCCTGATCAAACACTGTCCACTCTGTTGTGTGTGACAGATGGGAATTCTGGGGCTAATCTCTGACACAAAGCAACTTTTGATGTTCACGTCTGATAAAAAGCAGAAAGTGCACTAATGACTAAGATCGATGCTTCAGTGCAGGAAATTCAATTAGTCCTTCATGTTTCCTCCTAAATAAAGCATCACCTTGAACACATTAATAGACTGTATTTCTCACATCTCAGACATCCATTGCATAATTTAATAATGACACGATACGGATGATTCAATAAAAGTAATGATCATTGAACACAGGAACACTTCTATTGCCAGTGATTTTCAGTAAGTTGGATTATAGGCAAAATTGCTGTCAAATGTGGCAACATTAAAGACTTTCCTAAATCTCTAGTGACTTCTCTACTGAGCACTGATAGTATCCTTCAGCTTCCTGGGGATGTTGGGATCATGAGAGTAAGGTAAAGTGGAAGAATGGCTGGTTAGAAGCCACGGGCAACGAGTGGACATGGTGTATGGATACCCTGCTACTGCGTTAAACTTGGAAGAAAATGCAGCAGTCTGGTCGACATCAGAGCGAGCTGGACGAGCGGCATGAATATCTACGCTGTTCCCTTACAGAAAACACCCGGGGTTTGTTCAGAACATTCTAAGACAGACACAGACCACATGGATGCAGCCACAAAAATAAACAATTTGAAACCACCCAATTACAGACGAGTGGAGGAAGCTATGAGACACCAGATATGAAGGAAGACATCAGATGCAGCAAGGTGACATGACCCTGTAACAGCCTTTCACAGCATCGTTTAAGGACCACCAGAGGGAAGCAGGGGGAGACACAGCCCCAGAAGATTCATCTTGGAAATCTTGGAACTGGTAAAATACCATGGGGAATCAGACCATAAAAACACCACTGAAATGCCAGAGTTCATACTGCCAAGATCAATGATACATAACAGACATTAATAGCCACCATCAGGGGTTGAATTTTAAGGCAGGCAGGAAAACGAAGGTCATAATAAAGAATTATCTAACAATCCTGCTTCTAACAATGATAGCCAAACTTGAGAGAGAAATGTACTAGAAGCGAATGGCCTGAGTTGTCAACGCCACCTGTCAGGACCATCTCAGAATTTGCCTGTAGATATGTATGCTGAGTATCCGAACTTCACAGAAACTAATTTTGATTTCTTTAAGAGCCTTTAGTACAATCAAACAAATTTTTCTCAGTCAGTAATAATAATGAAACAATAATAATATACAGCAAACATTTATAAAGCACTGCATAACAGACACAATCCTGGGCACTTTTGTACAGTAAACTGGCCAACCTTCAGTGCAAGCAGATTAAAATAGTGTATTATTATCGTCACTTTTACAGGCAGGAAAACTTCAGAAAAATCTAAAATCAATCAATCCAAGCTTGAAAACAAAATTTTAATAAGCTATAAGAAGAAACAGTTCTGATATACCCTGTTGACTTCTCTTGAGTACATGATTATATTCCCACTATCTCATATTATTAATATTCTACCTTCTGCTCACATTATCCAACAGTAATTACGAACTTTTCACCTATGCAAAATCTAAAAGGGGAAGCCAAAAGGCAAGGAAACAGTTAATAATCTTCAAGTGATCATATATCATTTCTAGGCAAAAATAATCTGGTAAAGAAAGGTAATTAGAACTCTTGTGACTTTTAAAGCTTCATCTAACACAAGCATTGGCTGATCAGCAAAATGGGAGAGATTGAACTTGGGCATGTGAGGTCAGCCATTTTCCCAGGAATCTAGAACTGGGAAACTCGGGTGTTTTTCTAAGACACTTCCTCATTTTTAGGTCCACAGTGATTCGTTAATTGTTAGTCTCTAGAGGACACAGGAGAGAAGAGAATACCTGACAAACCTACCTGACCTTTTTCCTATTATTTTAGTGTTCATGAATAACATACACTTCCCAAAAGCCTATTAAAAAAAATAAAAATTCGACAGTTTACCTCCAACTGAAAACTACACGCAAGGTTACTTGTGACTGATCTCATACCGAGACCACCACACTTTTCTCACCTGCGGACGACTCCTTCGCGTCATCATCTTTAGATTCATCCGTTTCTGTGCTGTCATAGTCACCAGACTGACTAACTGCTTCACAGGGGTGAACTGTCTGCTCATCCATAACTTTAAGTAGTAAGAAGAGAAATAAATTTGTGTAAGTGAAAAATCAAAACAAGACATTGCTTAGGAAGGAAAAACTGAACCAAGTATCAAAAGAAATTCTACATTCATAAAGAAACATTGCTTAGTAACAAAACTGGGATTGGTGTCTGTGGATACTGGAGAGGATAAAACCAAATAAATCTGTTAAGATTATATATTTACCAGAACAAAATTACACAAGAATTTAAAGCAAAATACACAGCTTGACTGATTACAAGTTACACACCTGGGTGGTGATTCCCAACATTATTTGTTTTGAAGTCAACTTTCATCTAGTTGTAAAAATGTAAGCAGCATTTACATTATACTCATAGAAATTTAAATCTAGCTGCTGGATACATGACGAAGAGCCAAGAGCACAGAATGCTCTTGTAGAGGACTCAGGTCTGGTCCTCAGCATCCACACTGGGCAGCTCCCAACTGCCTGCTAACTCCATCTCAGAGGATCCAATGCCCCCTCCGGCACCTGTGCTTCCAAACATACCCACACACAGATACACACACATTCACAGAATTAAAAATAAGAAGCAGCCCTTTTAAAGTTCAGATACAGATTTACACATTCTTTTTTTTTTTTTTTGATTTTTCGAGACCATAAACCACATTAAGAAATCAATGCTAAGAAGCTATTGTCTCTATGATCGGCAGCTACAGGGTTGATTTTAAGAATTAAAGAGAAGCCAAAAAAGTAAGAAGATTGAATTTTTCAGACTTGTTTTATAAGCTATTATTCTACTCGAGTTGGGATGGAAATACTGCAACTTAATTTGCTTCTGAAATCCGATTTTCTGAGCCATTGCTATGCTGATCGCACTGCCGAAAGGGTACACAGGACTACGTTCAAATTTCCCACTAGCGCACTTATTGTCTTCTACCATGAGACTCTTATTTTTCAAACGTGTACCGAATCCAAGCATTATGCACACTGCGGGGATGTTGCGGGCCTCTTTGAAGCTAATTTTGTGTGTACCTTTTCCAGCTTCTTCAATGACTTGCCTCACTGCCTTCTTGAGACTGTTTGCACGCAGCATTATTTCCTGGGGTTTCAGGCCTTTCTGGGAGGAGGGTTTGGCAACGTCATTCACGAGCTGGTCCTTGCTTCCACCCAAGGACTCTTCACTGGAGGACTCCACAGCATCCTCCTCGGGGATTGCAGGGCCGACCCCTGGGGGCACCCGACTGGCCTGAGCATCTGCGTGCAGGGCTTGTAGCAGCTGTTCGAGCTTCTCATTTAGGACTGAGCACTAGGAAAACCAACAGAACGTCAACAATGATGACAAGAAAGTACACAAACAGCAACGACAGCGATGAGGGAGAGATTCAAACACATTACATCGGTAGACACAATTTAAGATGTGTTTTTATGTAAGATAAATCTGGAATGTTTTTAATCACTGGCGATGAAAACACCAACATTCAAGTAGCTACGGTCTTCTGTAGATGTTTTGGGTGGAGGATATATTCATTTTCAACTTAGTGAAGACAAAAAGTGATCTTTTTTGAGTGGCTCTTAAGGTCCAGAAATGCTCACTATTAAGTGACCGATAAAGACCTATTGTATGAAAGACTGAAAACAGAAGTCTGACGGCTGCCTCTTGATTTAGACTTCTGGATCGCTCAAAATCTCGCTCAGGGTTTAAAGTCTTTTCAGAACAATATTTTATGTACAACAGAGTTTTGTTAGAATGCATGTATGCACACCGTGTGTGTGTGTGTGTGTGTGTGTGTGTGTGTGTGTGTGTGTGTGTTAACACGAAGCCAGAAGGGGGTCTCAGGTCCCTTGGGACAGGTGTCACGGATGGTTGGGAGCTGCCATGTGGGTGCTTGATACCAAACCTGGGTCCTCTGCAAGAGCAGCAAGTACTTATGAGCTTTGAGCCATTTCTCTAGGCCCTGCAGGTTCAAATCCTTACAACCTATGTCAAACTGCTGTTCTTCCTTAGAATGCAACCAATACTAAGTTGAAAAGAGATACAGTACACAAAACACCAGGCTTTGTTTAAAGTCACTGACTTGGGGCACCCTTTTGAACTTCAGGAGCTGCAGGCATGGCTGAGCTGAAGCTCTGGAAGTGCCAACAGCACTATGAGGTCCCAGAAAGAGCAAGAAGGAAAATGTACAGGAATAAAGAGGAAAGGAAAGGGGATGCAGAAAGAAACACAGGTACAGAGGTCTTCCACTTCTCCTGCTTTTCTACAGGTAAAGAGACATTTGGGATCAAAACTATTCCTGTACTTTCGGTCTTCACAGAACTCTTGGTCTATCCCCTTTACTTCTCTGTCTTTGAGGAAAAGCCAAAGCGAGAGCACAGTGGAAGGACTTCAGAAGCAAAGGTGTGGCTAAGAGGAAATCCCCACCTACTGACACTCTCCGCAGGGATGGAAATGAGCTGAATCCCACAAGGTTTACTTCAGTGCTATTGTCATTGATACCCAAGAAGGCTACTGGACTTGATGGGTTAATTTTGTATCCTGCCACTTTGCTGGACGTATTTATCAGCTCTGAGAGCACTTTGGTAGCATCCTTAGAGTCTTGTGTAAAGAATCACAACATCAGGCTGGAGAGGTGGTTCAGTGGTGAAGAGCACTGGCTGCTCTCTCAGAGGCCCCGAGTTCAATTCTCAGCAACCTCACAGTGGCTCACAACCCTAATGGGATCCGGTACCCTCTTCTGGTGAGCAGGAATACATGCAAATAGAGAACACTCATATGTGTGGGTGTGGGTGTTTATTTACATAAATAAATAAACATTTTTTTTAAAAAAAGAATCCTAACATCTACACATTGGGACTGTGGATGATCATCTGTGTGTGGGACAGCTACATCAACCCCACTCCAAGACCCTATATGTGGGGCACACGGCAGAAGAAGTGGGCAGAAAGAATATAAGAGATGGAAGATAGGAGGGATGTGGCTTCTAGACATGACATGGCTGTTACACACATGAACTCAGCAGCTGTGGTCACCTACACAAGACCTGCACAAAAGCAACAGTTAAATATCCCACCCCAGGGCTAGCACACTATGGGTAGCTGGTGACTCCTTGGTGGGGAGAGTCAGTTGTCCTTAGGACTGTGGCCATGGATGGACTGCCCCAGGCCCCAGAGGATGACCGTGATCACCCCCATGTCCACAGGACCAGCACTAACCTGATTCTGTGGGTTAAAAAGCTAATTATGAAAAGAGGACAGGAAGTAGGAAAGGAGAGGTGGTGGGGATGCGGGGCCCAAGGGGAGTGAGGGGTGGATATGATCAAGATACGGTGCATATGGGTATAACATTTTCAAAGACTGAATAAAAATTTAAAGAAAAAAAAGTTTATTTTCATTTTCTTTTTCTTCCACTCAACCCATTAGCTACAGCATGAACTGAGGGGGAGACATCCTTCCCAAGACAAAACCATGCAAACTTCATGTAAAAAGGCCCTCTCATGAACCTGAGCAGTAAAGACGCTGGCCTGAAAAGTCAGTGTGCTGTTCTTAGCAACGGAAAGTTCACATAAGGGGAAGAAGTCTGTAAAGGCACGAGAAAAGTCATGGAAGAAACAGAACTTTGGGAGATAAGGACTGACATGGAGACGACGGAGGACTCCTGCCGGACCACCAAATCTTGTCTGACAGGGAGAACCAGGCCTGACCCAACGGGACCACTGGTGTTTTTGTAAATTCTCATATCTAATTAATAAAAACCACTTTTTCTCTTTAGCTACTTTGACAAGAGCACACCGAGGCAGTCTTTAAAGGCACAGCGCAAGGCTCATGACGTCAACCAACAACTTCCATGCCCGTCATGTGTTTCCCTTACTTTACTGGCCACGGCTTCGGCTACTACTGTATTTTCCAGTGTTTTGTCCTGTGCCTTCTCCACTTTGGCAACGAAGTCCCTCACGGTTTCACAGAGGACCCTTTGAGGAAGAGAAATCGCACAGTTCAGTCGGTGTGCTCTCGTGTACAAACATTTGTAAGTAAGCTATAAGAGGCAAACTCAAAACACCCAGGACCATTTTTACACAGGACCACACTCCCATCTGTGTTAATAGAGCTCAGATACATTTAGGACTTCCTAAGTGAAAACGGATACACGAATAAGCCTCGTTATCCATACTTATAGTAACACTGCAGTGAACCATTCATGCTCAAATAAGCCTTACAAATAATACTTTCAGATTCCCTAAGAATAATGCAGTACCTTCCACAGCTTAGGTAATTTTCTTTGTGTAGAACAGAAAGACACAAGTTCTCCACTGTCCACAGGATCCACTGGACCTACTAGACAGCAAGTGGACATCTTGGTAGCACATTGCTCCTGAAGAGGAACAAGCTTGTGCATTGTTACCAACCAATCAGACACTCGAATTGAGTTATGGTCTCTGTAAACCCATCCATTTTCCCCCCTTAAGACAACCAATACAATAATACATAAGCCTAATCCAATTGAGATCTCATTAGTGTCAGCAATATACGGTTGACTTGTTTGTTTCTTTTAATTACATTTGCATGTATCTTTGCAAAAGAAATCATCTAAAAGAAAAAAAATAGTGCATAACATATCCACCACTCAAAAAAGCTGTGTAAAAAAAAAATGACCAGCAAAAGGCATAGGTATAGATTGGTTTTGGCAACTTGTGTACATTGATAGAAACATCTTGAATGTGAAACATTTCTATCGTTGATAGAAATTAAAGAATTTAAGGAAAAAGATAAAAATGTTCCAGTAAGTTTTTTTTTCTATTAAGCTTACAACTTTCTCTGGTAAGTAATAATGGCAGCTTCCAGATGCTTCAATATTACAAAAATCAAACAGCGCAAATCAAGCAGGCACACGGTACATGTGCATGCATCCACATATACTCCAAGCCTTTGAACTGGTCATCTAGGCGGATTATTGCTAACAATTTTTATTTGTTGCTAGCCATCTATCCCTCGACCTGCTTCCTGATGTCAGGAATAGAACCCAGGAATCACACATGTTACGCAACCATCTAACTACTGAGTTACAATGTTAGATTCTCTTGACATTGGCTGATATTTCAAATTCCAGTTTCTGTTCTCTAAGATTAAAAAAAATTATGATTGTGTGTGCTTGCATGTATGTATGTACATGTATAACATCTATGCGGTGACCAAGGAGAGAGAAGAAGGTGTCAGACCCCCAGGACTGGAGTTGTAGGTGATTTTGAACTGTGGTGTGGGGGCTAGGAGCAAAACTAGAGTCCTCTGCAAAAGCAACAGGCTCTGAAATGTTGAGCCATCACTCCATCCTTTTAAATTCAAATTTTTAAGGGAATTAAGAGAGTGCAGCTTACCATTTATAGAGACTCATCGATACACTCCACATACAACTATTAGTCTTTGTTAATCTATAATATGCTTTTATAGAAATTCTTGAAACATGATGCCAGGGTACCATGACATTTCTCGTACAAGAGGCTGAAGGAAAAGCCTGATCCTCTATACCTTGAGTCTAGAGGGCCGATGCACTGGTGTGCAAGTTAGAAGAGTGGCTGGTTCTGAAACTGTGGGACTAGTCAGAAGAACTATTCTGCCTTGTGCTCCTGCGGTTCCACACTACAAAAGGAATCAGGGCTGTTTAGATTCTGGAGGAATGAACTGATCTAGAGTTTAGAGTTTAGAGTCTCTATAGTGAAACCTAAGTAAGGTGGGCCAGGTGTGCAGGTCTACAATCTTATCCACTTGATGCAGGAGGAGTCTAGCTTCGAAGACTGCTCGGAATACAGTGAGTTCCAGGCAAGGTCCCTTTAGGCTTTCTACAGACACACATCTGATCAGAGAGCAAGGCTGGCAAAGTCAAATGTCTACCAGGACCAGGGAAGTAATAGGTGGGTTGAATCCAAGAAGAGAGAGGCACAAGTGTGTTGAGGCCTGAGCAATCTGAAAATGTCTCCTTTTCTGGAAGTAACACAATTCACTAAACAATCACAAAGCAGCCGGCAGCTCGGCCCAGTGTGCTACCCATCTCTCTCTGCGTCAACCACAGTGGTCCACCGGCTGAAGCCTGTCCATGCTGTGTCCTGTTCCCTGGGGATACGTCTGCAAAAGCAGTTGTTCCTACATTTGCCCTCCTGTCAGAAAGAAACTTGTTCGTAGTGACTTATGTTTCTTCTTCATTACTAATTAAGTATGTAATCAACCAAAATTTGCATTTTGCTTCTCGGTTTTCTGTATCCTGTCCCTCTGCCCCATCTTTTCCCTTCACTTCCTGCAGTATAGTAATATATTCGCTGATCTTAAAACGCAGTCCATCACCTGTGAGCTGAATATTTCAGCTGGCTCCATCCCTTCCCCAGCTGACCTTCTCATGATACGAGTATTGGATACTTCAGAAGTAAATTCGAAATTCCACATTTGGGATAACGACATTATGAAGCTTTGGCTCCATGTATGGAATTAACTTAACTAAAATCTGATAACTTTAAACTAAAATATAATTATGTGATTTAAATATACTGAGAAATGTCATTTTGAAGAATCTCGTTATTTTCCTTTTAGTGATGCAATAAGCAGTTGCTAAATACAAATGTGGGAGGGGACTAATAAATATAATGAGATAGGATTTCCATGTTATAATTAATCATTGATACTTTCCAAATAGACATTTAAACTCTAAATACTTTTTACACTTTCCTGAGAAAAACCCTTCAAAAGAAACAGCAAAACATACTGCCTCTGAAGAAACTCCATGCAGATGCTTGATGTAACAAGAAAATCAAGTTCAGATTATCGTATTTACTTCTTTAAGCTACTTCACATAAATTACTAAGGAAAACTACCAGAGATGGCGTCACAGCCAGGAAACACCCTTCCCTTCCAAGTTCTCACAGAACTGTACTTTCTTCGCGTCAGCCCCACAACTCACTTGGCAGACGATATGACCACTGCGTGTTCGTCAGAATTGATGATTTTCGAAAGGTGATTGGCAACCGAGTCTTCATAAATCGTCATCTAGAAAAGAAAATCCTATACTATATGACTGCTGCTGGCATCGTTACAACCCAGTTATGACTGCTTCAGAGATGTGCTGTTCGTACCGTACAAGACTGTCATGGAAAGTGTGGGGGAGGGGGCATAGGCTGTCATGAAAAGCGGGGGAATCATTGTACAAAAAGTGTGTATGTTGAGGAGGTCATTATGCAAAGTTTGTGTAGGGGGGCAGTCATTATACAAAAGAAAACTTCTCCTGACTCCTATTTTCAGGTTCTGGAGTTCTTTACGTTTTTAGAAGATCCATTAATTTTTTTAAAATTATATATAAATGAATTATATATAAATATATCCTGACTATAAGAAGCACTACTTAAAATGAATATAGTAAAAGCCAGACTAGTACATATAAAATATAGACCCAGTGATTGACATTCAGTTTCCTTGCGAACCTGGAGAACACAAACTGAAAAACACACACAGAAGAGCTAAAAGGCAAACAGCAGCAAGCAGGAGCCTGACAAAAGGAGCAGCCTGCCGGCGATAAAAAACTCTCCTACATAAAAACCGATAGGTCCTAGGAAGGTGCTGGACACTGTCTGCTAGAGCTGAAGACAGCCTAACACTAGAGAACCAAGAAACTCAAGTCCTACGTAGACACCCAGGGAAACAGATGTATGGGCACCAAACGACAGGAACTAGATGAGATGTTTGCATGGTGTGAACATAATGTGTGTGTCCGATGGAAATACTATCGGACACGGGACACTGAAACATGTGTGTTCCATGGAAATACGGCAGGACACGGGAGGGAAAGGGGCACAGTGTGCCACAGTACAGATGAATCTGACAAGCACTGCATAGAAGGAGCCAAAGCAAAAAGCACACAAAACGATTTCCATTTTATATTCTATGTCTCCATTTTCATAAACCATGCAGAATTAGTGTAAGTTGTGGTCAGAACAGTGGTCATTCATGAGAAATATGGGGTTCAGGGGTTTTACAAGGGCAGGAGAGGGGCTTATCGAGGCACAGAAATGGTGTCTTGGGATCTGGGTGTCAGTTACATATGGCTTACCTAATTTGTGATAGTGTTCCCAGCTATACATCTAAGATATGCACACTTTCCTGCCTATGCATAACACTTCAGTAAAAAGGGTTTTTAAAAATTCAATTGTGGAGCCATACAATCTGGTAAGCAACCATAAAATTACACTTCTCCTGAAACACACTACATTCCCTTGCCCTGTATTTCCTTTTCTACTGAACTCAAACCTTAACATCCTACTGAAAGAGCACATCTTCCTGATATGTAAAAATGTGCATGCTATCTAAACAGCCTCATGCACAGGGGTTTCTGCCAAACGTTTTCGTCAAGTGCATCCATGTCATAAACCAGAATTTTCCAAGAGAAATGGTAGCCCCATTCAAGCTGGTCCCCAATGCTCTCTCACCTTGTTCAGACATCTCACTCTTTTTTTGCCCATTTGCTCAGAAATAACTGAAGTTTCAGTAAACATTTTCCTCCATAATGCCACTCTGATTAGCACTGTCTCAAAAAAAATTCATTTTAATTTATAGTCAAGTCCATCCATTGGTAGCTAATTTGCAGTTTCTACCTCACCTCCCTCAAATGCAGGCCATACCCAGAAAAGCAATTTCAGGCCACAGGTCTCCCAAGTTACATAATATTGCCCAGCCCTCTAAACGCCCGATTTAAATATAAGAATCCGTATCATTAAAGATCAGAACAGTGGAAACACATTTTTTTAAAAATGCAAAATAGGGCAATATTCTTCAGCGATCAACTTATTCTCTTCACTGCAGAGTGGATAATATGTGACATGGCCAGTAATTTATTAATTATTACCACTTGATTAATGCTACTTGAAGCTTATATTTATTTTTTCATTAAAGATACTCAAAGACAAAAATGTAACTCTTTCTGAGAAAAAAAATAATAATCTTTAGGGTCAAGGGCAAAATTTATAGATGCCACATTCTAATCTATTACAATGTCACTTAGCAGGGTCCTGGCTTCCTTTCCTCATTTCGGAAAAAAATTAGCATTTATGAAAAATGCTACTGAGAAAACTGGCTTCTAGAGAAACAGTCGTGATAGGTACAGTCAGAACAATACTATAGTTGGAAGTTTTGCTGGAAACTAAACAGTCACTATATTAACCTCAACAGTGAGTACCTCTAGGTGACCTGGTTGTACATCATTTCTGTTTAACATTTCATATGATTTACCACTTTTTCATGGTTTAGAACATTTTAAGTCTCTCTAAGGAATGCCCCGGGTTTCTATTTGCCATGCTTTGCCTTAGTTTTGACAAGATAATAATTTTCTCAATGGCAAACAAAGACTTTAGCTCTAGAGACGTGAATTTTCCTAGAGGGAAAAACATGCTGTTGTAGATCAAAGTCTTAATGAGTCAGAGATAATCTCCTGGAAGGCCAGATCATTTTAGATTTCCATTGCTCTAAACCTATCTGAAAATTTTAGACATTGATCGTCTGTAACAGGGATAGAAGGAAGTGAGCAGCATTTCTTCCTTGGCTTGCTCAGGATCGGTGGGTTAACCTGGGTCTACTGTCTGCTCAAATAGCAGGCGAACTGGAAGAGAGACAGTGCATGGACTTCCAGCGGAGAGTACTGGGACGTGGGTGGGAACAGTGGGTGGGAACGTGGGTGGCTCATGGGCGGGAACGTGGGTGGGAACAGTGGGTGGCACGTGGGCGGGAACGTGGGAGGCACGTGGGCGGGAACGTGGGAGGCACGTGGGCGGGAACGTGGGAGGCATGTGGGTGGGCACCTGGGCGGGAACGTGGGTGGCACCTGGGCGGGAACGTGGGTGGCACGTGGGTGGGAACGTGGGTGGCACGTGGGCGGGAACGTGGGTGGGACCGTGGGTGGAACGTGGGTGACACGTGGGCGGGAACGTGGGTGGCACGTGGGGGGGAACATGGGTGGCACGTGGGTGGGAATGTGGGTGGGAACGTGGGTGGAACGTGGGTCGCACGTGGGTGGGAATGTGGGTGGGACAGGTTTACTGGAGCTACACTAACACCTGCTAATCAAGCCAGTGCTCACGACCGATGCAGACGAAGAGTGAACGCTCACCAGAGGCTGTTAGCATCCTGAGTTGTGAGGACGGGACCTGGCATGCCCGGTGCTTTACATATATCTGCATCATCAAATCCTCACAGCACTGTGGCCTATGTTACAGACGACGTGGTGAGGACCACAAAGGTCAGCCACTTAGGGTTCATGGTCACAGAAAGGTTCTAACCTGGATCCTCAGGATTCTCTACTCTGGGAGAGAAGCCTGGAGGCAGTCAGGGACACCATGAAACAAGCATGCCACACTGCCATCTCCCCTGTCTCCAGGATACCCCATTTCAAATGGTCAGTAGACAAAGGATTAGTCTTACAAAAAATCCTTCAGATGCTTCTGTGGGTTCAGGAAGCAGAGACGTCTTCGCTGGCAATTTGAGTTCGTATGTCATTATACTCCACCTGAAGAGAGAAAACCCTTTGGTCTGAAATGTATTTAAATCTTAATGAACTATTTTCATCTTGGACACACACACACACACATTTGTGGCCTACAGTTTTATTCTATCTTAAACCAAGAATGGGACAGAAACAAAGCTGTGATAATCCCATAAACACTGGATTTATCTGATTTCTCCAGTTAGCAGCATCCAAACATTACAACACCAGGTCACAGCAGGAAAAGCTGGTCATCCCATGACTTATTACCCTTAAAAAAAATTATTTCTATTTTGTGTTCATTGGTGTTTTACCTACAAGTATGTCTGCATGGGGGTGTCAGAAGCCTTGGAACTGGAATTACAGACAGCTGTGAGCTGCCATGTGGGTGCAGGGAATCGAACCCAGAGCAGCCGGTGTTCTCAACAGATGAGCCATCTCTCCAGCACCAACTTACTGCTCTTGATGCAATGCATTCTAGCTTTTTCCTTTCTCTTCTATTTTCTAAATAAGGTTCATTGTAAAGTACTAACTAAATTATGTTATTAATGAGCCAAAACCCAAAGGTCTAAAATAATGTCTTAGATTTAATAAATGCATATTACCTACTAAAATAAACTATTTCATATTTAGCAACTGGTCCTGGCAAAAGGATATGAGGGAGGGAGGGAGTGTATGTGTGAGGGGGGGGGAGAGGGAGAGAGAAAGAGAGATGAAAATGAGTTAAACACTCCTTAATTCAAGAAAAAGTAATATAAACATGAGATGGAAGGAAATTAGTTATAGAAATAATACTTAATTTAAGAAAACATTTCAGTTATTAGTAAGTTATTACTAAGTCTCACTAAGTAATAATTCAAAAAAATTGGATCATTAGGAAAAGCCATCAACGGGATAACTCCAGATTAATATCTAAACAATTCTAATTTGGGGGAAATAACGGGGTTAGGGCATTATTACAGTCTAACAAGATGAGAGATAAGGAATTTTATAGATACAAAGCATTATAAAAGCAGTATCATAACACAAGAATTTTATAAAGAGCATGCACAGCCAATGATGGAAGCTGCAGACAATTCCAAACCTCGCGGCTTATACACTAGTAGATCCCAGAGTATGGTTCAGACTACTGAGAATAAGTCTTCTCATAAAAACCCCAATTTCCAGAAACTTCCCCAATAGGCGTGTGTTACTTAGAATACGTGAACTAAACCGTTACTTGTGGCTACCGTTCAACTCTCAACAAGAAGACATAAACAGGGGCTGGAGAGCTGGCTCCAGGACTCCAGCACAAGGCTAGACTTTGGATCCTCAGAGCCCACCTACAAGCCAGCTCCAACCTAAGAAGACAAGAGCTGGCTAGCAAGAGAAGCCATCTCAGACAGCTCTGGGTTTAAATGGAAGAACAAGTGAGGATGACTTCCGATATCAACCTCAGGGCTCTGTATGTGCAGGCAAATAACACACACACACACACACACACACACACACACACACACAAAAATACCAATTTTATATATATATATACATATATATATATTATCTCAAAGTAAAAGGCAGGTTCTACAAGGGTGAACAGGCTTCCAAATGAAGCTCATGTGTTCACACAGAAACTAGAAATCACACAAGGATCGGTTATCTGCCCAAATAAGTAAGAGAAAACTGCAATTAGAAACTTTACAAAGCCGAGATACTTGAAGCTGAACTACTTCTCTGGTCAAAAGACAAGAAGCAGGAAAGGATTCTGCCCCAAACCACAACCTTCCAAGCTGCATCTCTCTCCTGGATAGACAGGAAGCTCCTGGGGGAAGAGGGAGAGGTGGCAGCAAGAGAAGAGTGGATCCGAGGTGAGCACCAGCCCTGGCGACAAGATGCTCTAGGCTTCTCCGGCACCCGCGTACTGTGAGGGAGAGACTGAACCTTACTGGGAACCTGAGCCTAAACTCTGTTAACAGCCAGCCCGACTGCTTACTGGCTATGTGACTCTGGCCAGGTCAAGAATAGGGATGGCAATATGAGCTCACTTGGGACTGTAGCGAAGGCAGAATGAAATGAGGGCAACAGAACGCCAGGCAAACAAGCTGTTAGTATCCCACTGTCTCCAGAAGTTGGTGTACAACAGTCACAATGATGCTTTTGTAAACCAAGTCACAGTACAGCTCCAAAGATCAAATAAATATTAACAAAAAGCCTAAATAACGCAGAATATTAAATTGATTTTTTCATCCCTTTTCTATGGTGCTAGGATCACTTGTTTTACATAAACAATAACATCACAAAGAAAATGAAATGATTCTAAGCTCCTCACCTTTGCTCTACTGGTTTAGGCATGTCAGGGGACATCAAGGACTTTATCCACTTGGGGGAGTGGATTTCTAGAGCCCGTTTCCTAGGCCCTGTCTCATAGAAGAAGCATTTAAAATCCGCTGTGCTGCGGCTGGTCCGATGGCTCAGTGAGTAAAGATGCTGGCACTAAGACAGATGACCTGAATTAGAGCCACGAGATCCACACAGCTCAAGGAGAGAACCAATTCTGGAAAGATCTCCTCACTCTCAATTGGCAAATGCAGGAACATGCACACAATTAAATATTTTTAAAAAATCTTTAGCAGGTACTCTGAGTTGTTCAGTAAGCAAAGCGTTGGACCATTTAGGAATTTCTTTTGGGTCCTCTCTCTCTCTCTCTCTCTCTCTCTCTCTCTCTCTCTCTCTCTCTCACACACACACACACACACACACACACACACACACACACAAGCTGATTTTATTTCATTCAAAACCTTCTTTCCCCTCAGTTTTATTCAGGTTAAAAACTACCAAATACTATGTATTTATGACACACAACTGCTGTTTTGATGTACACAAATCTCACGAAGTCACCACAACAGCTGAGCGACTTAACTGACCATCGCCACACTGTTATGCCCCCTTTCTGTTTCTCTGTGTGTGTATATGAAGTGTGAGTGCATGCATGTGCGTGTTCACAGGTGTGAGCTCAAGCAGGCACGTGTCAGAGCCTGCGTGTGGCGATCTGGGAACAACTCTGTGCCTTGGTCCTCATTTTCCACCTGGTGGGAAACTGGGTCTCCTGTTCGCAGCGGTGTATGCCAGGCTGGCTACCCTGGCAGCTTCTGAGGCCGCTCCCGTCCTCCTCCCGTGACGTCAATGGGAGCGCTGGGATCAAACGTGTGCCACTTCACTAGGCTTTGAACGGGGTCTGGGGAACCAAAGCACTTGAGCCACTGAGCCCCTTCCCCAGCCCTCACCCCTTTTGATTTTTCCTTTTTCCCTTCCTCCCTCCCTCCTTCCTCTCTTCCTTCCTTTGGAACCTTCATAGTGAATTGAGCCCCAGCCCAGATTATAAATCATCATGGCTCAACTGAGTGTCACCTTCATGTGATTTTGGATAAACATGGGCTAAGGTCCTAACGCCCAGCTCTAGTTTCCAGGATGTTGTCAGCAATGGAATCCAGATTGCAGCACCGGCAAGCATTACACGGTCTGACAGACAAGGCTACTGGTCTGAGGTTATCGCTCATCCTGGGGTAATTGCATCTTTTTGACTGGTGACTCCCTGATGCGATTTTGTTTTCAGGAAGAGTTCCACAGATGGCTAATCCTATCAAAGTTGTTCTGATTCATGCGAGCTCAAGTCTGTAATGATATTTTCGTATTTGTCTTGAGCTCTTGGGGGTGGGGTAATTACGGCTTACTGAATCTTATTGTTCCCTAAACTCAAATTCTAAATGCCTTCACCACAGAAATCAGGCGACAAACACTGTGGTTTCTGTTTTAAATATGACTGCTCAGAGTGGGGGAAAGGAGAATTAAGAAGGGAGGGGAGAGGGTCAAGGACAATGTAAATACAGTGACAAGTCCTTCATCTTCACCTATTCCAAATCTCCACCCTCCTCCCTTTGCTCAACCCTGCTCCCTCCCAGGGCAAGAGCTGTATCCCCAGCCTGGGCAGGAATCTTTTATCTTTTCAGTATCCCATTATTGGATGAATTAACTCAGAGGAGACCCTAGAGAAAAACTGAAGTTGACAATGCTTTGTTTAGTTTCTCAAACCACAAGATGGTGGGTCTTACTATTTCTTTCATCAGAAGCCCTGGCTGCAAACATTTGAGCTTTCTGACTTGAACACTGATTAAAAGTGACTGGCATCCCTGGGCATGGTGGTACACTTCTATAATCTTAGCACTCAGGGACAATGAAACAGAAGATATCAAGTTTGAGGTCAGGCTGAGATATGGAGCGAGATCCTATCCCCAAACCATACCAAAACAAAGATTAGTGACTCCGTAATATTTACAACACTTAATGAATTCACCAGATCCATTTTTCAGGGGTGTTTGGGGGGGCATTCACTCAAAAGCATCTTTTATTGAGTGTCTACTTTGTATAGTTTTGATTCAGGATCTCAGTGATCAAGAAACAAGACCTGGAAATCTGGACTTTCAGACTTAGAGTTAGTGAAATTGAAAGTATACCTGTCCAACATTTTGGTACTGGCTCTTTCCAGCTTCTCTAGTATCTGAGGAAGTTGAGTGTCATCATCATAGGAACCACCCCAGCCAAGAACTCGAGCGAGGTCATTGCCTGTACCCAAAGGCAAGACCCCGAGCTGGCACTGCAAAAGAATGCAACCATGATACTTTGAGAGAGGTTGGGAAACAAGGGCCTGGGGTTCAAGGCCAGCTTACACTACACAGCAAGACTCCCACCCCTCGTCTCAAGCACCCCAGAGAACTCTTACCTGTTTGTTCAAGTTCAGTTTATCGATCTCTGACAAAACCCAGCCTACACTTCCATCTCCTCCACAGACAAGAATCCGGAAGTTGTCAAACTTCTGAAATAACCTTAAGCTGCAAGTGAAATGTCTGTTTTTAGTGTAAGTACATAAAAACCCTTTCTCCAACTACTGCCCACTTTACATTCTCTATTATCCACATTCATTTAAATATAAGAAATATATAAATATATAACAGCTAACTTGAGTGCAATAGTTAACTCAAGAAATGATTTTTTAAAAAGAATTATGCGCAGAAACAGAGATAAATTAGGAGGGAAAAGAAAAAAACCAAAGAGCAAAAGTGAAGCAGAACCCGGAACGAGAATGAAGGCAAAGCGACGGGGAGGTGGCAATTCAGGACATGCTGTTCCCTGAGGAATTACAAACAAGGGAGGAGCATCTCAGGGCTGTGGGGGACACTGAGGCCATAACTAAAGATATCTGTAGCCCTCACCAATGCTCCCAGCATCCTCCACTCTCCCGGTCTCAGCCCTTCCTTTCGTTTCCATCCCCCTTCATGTCAACTCTGTCCCTTGGAAAACCTCAGGTCCTGTGCAACAGTCTCACAAGGAGAGAACCTCGGGTCCTGTGCAACAGCCTCACAAGGACAGAACCTCAGGTCCTGTGCAACAGCCTCACAAGTAGAGAACCTCAGGCCCTGTGCAACAGTCTCACAAGGAGAGAACCTCAGGCCCTGTGAAACAGCCTCACAAGGAGAGAACCTCAGGTTCTGTGTAACAGTCTCACAAGGACACTCAGGTCCTGTGCAACAGTCTCACAAAGACAGAACCTCAGGTCCGTGCAACAGTCTCACAAGGAGAGAACCTCAGGTCCTGTGCAACAGCCTCACAAGGAGAGAACCTCGGGTCCTGTGCAACAGTCTCGCAAGGACAGAACCTCAGGTCCTGTGCAACAGCCTCACAAGTAGAGAACCTCGGGTCCTGTGCAACAGTCTCGCAAGGACAGAACCTCAGGTCCTGTGCAACAGCCTCACAAGTAGAGAACCTCAGGCCCTGTGCAACAGCCTCACAAGGAGAGAACCTCAGGCCCTGTGCAACAGCCTCACAAGGAGAGAACCTCAGGCCCTGTGCAACAGCCTCACAAGTAGAGAACCTCAGGCCCTGTGCAACAGCCTCACAAGGAGAGAACCTCAGGCCCTGTGCAACAGTCTCACAAGGAGAGAACCTCAGGCCCTGTGAAACAGCCTCACAAGGAGAGAACCTCAGGTTCTGTGTAACAGTCTCACAAGGACGCTCAGGTTCTGTGCAACAGTCTCACAAAGACAGAACCTCAGGTCCGTGCAACAGTCTCACAAGGAGAGAAGCTCAAAGGTTTAGAGAGTGAAAGACCCCTTTATAAGAAGACACAGTATCACCTCCATAGAAAATTTTATGCAGAAAGGGGGTGACATATCCCAAGGCATATTCCCTCCAACGAAAATGCCAGGTAGTTTGTATTTGTTCTGGGACGTTAACTTATACAACGCCACAGAAAACTCAAAGGACAGTCAACTAAAGTCCCTTACCACGTATCTGATGTCAGCCCAAGATCCTTCAGGTACTCCCCTGGGGTGCCAGACAGCCCCCTTTGGTTATGTCACTGATAGTGAGTATTGATATGAATCAACACTAGTTTCCACGAAGGTAATTCTCTGATATCAGCTTCCACTTTTACATCTACGCAAGTTTATCTTCCCTAAAGAGACGTATTTGTCTGATGCAAGATACACGCTTGCAATATTTTTATACACATTTTAGAATTTGGAAGTTTTGATAACAAATTTGGAAACAGACAGAAGAAGTTTTAGTAACATCAGAACGATTGCATTAAATATGATTTAGGGAACACATCTTTAACCACAGAGCTGAGGAGAGAGAGACAGTCTAGTCTACATACAGCCCCAGGTCAGCCAGGGCCTCATAGTTCTGTCTCAAAAACAAGAAAAACAAACAAAAAACCCCCACAAAAACAAATATTAAAACTTTAAGCTAGAGACGTCACTTAATGATGAGGACTTGCCTGGGACGTCTCCATCTGTAGGGTCAATGACCTGCACCAGGCAAAAAGAACAACACGAGAACAAAACCTGACAAAGCTCAAGGAAGCAATGAGTGAGGGTAACAGAGAGATGGCCAGTGAAAACTGTAATCTTCTGGGGTTTTTATTTGTTTCTTTTGTTTTGAGACAGGGTTTTTCCATGAAGCCGTGGCTGTCCTGAAACTCTCTCTACAGACCAGGCTGGCCTCGAGCTCAGAGATCCGCCTGCCTCTGTCTCCCAAGTGCTGGGATTAAAGGCGTGTGCCACCACCGACCAGTTTGAAAACAGAAACTTTCATGCGGAGAAGGATCGGACGCAGCTCGTGCTCAGGCCATATTTTACCCAAGTAAGATTTATCATTAGTGAATTACCCTAAGTGAGGCCCTCCGTTCATTAAGTCAAACACCTGAGCAGGGTTGAGCAGCTGTTTAAAGCGACGAAGGAACTTTACTCCCTGGTTATCTCCACTCTTAGAGTTGACGAACACCAAGAGAGGGCTGACACAGAACGAAAAGGTTGCTCGACAGAAACCTGAAAAACAAAACCCAGGACATGATTAGGATGTACATCTTTCCCTCTTAAATTATTAACAGACATTTAGAAAAAGGAAGAGAAAGGAGCAAAAATAAGGAACCTTCCTGACTGCCGGCACATCATTATAATCTAATCCCCCAAGGGAGCTAAGGCTACTATTTGCATCCAACAATATAAAACTCCCATTTTAGAATATACTCTGTAGTGGAAAAAAAATCACATCAAAGACAATAAATACCTCAATCACAAAGTATTTGAAATAGACCACCAACCTTACTAATTATTTGTAAGAAAACAAATCTAGGCTATGGGTTCCTAGCTGTTGTCAAATAATCCATGTTCCTGCTTGGTATTTTCTAATATTTCAACAGTTTTTGGCAGAAGCCTGAGAAAATACTTTCAGATTTATAGTAAACAGAAGATATATCCAGGGTGGGAGGATTCAAGAGGCCGACCTCTAAGCTTTACCTCCATACACGCAAACGTATCCAAAGTCTGTGCATGAAGCAGAGGCTGAAACAACACATCGCAGAAGACATTTGTAAGGCGGCTTGCAGAAAAGGAAGTAATGAACGCTCTAGTCCAGAACTAGTGATGTTAGGAAGTTTCCTCAGCACAGACAGTTAAGCCTTGTCAGACTCTGGACAAAGCAATGCATTCAGAGGACTACAAAGTCCTTCGAGGAGATTACAGGAGAGCCAATGTTAATAGTAGTCTATGCTAACGGGCAGCTTCAATTATAATGAGAGAACACACGCAGATTAATATGTTAGTACGAATAATAAACAATCTTCCTTCATCCATTGGGATGCAAAGACAAAAATCTAAAAGTCTTATGTATGGTGATCTGGCTAATGTGTTAATGGCTGCACTCCGACTTTCATTTCAAGATCTGCGTCTAGGCCGGGGCTGGAGCTGAGGGGCTAGACCCATGCCTAGCTCTGCAAGAGCTGGGTTTCATACCCAGCATCACAAAAATTAATTAATGAAACAATCAAATATACCTTCCTGCATTTCTAAAAACTGACCAGAATAGCAAACTGCAGTTTATTTATCATAGGAAATGAAGTCAACACTATGGTGCCAGAAATACACGTACTTACGCCACTGCTACGTACCATCAGAATCTGTGCTGTTTAGTGCAATCGGAGGGATGACAGATACTTTACACTGGCCGAGGGGACAGACGGGATGGTACAAATCTTTGCAGGCGGTGTGGACCTAACAACCAACAAAGAAACCTTCAAGAATCAAAAACAACAGGAAACCAATGCATTTCTGTTAAGTTATAAACGAGATCCACAGCCCTGCTCGGTCAGGATCAATACGGTCACAAAAGGTTCAGTGATTAGCAAGCCACTATAGGCACACCTCCTTCTGAGGGATGGGCTAGCACTGTACACGTGAGACTGTCTGAGGAGTCTACTCTTGTGGCTGTCCAAAAAGTAATATGTATTCAGTGAATACCTGGTGAAGGGAAGAAGGAAGAGATGGGGGGGGGGGGGGATACAGGGGACGGGAAGAAAGAGTGCTGGGATTAAAAGTGTGCACCACCACCGCCTGGCCAGAGAGTTTTAAAGTAAAGAGTGTAGGAGAATCTGCCACAGCGCTGCCTGAGAAGAGCAGGGCTGAAGGGCACAGGCACTAGTCTTTAAATTCCTTGTTGGAGCACCAGGGTGGTAGGATTTCAGGCTTTGGTGGGGTTCTCGGTTTTGGTTTTGGTTTTTTCCTTTTTGGCCCTTTTCAACTAGATGGCGGTAGGTAGGAAGCACTGGGTATCCTCCAGTACAGTATCACCACCTAAAGGCAAAATAGCAAGCACACCAATAAATGGTAGTGTAGGAAGTTGAGAAGTTGTGGGATATTAGTTGAAGATGTGTTATACTGATTTATGCTGTGGAGTATTTGTTTAACCATGCAGAGATGTGCTGCATTCTTTTATGTCATATTTGTTTAACTCTGTGAAGCTGTGATACTTTGCCTGTCTCAAACACCTGATGGTCTAATGGAGAATTAAATGGTCAATAGTGAGCCAGGAGGAAGGATAGGAGGAGCTGGCAGGCAGAGAGGATAAACAGGAGAACTCTGGGAAGAGAAGATGGAGAAAGACTTCAGGAGACAGTCACACGGCCATACAGCAAACCAAGGAGTAAGAAGGAAAGAAAAGATATAGAGAAACAAAAAAGGTAAAAGCCCAGAGGCAAAACATAAACAGGATAATTTAAGAAAAGCTGGTTAGAAATATGCCAAGATAACGCCAGGCATTTATAAGGAAGAATGAGTCTCCGTGTATTTATCTGGGAGCTGAGTGGTGGACCCTTCAAAAGAGCAAAGGAATAAAGAGAAAAGGGAAGGAAGGAAGGAAGGAAGGAAGGAAGGAAAGAAAGAAAATCTCAACAAAAACACTGAGACCAAAAGATCTGTCACAAGGGAATGGTAACAGAGACTAATATGTGTAACTAGTACAGGATAGGGCAGGAGAGTTAAGTTGCCAGGGAATAAAAGGGGGAGAAAGATATTCCAGAATGCCGCCACACACCCCCTGTAGCAACGATGCCATTCTTTAGGGCTTTTTAAGTGCAGAATGTCCTCTTAAGTACAGTCTCATTAGCTCAGACTGAGGTACTGCTGAAATTACTGAGCAAAGGAAAGTAAACACATGTACACTGCAGAGGAAGACAACGTGCACAAAGCCTCTCCAATATTTCATCTCACAGAGATGATGCGCTCTTCTCTCCAAAAGTTAGAAGTGAACAGCTAACCCCAGAGGAGAGAAACAGTAGTAGATACACAGCGGTAGAGAGAGCAGGAAACGAGAGGAGTGGTAAGCTACCAAAGGTAACAGCAGCTGAAGGGATGATATAAAATGTTGTTTGTGCCCGGAAGTGAAGAAACGGAGAGCGGCCGAGTTGTTCCTTGCTCGGTTCCCAGCAGCACAGACAAGGTGACTTACACCCTTCCTTAACTCCACTTTCAGGGGATCTGGAGCCATCTTTTGGCCTCCATGGACACCAGCCTCACACCCAGGGCACATTACATACACGCAGGCAAAACACTCACACACACAAAATGAAAACAACGTATTTAAAAAATGTTGTTTGTGTGTGATGGTCCTCTAAGGCGAGGAGAGGGCTTTAGGGGTCAGGGTGTACTGAGATGGACAAGACAGCTGTGACAGTCTACATGCTATAATGCTATATGCTTGGGAACACAGCTTTTTTATGATCCTGACACATGCTAGGGGCATCTTGAAAGAGGGAACCACCTTTGTAAGACTGGCCCATGGGCAAGCCTGTGAGGCATCTTTGTGAGTGGTGGGAGGGCCCACCCGGTGGTCCTGAGCTGTGAAGAAAATGGGCTGAGCAAGCCAGGACGCAGCCCTCCTCTGTGGAATCTGCTTCAGTTCCGCCTCTAGGTTCCCTTCGTAAGTTCCTGCCCTGGCTTCCATCAGTGATGGACTGAGATAGGACCTTAAGCCAAATAAATCCTCTCTGCCTCACCTGCATTTTGGTCATGGTGTCTTTATCACAGCAACGGAAACCTAACAGAGACCAAAGCAAAATAAACAGCAACACGCGTACGGTTTATAAGACAGAATGATACCACAGCACCAGGACAGAGGGAGGCACATTTGATTTAAAAGCTGTAAGGAGGCACAGGTCCCCTATCAGACCTGACTAAAACACTGTAGGATTTGCTCTGCTTGAAAGCCAGTCCCATTAACTACACAATCAAGTCACCAGCCTCCCACTCTCTGCCCTGTCTGCTGATCTGCCTCACATTTAACAAAAGTACTGGGTTTTCCACATTTTAAATGTGTGTGTGTGTGGGGGGGGGGGGGGGTTAACTTCCAAATTCAAAACACCAACATTAAAAAGACTGCAAGACCCAAAATACCAGCAAACAAATCTACCCCCCGAGAAGGCAGTCACCGCTGTGGCAGGACAGCAGGGCCAGCACTAAGCAGGAGTCCACACAGCCGCCTGCCCCAGCATGTCTGCACGGCCGCTTCCCAACACTGACAGTTCTCATTCAGTCAGAACATCTGACAGAAATGAGACACGAGGTGAGAATCAATCCCTTGGTTCGCATGCAAACTTTAAAAAATATTCATTTATATAACATTCATATAATTCCAATCGCACCAATGCACAGCCTACTGAGTCTGGTATCGTGTCAGAGGACAGACATGGGGCTGCAGCAAAATTCCATTGGGGATATCAGCGGTAACCTGGTAGCACCTTAGAGCAGGGCTTTCTGGAGGCACCATGTAGTTTGTGGGGAGGGGGTTAAAAGTAATAAATTACAATGTGATGAAATCAAAACAGAAAAACACTAAGCTGTGAGAAGGGGATCCTGTGACATACGAAATATCTGAATACAAGCAACTACTATAAATGGACCATTTGAAAAAGACCAGGGCAGAAATGAGAAACACACACACACACACACACACACACACACACACACACACACACACTCTCACATTAGAGGGAATACAGTTTAAAAACATAAACAGGTACCATTATGTCACAGAGGGGAGTATGCACAACCAGGGTCTGTTCTGCTAGGAATTCTTTGCTTTGCCTCTGGACCACATGGAAGACCAAGTTAGGGAGAGATGCTCACTTAAAAGCACAGAATAATGCTGCACCCTTACCATGGTCTTACACCAAAGGCATTTCCAATCTTGCAGGCGGAGGACGCTGCCGCAGGTTTTGTCACAGACTGCACACTTGGCACTCACAGGCAAGTTGCCTTCAAGCCATTGGTGAGGCATAGCGACCTACGGACAGGAAGAAAGGGTGGTCAGAGTGAGACACCATCCTCACGCTGTAGAAGATGGGACGCTTGTGGACATCCTAGCAAGCCTGAGTCCTAAAGGTACACAAAGGGAAGACAAAGGCTCACCCTTTGAGATGCAGTAGGAATCTAGCTGAGGGGAAGGGCATGCAAGGCCTAGGAGACAGGGATCTCTATAGGGTTCGCAGAAAAGATACAATGGGGTCCAGCTCAGAAGAGGGGACTGTTGAGAGGAAGCCCAGAACCTGCCAAATGAACATCTCAGCTAAGCCCTGAAGGCCGTTGAGTCAGACAAAGGTCTTTAACGGCAGCCCAGGCGAGAAGAGCTCCCAGTGTTACTCAGAACAAATTCTCCTACAGAGAACTGGGGAATGCTCTAAAGCAATCAATCAAAAATGAAAACTCATAATCAACTGACACTCGCGACCTAACCCAAAGAGTCCACATTCCCACTTAACTCTCTGTCATTGTGGTCCGCAAGAGCAGGGCATGAGAGGGCGGGGGCAGGGAGTCACAGAAGCTTACACCGTCCTCATCCTCGATGATGTCCTTCCCGATGGAGGCCAGCGTGGTCCATTTGCAGTTATTAGTGGCCCTCACCGCACATCTTTTGTGAGCCTTGAACTTACACACTAAAAAAAAAGCAAACAAACAAACAAACAAACAAAAACATAAAACGTCAGCGGTTGTCAAGGGAAGGAAGTTACAGGATAAAATTTTTAGGGGTTGGGGGTGGGGTAAAAGGAGGCAGGAGGGAAGTGAGTTTCAAACTCCAGGAGCAGTAACTGAAATCTTAAAATTTGATGTCTTTGTATTTATGAAGCCATTAAAATGTAGTATAATAGATTGTTGCTAAGAAGAGGAATTAAATAAACACAGAGACCTGGCTCTTCAGAAGAGAAAAACAAAGACCTATACACACACTCAAAATAACATGGTCACCAGAGCACTTGGAAACCATCACCTCCCAGTCTAGGTGTAGACTGCCCTGTTTGGATGTGTTTGAGGAAATTCATGGAGGTGTATATATTTCTGACCTTTGAGTTGTTGTTTATTTATACGAGCAGTTTGAAACTGTCATAAGGTAAAGATAATCCAGAAGTGGTTTTTAAAGTTCAAGCACATTAAGAAAGCAGTCAGGCAGCTGGGGAATCAGTCACCAAGATGGCAGGGCAGTAAACTGGAGCTGGGCCTGCGGCGTGCGCCTCTGGTCCCAGCACTCGGGAGCTAGAGGCCGGTGGACAGCAGATGCGGCACGGCCGGTCTGGAATATCATGAGTCCCGTGCAAGGACACAGAAGACGGTAAAAATTAAAACATTCCTTCCTTACTTCAAAATCTTGCCATTAAAAATGGAGCATTTCATTTAAAATAAAAAAAAAACCACACTTTATAATAAAGTAGGCCTTGAGACTCACAGCCTGCATAACAAGTAATGGCAAGCCAGGCTGTTGCTATGGTCACCAAGAAACGCAAGTGACTCTTCTGCACCTATGTTGTTAGGTGGCAACTGAATTTCTTCAGAGAGGGCTGGAAAACAGCCCATGCCCTGGCCAGTAATCACTCACTATCTCAAACCACAAAACTCCACATGTACTGTAGTAAAACAGTGACTTTTATTCCAATATGTAGTCTTTACCATGCTGGGTCCTCCTAAATATTAAACAGTAGTTAAGACAAGTATCCATATTTATATATTTGATATTATTGATTTCTTAAAATTGCCATTTAAACTTGCTTTCTTCAGATACTATTTAAATAATTGTGAAGGGTAATTTCTCCCTGGGATTATACTTAACATCCTTAGTTAAATTAGGAAATTATGAAAAGTAGTATATTAATTTTTTTGTAGTGTGTCTCTGCCTGTCTGACTTCTGTTTGCATGTCTTAAACCCAATCACAGTCTGACCAGGCAGAAGAGGACAAGGGAGCAGTAGCAAGCTCCATCCCAAGCAGCGTGTTGCCTGAGGTAAACAGCTAATACAATCACAGTTCTTATCGTTTGAAATCCATTAAGAGTGACATTCTATCACTACTTTAACCTAAATCCTAATTACACATGCTCGAAATTACTTAAGATGTGATTGCATTCCAGAAACAACTGGTATTCATTCTATACATGGTTCAAAAACAGTACCCAACATTCTCTTTTCTTCACACTGAAGAGGCATGAGCTTTACCTTGGTAGCCATTGACAGATCTGCCTTTGGTACTCACAGTTCCTAAATTAAGTAATAACTCACACATCTTATAATTAAAATTATAGCACTAAAAAAGGAATGAAAGTGATATGATATTTCCCTCTGTGTGCTGTGATTAGCATTGATTAATAAAGAAACTGCTTTGGACCTATAGCAAGGCAGAACTTAGCTAGGTGGGAAAAACTAAACTGAATGCTGGAAGAAGGGAGGCGGAGTCAGAGAGAAGCTGTGTAGCCCCTCCAGAGACAGACACTATAACTTTAGCCAGTGGCGATACACAGTATAATAGAAATGGATTAAATTAATATGTAAGAGTTAGCCAATAAGAAGCTAGAGCTAATGGGCCAAGCAGTGATTTAATTAATACAGTATCTGTGTGGCTATTTCGGTTTTGGGTAGCCGGACGAACAAGCGACCTCCTTCAACATGAAAGAGAGAAAACACTAGCATGGGTCTTACTTTTAGACAACATTAAAGAAGTTCCAAACGATGACACGAGGATGAAATAATGCACAGTGTTTGCCTAATGTACACGAAGCTCTGGGTTCAGTTCCCAGTGCTGTGCAAGATAGAAAAGGAAACAGCAATAGGGTATCCAATTAAATGAAGAATAAGTAAAGGAAAATGTTTCAAATAATGCAATATCAATAACCATTAGGAATTCTGCCAAAGAGTATATACTGGTCTCTGTAGTCAATTAAAACAAAGAACACTTGAATGCTTGCTACCAAGCTCAAGGGATCTTTAGACAGTAAGAAGCTCCTTCAAGAGACCACTGAATTTTGATGTATGCTTCTTTTCAAATGGTTTCTGTTTAGCAACAGCATTTCCCCCAAATCAGTCCTATGTGTGTAGAGCCCAACCCTGAACTAGAACAAAACTTAAATCTTGACTTAAACGCATCTCCCAGGCCTTGCCCCCACCAAGGAAGGTGTTTTTCTGCAGGGTGTCTGTCTGCTTCTTTCATGATGGTGTAGTACCCAGGGCAAGGTGTCTACAGCACTTGGGTTTTGTTGGTGGAGCACAAAAGCAGACGGCTACAGTACCTTCGCAGGACAGGCCGTGGGAGGTCACTCCGGAGAGGCTCTCCCTGCACACGTTGCAGAAGGTGGGCCGGGCATGGGAGCAGGCATACCAGTTATGCATCCCTGAGAAATGTTCCACATTAAACTGGGCCACCTGCAAAGGCAAAGTTAGGACAGAGTTGCCAAACAGGAGACCATGGCTGGCCACTGTGACTATCTGCAGTGTTCGTGCCACGGGGCAGCCCAAACTTTCAGCCCATTACTCTGATCAGCAAGGCACTCGATGTGAAAACAAGATCCACTTTACACAGCTGCCAACGCTTCCCTCTGCGGGGCTAGCTCTGGCACGGGCTAGCTCTGGCGCAGGCAAGCTCTGGCTCCTTGGCTGCTCTTCTGTAAGCCTGTGCTCTGAGGACAGGAAACAAGTGAACGGTATTTACCTCATACGGTTCTCGGCTCTGCACTGACTTCAGAGAGCTGATCCAGTCTTCCATCTCCTTCCTGTTCTCAGCACATAGCATCAGCCTTCTGAATGGCGTGATTATCTGAAAGGGACAATTCGATCTAGTGATTACTGGTAACCAACAAGAGGGGCTTTACAAAGCCCGGCCGCTTACGAGGAAGTTCCGTCTCTTTTGGTTCTTTGTTTCCTTGATGAAGAAGGAGGGGAGCTCTGTTCTGTGTGATAAACAGGGTGTCCCAGGGAAGAAAGGTACTCGGGATTCTCGGCTCATCTCTGACTCTGTTGATACTAATGAGGCTGCTTAGCTCTTTCTAAAGACCACCTGCTCACAGAAACAAACATTCTTACTACATGGGATGCATCTTCAAAGCTTGTTTTACACACACTTCGAAGTAATTTGAAATGACACGTAACTTTCAATACGGAAAAGAGTTTTAAATTAAAAACGCAGTATTAAAATTCCTAACTGACATATTTCTACTACCCGTGTGAATAAGATTCGTATGAAGGCTTTCCCCTCTCACTGTGTAGAAATTTACTGTATTAGTTTTCAGTCAGAGCCAAGTGGAAGACAGCATAAAAATCTTGGAGGAAAGAAAATAATTGTGGCTTGCACTATTTTTTTTTCCATGACACTGAAAAAAAGCAAATTAATTGTATTAAGAACCTTAAAGAAAGTGGAATGGAAAATTACAGCTGTTTTAGTAACAAAGGTGCTTCCAAGTGAAACCTCAGACTTCTGCTTACTAATACAGTATATCGTAGATGCTGCCTTGAAGTCACTGAAGCCTAAACACTCGTTGCAAGGAAGGGACCATTTATGTACTTGTGGTACAACAGTGTAACACTGCATACCTCCCAAGAAATTAATTTCAAATAATATATTAGAGATTTATTTATACAACAAATAGAAAAGTTACCCAAGCCCAATCTCCTGATCAAAATTAATAAAATAAATATTTTATTATATATACAGCAGATATCATAAGTGATTATGAAACAATAACCATCTACAAGAAAAAAGAAAGGGGACCATCCCTTAAAAAGGGAAGTAGGGTACTTAACACCGCGGATCTAAGCAAGTAAGCCTACAGGGCAAGCCACAGAGGAAGGAGCCTGTCTGGGCCACTCACCAGTCATTGCCGCCTCCCTTGTTATTAGAGGGCACAGTCTTCCAGAAGCCCAGAAGCTTTTACTACTTCTGACAGGCAGCTGCACTTAAATAGAGCAGCCGGCCGTCACATGGCACCGGGGCACCAACCGCTCTGCTCTGCGTCTTTGTTAATTGCACATGAGATCGAAGAGAGCCTCACTTGCGCATTTTCTTGTTTGAAACGACCTTCCTGGGGTAAAGCTTATTAGCAGTTGGTCACTTCTCTTCCTGAATAAATAGTTAATGCAAAGAGCAGTGCCTCTCTCATTACTTGGAAGCCAAATGGATACTTTATTGTTTCAAAATGTTTTTCTAGGGCAGTTCATCAAATGTGGCGGAGAGGTACCATTAAATCATAATATACTCCTGGCTCTGGATGCTGGTACAGCGTCCAGAAACCTCCATGTTTCGCTGGCTCACTAATGTTATCTGGGTAAGTACTGCCTCTACCATTTACTTGACTTTAGCTCTACGATAGGCTGTAAATATGAGGGCTCCTTTCAAGCGTCGTTTCATTCTTTGATTTTGTTCTTTGTGACATTCTAGGCAATGAATGGTGACTGACAACCAAAACTAAAGACGCTTTTAAAGCCATCATGAATTTAAAAGGCCAGGGAACACAAGGCAGGCGATGGCTTCTAAATTTTCTTAGAGATTTAGGAACTAGACAGACGCTTCAATCCCAAGTGATTCCAGAAAGACTGCATAACTCAGTCAAGGGCATACATGCTAATGAAGAGCGATTTCCACTTTTGAATCGAGACTTGCTTCAAGATGAGCAATAGTGAGCAAGCAAAAGATCATCATACACAAAAATTCAGACCAAAAATTAAGTTCTCCGAGGGCAAGAAGACAGTAGAGTGATTTTGACGGGCAGGCCTTGTGACTAATCACAATTAAGAATCTACTAATTATGAAACCACACTCTCAGAAGTCAGCGAAAAGGCCATCCGTCCTTTATAAAGGACATGGAGCAGAGATGGCTAGCCTTGTGGCTCTAGGGCCAAAGAGCCCGGCTGTCTGGGCTAAGTCAAGCTCGGCTCAGCAAGCAAAGCTGCAGCCTCCAGGCCGACCTCTTCCCTCAGCCAGCTTCCATGCACTTGGATCCTCCCACTGCCTGTGTGGGAAGACGCCCACAGCCACAGCCACAGCCACAGGGCTGACACTCGGGTTCTGGTTATCCTCCAGCTGAACGACGTCACCTCAGCCTTGATTCTCACCAAATTTTATAAGGGAGATGTAGGAAGGGCAAATTTAGAAAATTATTTGCTACTTAGCTGCAAATTTATCTGACTCAGACTCTATTATGACCGTAGGCGGCACTGGCCTAATGGGAAGCTAGAACTCCTCTCACATAAGGCGTGGGAAGAGGGGGAAGGCTTTTCCTACATCTGTTGAGGGCAAATCCAGGAAATTTCTGGAACTAGCAGCGGTGATGCCTTCCTCCAAGGATCTGAAGCTGACCCATCCTAAAGTACTCCCTACCCCCATCTGTAACTCTCTCTTCCTGTTACTCCGGTATACACCATCACTGCTTTTATGCCCATCTGAACTAGTGTCCCCGGAACTATGGCAGCCCCTGACACTCTGGGGCACACATGTGTGTTTAGCAGTCATTTACTAAGTTTGTACAGAAAGCCAAAGCCAGGGAAACACTGCAGGGTTGGTCAAAAGAGTCTGTAAAGGAGAAGAGGAAGCCACCGATTCACGCGTCTGGAAAAATGCTATGGTACCCAGCGGTGGCATCTAAATTGGTTTCCTAAACAGTACCTAGGAAAGTAGAAAAACTCCCCATTAGTAGAATGGTTAATGGTGGGAATTACTGGCAAAACAATCAATCTAACCACACTATCACTCACTTCTAAGACTCAAGACTCTCCCAGTTTGGCTGGCTAAGAAGACTCTCTTTCTTGTAATCCCAGAAACAGGGGTGGCTGAGACAGAAAACTGCTTGAGGCCTTCCTGGACAAGATAGTAAGTTCCCTGCCAGACTCAGCTACACAGTGAGACCCTGTTTCAACCTCTCTCCCCGAAATAATTCAGCTGATAAAGCAGTAAATGTAAAATCCTGTGGAAATGGGCACTGCAGTTAAGACTGTATATATGCTAATGCACACAAGCAAAAACACAAAAACAAAACCCACATACTCAGCCAAATACTAAGAGATCACAGACCAATTTAATTCTTTTTGTTCATTTAACTGCAGTTTTTAAGCAAATATGCCATGCTTCTGTATGTAATAACCATCTTTTGGGGGGGTTGGTTTTTTTTTTCAGACAGAAAGATGGGAGGTTTAGAATATAAAAATGTGCAGGAAGGTTTGGGTAAGGAAAGGGAAGGATGAGGGGGCCAGGATGATGGACAACCAATACTAAAGATGTTCGGGAAAGCTATATGGAAACTTACTGTTTTACATGCTTCCTAGACAGTTTAACTGGAGTTATCCTCCATGAGGGATAAAGCCTGGTGTCAGAAGGGGATACCTGCCCTCCAGGTGCTGGTCAACAGTATTCCAAAGACCACCCCCACCTCCACACAGACACGCACACACACATACACCAGAGGTTACTATGATTGTTCTTGGTTGCCCATCAGAACTCCATGTTAAGACCCTATTACTGAAGACATACTATACACTTTTGTCTCATGGCATTGAGAAATCGAGTTGGTTCTGATCAGAAGTCATCCTCCCTGCTGGCTCGTTTTCACAGGGCTGGGAAGAAAGTACCTGGGATGGGAGCGGGAGCAGGGGGTTTACCCGGCTGTGAATTAAACTCATGACTGGTGTGGTAAGATGTATCCACAGGCAGCACAGATGTGACAGAGGTAACCAACTGTCTTATGACTGGACTTGAAGCTCACTCCGCAGGAGGAGATGCCTGCTGGGACTGCATTCCTGGCCAAGAATCCATGGCTGGAGAGTCAGAGGCCCCGGGCAAACCTACTACAGTTATTCTGCTAAGTGGACACAATGTCAGCCTGTCCTCCAAAGGCACATCTATAAAACCATACATTAGTGCAGACCTCAGACCTCATCCCCAAAGTTTCCTCTTAGCAATGGACAGTGGTGAATGCAGAAACCCACAACAGATCAAAGAATAAGCGTCTGTGGGATGCCCAGCGACGGAGTTATCTCAATCACGCCCACTGCCCATTACACCCCACAGAGACCCCTACACACAAGGCTCAGGGAAAATGGAGGAAGAGGGGACAGAAAGTCAGTAAAAGCCAGTGGTTGGAGAGACTGGGGCAAAGCAGTCCTTCAGATCCATCATAACTAGGCCCCTGTGCACCCACAGCGGCTGTGGTTCCCTGCGTAAGATCAAGGCAGTGAACAGTATAGCAAGGGGCTAAGAGGGCTTGTGAATTCCCACGTCTAACTAAGGAACTTCTGGGGCAGGGAAAGTCAGTTTCTGATAGGTCAACCACATTGCAGTGAGTAAATGAACATCACAAACTGGACTCAGTGGGAGGAGGAGGAGGAGGAGGAGGAAGAGGAAGATGGTGGGTGTGGAGAGGTGGGAGGCATATCGGGAAGGAATTGGGGAGAAAGGTGAGGCATTGATTTGATCAAAATAAACTATGAAATTTTAAAAAAAACAAAATTATTATATGTTTTTTAAAAAGAATATTAAAATATATGGTGGGCCTATGTAGTATCCCTAAGTAGTAAACTACCTAGCTGTTATCTGTCTCAGAATCACCTGGTTTGCTTGTTTTCAAATCCCAATACATAAGCTACTTGTGGCGATATTTTGTTTGTGATCTAACAAATAAAGCTTGCCTGAAAATCAGAGTACAGAGCTAGCCACACTAGTTAGCCACAGAGACCAGGCAGTGGTGGCACACACCTTTACCCCAGCACTAGAGAGGTGGAGATGGGAACTGATACGGTTGGACAGAGAGAGGAATATAAGGCAGAGGAAAC